ATCAGTGAGTCGGTTCCGTAGTACGGTCACAAGGGGGCCGCCGGCGGCCGGCTGGCCGGCGCGCCGCTCCGCACGCGCAAAGTGCGCCGAAACTCGATCGCCCCAATCGCCCCAATCGCCCCAATCGCCCCAAAGTGCGCCAAACAAAGGCGGATGTTCTCTAAGGTTACACTCTCCGCCATTTCCGGCTTATTTCCAGAAACCCCAGGGTCGCTCGGTACTGACTTTGTCAGTAAACCGAACTAACTTACCTGATCTAGAGCATCCGCGCTCCGAACCCCAGACACCCTAACCACCAAACCAACCCTACCGTCCCCCGGGTGCCTCAAGTTGGTGATCACTTTGGTTAGTGAAAACTTCCGTTGCCAGATCGCGCGATTTGCGGCATGGTCGATTGCAATTTGAGCAATAATTGAGGGTTGCTGTAGGATTGGGACCCTGCCGCGCCCTGAAGTCGTGGGTCATATCCGGTGGTTTCGCTGCCGCGGCCGGCACTAATGCCGGTACCTGGTAATTCTTAGTAATATGTAAAAGCTTAATAGGTATAAGTTACACTGTTGTGAATACATTTGAGAGACATTTGAGTGGTGACTTCGGGTTTAATATCTTTCTGCGCCGGCTACAACTAGCCGTCGAAGCCGGGCATCATTATTGAAGCAGACTGTAGGACTCGGAGGCAGGCCAACCCAGCCCCTCCAGAGGTTTTCAATTGCGCCTACTAAACGAATCAGAGCCTTCACAACACTACTCTTGCAAGCGCTATTACGTACTTCAGCTGCCTCCATCATAGCGCGCCAGTTTGACGCAGGAAACAGTAGGAACAAGTATTTAAGTCAGTGATTGCCTGCCATGGCTTCAACAGTGGGCGACTCTGCACGTCTACGCTTGACACTGAATAACCAGCTGTTTCCAAGCCCGGAGGCGTTTGGGGTGTCCCTTGAAGCAGCCGGTTTTGATGACCATGACGGCGAGCTCGCAAAGATGCTGGCGCACTACCTCTATTCTTTCCCTGACGACATTCTACGGGATCTGAGCGGCAAGTAAGTCCAAAGTCACTTGAAATTCCCACAGCTTGACCTTGCACTACGGGGGACAATACAAGCGACCTCTTCTGTCCCCCCTGTTCTGTGACTCTGGTAGCTGTACTACTTACTATACAATTTCACTCTTAGAAACCGGGTCATCTCAGCATGTTCTATCCTTTTTCTATGCAGCTTCTGGCTCAAACATACTATGACGTCACCTCTCTATGCAGCTTCTTGCTAGGAAGGCCGGGTTACTTGAATATTATTGGGGCTTGCTTATAGTGTCAGACCTGGACTTGACGATTTGGCAAGGGGTTGGCAACAACTTTTGGAAGTCTGCTGCAGTGACAAAGCTGCAAGGCAGGCTCTTACCACTTTCGATATAGGAACCTACAGTAATAGCTCTACGATTACACCTGATCAGAACTTTCGTGAAAGGTTTCCACTCTCAAAGTTGGTGCAAGTGATAGGTGTGGATCCAAGCTGGTCAAAGTACATGCATGAGCCTGCGAGTCTCTCAAAAACAGAGAGTCGTCTCCAGCAAGGTTCCAGCGGGAAGAAATCGAAACATCAGATATAGAACAACTGCTTTGACATGCAGCTGGGTAATGAGACCACAATCAAAGCCAGGGGGGTGTTTAATGTCACCACAATCTTCTCTCTTCCGTCCACTTGTGTTCAGATAATAACTGCAATGTGTTACTGCATACTGTAGCTGATATGGTAGGGGGATCCCTGAGGTAAGAGCTCACTGTGAGGCCAGTGACTGCGTTCAACACGTCCAATTGGCGAACCCGTCTGGTTGTCCCGTGCAGGCGCGACAACGCTGTTCTAGACACCTCCACAGGGAAGCTGCGAGCTGCTGATGTCGTCTTCAAGGACGCAGACACCCTCTCACTGGAGAGCCTCGTGGCTGGCCTGTACCGTGGGACCAAGAACTACTTGCGAAGCAGCAATCCCCCTGGAGAACAGGTTAGACCGGAGAAGGTCTTCAAAACGTCCATGCTTGGCTTCGCTGAAACCTTGCTATGTTCGCCCCAACACTTTCAGAATGTGTGGCTTTGCTCCACTCCCTACCGATGATGTTTCAACAATACTTGTTTGGTGTTGAAGCACTGCCAAGAAGGGTATTTCTCCCCTTTGGGGGTAAGCTCTCCCCTCCATGGTTTTCAAAGAAGGGCGGGCAAAGCTCATATGAGAATACTACGTTTAAGAAAAGGAAACCCAAAGATGCTCTTGAAGCCCAAGTTCAGATACAAAATTAGAGTTCAATTCTCAAAGGAGTACAGCCTTTCGCGTCACCACGAAGTTCTTGCATGTGGAAGGCAGTCCGTGATCTGACTCCTGGTTGCTGGGTGCGGATAACCCCTTCTCGACCATTCTCTGATGACTGTAAACCAGGGACCCAAACGTCTGAAAGCGTCTGTGTATGTAAACGAGCCCCTTGTACGGAATCCTGAAAGTGGAAGCTCTATACTAAAAGCTCCGATTGGGTCTCCCCATTCGAAGCACGGGTCATCGGCTTCAACCGTAATGCGAACCTCGTAGGCGCATGTCGTTATCCGCATTCTTGTAACATGGGCTGTGCCGAATTGAGAACCGCGTCCCACCCCATTCTATTGCGAACACCAACTTTCAATGCCGATCTGCTTCATGTCGGTGCAACTGACAACAAAGACAAAAGGTTTTGACAGGTGTCATTTGGGCACCGATCACATTCAAGTCCATCGAATTCCTTGCCTTGATACTTCGTATAGCTGTAGGCAAAGGAGCAACCCTTGATATTCCGTCGATAATTATCGAGCTGAAACAAGTACTGCACAAAAGAAGGATATCGAGACTAAGGATTTATTGGATGGAACGTCCGCGAATGTAACCAGCGTTCTCGAGTGCTGATCTTTCCCGCCGTTCCTTGCCGCAGATCTTGTGGCGCCAGACGTTCGGCGTTTCCCGCTGTCAGCAGCTCGGCCAGCGGGGCCTCCTCACGGCGGTCGACTATTTCCTTGCGCGCGCGGAGCGCGATCACGCGCTGTGCCGCGCACTCCTGGCGCATCTCGACCGTTCCTTCAGCGACTCCAGCACCCGCTACTGTGTCACCAAGGTGCGCGCGCGCGCGCGCGCCTGCCTGAACCACCTCCTGGGCAGCGCTGACGTCACCGCCCAGGTCGGTGACGTCATCGGCCAGGGCGGCGCCGCGCGGCCTGCGGACGCGGAAGATGACGTTCTCGAGGAGGTGAGCGCGGACAAAAGTCTCGGAAAGCTTTGCTCTAGCGGAAGTTAGATGACCCCGCTCGATTCGAAATTGTTTTGCCTCTACGAACATGGCACACAACAATTCCGGCTCCTTCGCATATAGACCCGTTATAAAAGTCGTTGGATGCTATGCTTTAGGCCGGAGCTCAATCGTCATGCTGACGCGAAGCTTAGTCAAACGTCATCGGCCAGAGCGAGAGAGCAGTAGCGTAGCCTGTGGGCCTGTGGGCCACTCCTCACATCCTGATCGAGTAGACAAAGTCCTCCTTGCTCGTTTTTCACACACTTGGCACATGAGTTGATTGGAACGGCGGTCGTGCAGGCTGGCTATTACGCTTTCGACAGCCCCACTTGGATTGAAGACTACTTTGCATCTCCGGACACGGACGTGGATGCCAGCGCGGACTACGCTTTGGACCAGCCGACCGTGCCCACTGAGGTACGAAACCTCTCCGGTACCCCCCAGCCGTGTGTCGATGCATAACGTATAGCCCTCACGGATTCCACTGCCTTACGGGCTGCACACGTCAAAATGGATTCCGAGGTCTCTGCTCAATTCGATAACGGTACAAGATAAGGTGTCGACATCATCCTCTTCGACTTAACACGACCTCGTGTTACTTGTTTCATGTTCTGGAGCCGTCTGAAATGAATCGTAGACAGAGAGTAGCTGAGAGGTCTCGCGGATTCTCAGCCGGTGAGATCGATTTGAGTCAAAAGGTGAACAGCAAGCATAAATCCAGGGACGCGAAGCGGGTTGAACCAGTGACACGTGTGTGCAGGTGACTGGCCCCTTGTCGCCGTTCGACGCGGGGCGCGGCCTGGTTCGCAATGGCGACGCGTATCTAAACATGATTGGCTCCCCCGGTCGTGCCACTTCGGTGGTAGACGGAGAAAGATCCCCTGATTCCGTCCCAGACCTCGAGATGCAATCCGCGTTTTTTTGAAACTCTTGGCGGCCCATTCAAGTCAACAGCGTTGGTGGAATCGCTGGCGACAAGAGGATCCTCGAAACGGCAGCGGAATTTTGAGTCAGAGTCAGAATGTAGGAGTCTCACTATAAAGTATGTCAGTGAATTATCCGGGGGTGACTGACGATATGTTGTGGGGTCGAAAACGTAGCAGCTAATTGATAGCGTTCAATTGGACTTTGCTTTCTGTACATATTCTATGCAAATATGCCTTTCAAAAGCACAGGTTCACAATCTGGTACAGGTAACGCTGATGCTTAGACGTATAAAATCCGCCACCCCAGCCTCGATCATTCTTCTTAAGGCCATTTTGTGGAAAGCCGGTGTGGAATAGAAGCATGGGATCTGCGAACCGCACGTCAACAGAGTACAATACTTTTGGTAGACGTCACCCGAAATCAAAAGCACTCGATGAACCCGGAATGAACGCATTCTTCGCCTGTTACCTCAATGTAAGACGCCAGCTCTGAAAGTCATTGTCGTTTTGAGGCCGTCTGAGACAGGCTCGTTGAGTTTGAACACTTGACGTGAATGGGACGGTCACCGTCCCTTGGATGATAGCCGATCTGCTTCATCCAACGCCGAGTCAATGCGAGGCAGTTCCATTTGACAACTAGGCCGCGAAGTTTTCATACGAAATCCCATCCAGGAGGAGCCAGATCAAAGGAACCGGAATGGTCATCTGACTCTATTTCGACAAGGGGTTAATTGAAGCTTGTGCTGTGATTTGCGTGTGTGTTTCAAATTTGTGATACATGGTGCGCTAGCTGCTTGGAGTGATTGGAAAGGCGTATCCGACGCTCACAATTTCGAATCGCGAAACGACAGTGACACCGAATCTCGGTCAACAAGGACACGAGATTATTGAACAGGATATTGGTACGCGGGACGCATGCTGTACTAATAATGGGAGTGCAGACTATATAGAGCTTGATCCCAGGGGGCTCATGTTTACCTATGCATGATAGATCACCATTGTTATGGTTTGTCAACACAGTGCCTGGAGTGATGCACGTAACGTAATTACTTAGCTCAAGTGGGCGCCCGAGATGAGTGGTTTAGAGTCACCATCAAGACGTGGGATTGTCTGATAAACCAAATGCTTGTGTTGAAAGTTTCCGATCCGCACTTAGCGAGTGTGGAAAGCGACATGAGACCGTTCTGGCCCCAATTTGTGTCCGCCACCCATCTCAGTTTGAAAAGAATACCTAAAAGTCTTCCACTGATCTTTGCGCAACAAACGTCAGCGAAGGGCTGACGTAACGTGCTTCCCAGCCCGCGCTCGACTATATCAAACCGTCCAATGCCTCTTCTACTTGTACTACACAAAAATTCTGCACAGAGCAACTTTGGTTGCCATGTCTCTTTCTACTGCCCGCTTCTCATTCAATCCTAAAGTTAAGTCCGTGATGTAAGGCCCTAAAGCGGTTGCTATGGATTCAGAAGCGATTCTGTAGTGTACATTCCGTTCTGTAACCATCACTTCTTGCCCAAACAGCTTCGTTGTCAACTACAAATGGATCCAAACTAAGGGCAGAATCCGACTTCCGGTGAGGAATTCTTTACACGTCCTGATCCGGCCTCGTCAGTCCAACGCCGTTCCGAACAACGCCTTCTGATACCGCTCTTCGTCAATTTCCCCCGGTGCACCTGCCTTCTCCCTCGTCCACTTCAACTTGAAGTGCTGCTGGGCGCCCGGAGACATCCCCCGATCTCTCTGTCCCACATCACCCAATTTGGTGTGATTGTGCGCGCGCGTATTGCTTCTGGACCGTCCGATGAAGTGGCCATTCTGGTAGATCGACGGCAGCGCCTCCTTGAGCTGCGCCTCGTACTCCTCCGGGTTGCTGGGCACGTCCGCGCGCGCGCGGCACGCGGCCGCGCTCCCCCCGAGGCGCAGGGCTTCGAGGTTTCTGGAAAGGGATCCCGGAGACGCGGGGCTTGGGAACAGGGTCTCGAGGGCTCGCGACGCAGGCGCGGGCGCGGTCGGCTCGGGGGTTTGGGACTGGGGGCTTGGCGGGGTGGAGCGCGTGAGACTGTGTTGGCCGGTTGATGAAGCACCGGCCGGGCTTGTGACGTCGATCGTTGGGACTGGCCACTTTCTTTCGACACCCGGTTGAGAGACTTCGGGAGAAGGGGCGTCGAAAATGAGAGCTCTCGCGACGGAAGTCGCCCTTGAGAAGTGCACTCGAGGGAGCGAAACGTGCTCAGGTGAATGCGTGAACTCGCTTTGTGACGTCACTTCGACGGCAACCGGGGTTGGACACTCCTGAGCGAGAACAGTACTCCGTTCAGCGGTATCTACTCTAACGTCGCGGCAGGGGGGTGCCTGCTCTGAGCCCTCCAAGCCCATCTCGTCACCCCCCACGAACCCTCCCGGAAGAATGCTTTCTGTCTGAAACGCTTCCATCTCTGCATTCTGATCGAATCGAGACGAAGCCGCCAGACCTAGAACCGCCTCATTTTCGCCCGTCTCCCTTTGCTCAGAACTGTCACCAACTGACGGAGGAAAGCAGTCGTCGTCTGGGGCAGCAATCAGGACACTAATTGGAACACTAAGCGCTCCAACCGGGACACAAACCGGGCTCTCCGTGACCCGTTTCTCCACTTCTACCGCCCCGTCCTCCTCTCTCCAAAACGGCGCGCTCACGACTTGCTTGTCGATGCACTCCATCCACTCGTCCTCGTTTTCGATCCCTTTCCCATCGAACCTTGTCCCCCCGGTCGGCACTGGAATCGGGTTCGACGCGGCCTTCCAGTTTGTGGGCGCGAAGTAGCCCCCGTCGTCTGTCTCCATTTCCGACCGCTCGTCCTCTTCTACCGTTCCGTTTCCGTTCTCCGCTTTGTCGCGTTCCGAACGGAGCCGCTCCAGTCGCTGCTCCTCGAGAACTGCCGCCATTGTCATCTGCTCCGATCCGCTATCCTCCGAACCGCTCTCTATTTGACTAATCTTTGCAGCCGGGGGCTGGGAGTCCCAGGCAAAAGGACCCCCCCGACCCAAAGTCGCCCGTTCTTGAAACGAAGACTGGGGGCTCCTTTTTGAAGGCTGAAGCGGCTGAGAGAACGCTCTCCTCCGATTTGGGGGGCTGGCTCTCGGGACGCCGGGGGCCAATTTCCGGGGGGGGGCGAGGAGGTGTCGCGCCACCGCGGCCGCATCCATCGGCTGAGGTTTCGCCACGTGTTCCAACAAATGGGGCCTTGCCACGTGTCCCAACGACGATTTCAAGCTGTGGGCGACTGAGAAGAGCGCGCGCCGGAGGCCGGAGCCGGAGGTGTTCCTCCGGCGGTGGGGCATCGGGGGCGGTTCCGTTGAGAAGCTCCGCTCAAAGTGGTCGGAGTTCCGCTCGAGCTGAGCGGAATTCCGGTCGGCGGCACAGGAATCCGGGCTGGAGGGGGAGGAGCGGGAGGCCCGCGAGAGCAGGCCCAGCGGCGACCGCGTCGGTGTCAAAGAACGGAACGGCGACGAGGGGAGCGACTGGGGCCCGGGGCGCGGCGAGGTTTGACACCGCAGGTGCGTTGGCAGGGCCAGGTCGTCCGTGGCGAGCTGTCCAGTGTCAAGGCCCCCGATGTCCATGTTCGCACCCTCGCCGCCCGTCTCTGTTTCTGGGCGGTCCGTTTGTTCATCGTCCAGCGAGAGGGGGTCGCTTTTCAGGTCGGGGGGTTGTTCATAGGGGAGGACGGAGGTGGGGGTATCTGACGAGGGGGAGCGCTCAGGCGAGCGCGCTTCTAGGGGGGTAGAGGTGCCAGAGGAGGGGCTTGAACCGGGGGGAGAGGAGCTGTCGCCTGGGGAAGGCCAGCGGTCGGGGCTGACGTTGCCTGACACGTGGCGGTCGCACGCGAGCTGGAAAAGAAGGTTTTCAAAGTATTCAGGATACGACGAAAGAGTCGGTTGTTGGGTTGCACGGTGGCTGTCAATTCTTGATTGATCATCTATTTTCGTGGTGATCGTGGGGAAGCAACGTGTGGAGTGTCCGTTAAACAAGTACTTGGAAGGACGCAGTTTGATCAGAAACTTCAAAGCTTCCAAGCAAGCCGGGACTGATCTTGACGATCATGCGAACTGAAGTACAGGAGATTCGGATGGTCGAAAAGATGTTTCCTAAACATCATTGTGCATCCAAGCCGGCTCGAAGTAGCTAGCTTGAAAATCACTACTGAGAGTAAGGAAGTTCCGGTAACGAAGAGCTCACGAAGTTCAATCACTCAGCAATTGTTGACTCCTACTCTTTCAACTTCGAGGCTGTTTTCTTTCTGTGTAAACAACAGTTCAAACATGGCAACTGAGAGTTGTCAAAGATTCAAACACTCAGGACGCTTTTGATGCCGAGCATACCGGTAGATTCAAACAGGCAGGGTCGGCCTTAATTTGAGTTCGTTTTTGATATACTATACACCGACGAGGGAGATTTTATGCAGGTTTGTCCAGAAACAAGCGGATCTTTGAAAGCTTACAAACGTCAGCCATCAATGTAAGATGGACACGAAAAACTTTGCTGACGTTAGAGAACACCAGAGAAATCATCAGGAGAAGACTCATCCAGCCCACGTATCAATCAAAAATCTGACGGGGTCTGATGTTGACTGTTGACTGAACAAGCAGCATTGAGGTCTCAAACCTGCCTTTTGATGCAATAGACTTTCCTTAGAGAAAAAAATTTCCTTAAAAGAAAGAGCTTGTGGACACAAAATGCGTCAAGTTCACTGAGTATCATGTTGATAGCACAGACTTATTACAGGTTTGTATTGATCTGTTGAAAGTGCACGTTCAATCTTCTAGCGTTTCTTCTCTTTCTAAATCAAACTTATTTCAGGTCAGAAATCAATGTTATACTGTGCTGAATGCAAGGATGAAAGTGCGTAATTGAATGCGATGAAGAAGGAGCTCTCGCTTGAGCTATCTTTGATGAGCTCATTCTTCTGAGCCAAGCTCTCATTTCTTTAAGTAAACGACTGGAGATACTGTAGCTCCAGCTGCGCACGACGACCCTCTCGCGAAGCCATTCAAAACAACCAACTCTCAGCAATTCACAGGGTGCACGTTGCCAGCTTTTCCCACTTCCAGTGTTACGTGATAATGGTGCTAGTCTTGGGGAACAGTACAACCATTGCAAGCCAAAAAGAGCGTACAGCTGTCCCGAAAAAGAGAATCTGCATTCATTGACATGTCTGACAGCTGTCACAAGAAACCCACCTGCGCGTGCGCCAGCGCGTCCCGCTTGCTCTTCTTCCGGTCCGCACTCCCCTTCAGCCATGGGCTCCCTCTCTTCAGCTGCCCCTGAATTCTATCCAGCAGGTTTCCTCGCCCGTCGTCGCCCCCCCACGACTCCCTTCCCTCCAGACGCGCCAGCTTTCCAGTTGCCTGCGCTAGTCCATGGGTACCGGTTTCTAGGTAGCGAGTCACCTCAGCTGACAGGGGGGGGAGCTTGAGCTCGTCGAAGCTTTCCAGTATGCGCAGGAGTTCGGGGTCCATTGCGGGAGCTGCGGCGAGCTCCGTTTCGGCGGGTTGCGTTGTGTCGGTAGCAATCATTTTGGGAGCTGATTCTTGCTGATTCTTCTTCTTGAACAAGAAGTTTCAAGGGGAAAGGATGGTGTGCAGCAGCTACTTAGAGGAACCTGTTGGTCCCTTGGACAAGCGCACACTCATGAGACTCACACAGCAAATCGCACTCCTGTCGTTGCACAGCTGCGCCTACGTAGACTATGGAGGGGTTGAGAATCTCCTGCATGAGAGCATCTAGGGAGCTCTGCAAAGTCTAGCACATGAATGTCGTAAGTCCATTGGAGGTCAATCGAAAGTCGTGCCACTAGGAGAATTGAGCTTCACACCACCATCTTTAGCATTCTATGTTTTTAACATCCATAATCTAGTATCTTTTGGTGGTAAGTACTGCATTCCATTGCCTTCGGCTCATACCTCAGCTTAGTTTGAAGGAGATCAATGTTGAACCAGGAAGTAGGTTGAGAGAGGTTGCTTGTCAAACCCACGCCAGCAACCCCTCTCGTGAGTTGAGTTCTTTGAGAGTTCAAAACGTTGAACAACAATGCCAAGGCTGTCTCGCTCCTTCTACGATACACATGTAGGTGCTTGGATTACAATGCTGTTCAAAAGTTGCATTAGCAGCTGCATAAGTGAGCGGCACGACCACAGGTGACAGAATACAGTACAGAATCTGGAAAGCTGGAGGAGGAGGAGGTTTCAAACGTACAACGCATATGAAGTTTCATCCTTTCCGCAACCAATGGAGTATCCTAGCAGGTCAGTGAGTATGTACGTTTTCGGCCTTTTGACAAAGTATATAACCGGCCTTTTGTAGGCAGCTGGGCATCAAGTGTCGGAAAGGAAAGTTCGAAAACGCGGCGACGCCCTCACTCAAAATCCCGAGGCACGTCGCCAACGAAGTTTAGGGCCCGGTGCTGCAGCGCACGACTCAACAATGACTTCCTAAGAATCTCAGATGGCTACCTATGTAGAGAATGGTAGACATTTGAGCGCACGTCAGTCGGCGTTTGCAGATCTCAGCAATTGACACTGGTAACAGTTTACGTTGGTTTGTGATGGTTGCAACGTGATTTGAAGTGTCAAAATGTCTACCATGCGGCAGAAATGACGTCAGCATCCAGACGTCTCTGGCAGTTCACATCGCCGCGGTAGGGTCGTGCCAGCTGTCAATGTCAGTTGTCCCTAGCGCTGCAAAGTGCTCAGTGTGCACTGCAGGCTTCCTTCGAATGCAAGCTGGTCAAGCTAGAAAACTCAGCTTCGCGTAGGACTAGCGATCTGAAACGGGCTCAATATGCGGCACGGGAGCGCCTCATCCACCTACTTGCGCTTTTCTGCATTTACCGTAGTGTACTTACTTGAATTTGAAGTGAACTCTAGGTCAAGAGACACCGTCTCCTGACGCTTTCCTAATTGATGTTTTTGAAGATGCAAGCAACTGCCGCGTTTTTGTGAGGATCTGCTTTTACCTGGAGTGTTTGATTCAACACCTGTCAGAAGTAATCGGTGGGTCATCTGTAACAGTTTACAAAAAGATATACTAGGCAGAGGTCTCGGGTCACAGAGTCGGGCAGCATGAGCTCGTCGGAGCTTGCTGCAGGGGATGGGTCGGTGGACAGCAAAAAGCCCAAGAAGAGCAAAGGCTTCTTCCATTCTGTGACCTCGTATGCGTCGAAAGCAGTGGGCACGGTGCACAATGGTATCAGCAGCGGCATCAGCAGGTAACACTGACCCCCAACTAGTCTGATGGCAGTTTTTAACGTTTCGTTGAAAGTCCTTTGTGAAATCCGTGAAATATTATAGGGACGGTAGGTGCACACAAGCATCTTTCTGTGTGCAAATCTGGATGCGGAAGATCTGATTGGTTCGTACAAGAAATGAGAATTGAAGGAAATTGATTGTTGGGTGTGTTTATGGTTTGCTTGTAGTTCCTTGGATGTCATTAGCTGGAGCCGTGTTAAAAATGGTTCTTTGCGGCGTGCCAGAAGTTAGGCGAACCAAGTGCGCTTATTTATTGAAACGTCGAACTTGAAATCGGTTGCCTGGATATAATATCAGAGTATCTTTCTTCGATTTGCATTTCCAAAGTTGACAGCAAACTATCTATTGTGTGAATTTTTTGCATGTCAAATTGTACCACCTTGGTTGGAAAGGGTGTGTTCGCCGTCGGTCTCCTGGTTCAGCGGTTTTGGTGTTGCTCCATGCGAAGAGGGGCAGATGGCGTTGCATGCAGACGACCTGGCTTTTGTCAACGTACATTCTTTAAAACACTCCATTTTTCCTGGGGATGCCAATTAGGGTTTGTTCAGAAGTGCTCAAAGATTGAAAGTCGGAAAGGGACCTCCAAGCAGAGAGATCTGGGAGGGCAGCTTTCCTGTGTTATATGTAGCTGAATTTTCTGTCTTCCACAATTGATGGGAAAATGTTATACGAAAAGTTTTGCCACCTGAATTTACCTGCAAACTTGTTTAGAAGTTTATTTGACTTGTAACCAAACAGAAGGCAATTGCGTCTGAATATGAGTACACGAACGGATAATACCAGGTCATCGCCGCTTAGACATTCAAATTTTGCGGCTCGTGTGTGCCACTGCAATGGAAAGAATGCATTACGTTTTAGCCCCTCACCGCAAGGCCCGCAATACGGGCCCCAATCGCAGCCATACGTGGGGCACTGTCTTGGCAACTGAAATTTTCGGAAAGGCGCTCTGAACAAGTGTCTGAGGGTGTTGCGACTGTTCCGAACTTTCGGCTATCGCCCAAAAGACGAGGCGTCAGAGGATGTTGGATCTTCTGGACTAGAAATCACTTTTGCACTGTCATCTCTTACCATGCAAACGGCAGTACTTCGTTTTGGTATGATAGTGGTGCCCTTTTGTGGATTGCAGTGTGTTTAACATCGGGAATGAGGACATGGAGGTTACGGCTCCCGACGGAGGCGAGGGCGATGCAGCGTCGGAGGCAGGGAAGGGGCGTTTCAAGAAGGAAGTAAGCACAGTCCCCATATTCTCTGCCCTTGGAAAGTGGTCCCTCGTGTAGCTTGTTAGAAGCTGATGCGTAGGTTCAAGAGCGTTGCTTTGCACTGTCTGAGGGTTAAGCACATCTGTGCGAAAGTCAATGTTGGACAGAAGCGATGCATTTGTAACGGACGTCGGTTACAGCATTTGCGTAAGGGAGGATCCTTGTGGCCTTCAAACGTTGGAGGGCAGCGATTTGGTTGAAAGCCTGCGTATAGAAGAGGCAGTCCGGTTGTGGCCCATCTTGCCTCCGTGACTACGCTCAAACCCATGTGTCCTCATGCATTGTTCGTCATAAACTGGTTTCCTTGTACTGTGCAGTCTAGAAGAGTTTTGGTATATACTAAGCTCGCACTACCTCCTTGCCCCGCTTTTCCCGGGCGTACTCTACATTTGCGAAGTTCATTTGGCTGCTCAACATGGATGTGGAAAAAATCTGGTTAACAGTGAATCATAGTGCTGCATTCTGGCTGGCAACACTGACCGAACGTCTCGCCACCTGTCCAGGAGCAAAGCCAGCTGTGGACCATGATGCACAAGTACATCGGCGCTGACGTCACCTCCCTCGTGACGCTCCCGGTGTTCCTGTTCGAGCCCATGACCACGCTGCAGAAGATGGCCGAGGTGAGCCCATTCCCATAAAAGAGTCTGTTCACAACAATGGACCGTTCACATGGAAGACCGACTTCACACAGGAGGGCCCTTTCATCCGGAGGGCCGTGTCTTTCTGAGGGCTGACGTGCATTGCGAGCCGCTTCCAGGCAAAGGCCCACTCACAGAGTAGTCTGGTGGGCCTGTTCACACTGGTTGCTGACGTTGTACAGCAGAGTTGAAGCAATACGGGGGGTGCTTTGTAAGGAAGTCTCTTTGAATCAGATCTTGCACGCTGAAATTAAGGTCTAACTCACGTCCTACCACGGAGTCGGAACCACACTTTAAGATTCGTCCGAGCTTAAAGGCATCAGAGCGTTGAACGGCAGATCAGTGAGCAGTTCCTCTTTTGAGAAGTGTGGGGCACGTCGATCGGCAGGCTTCAAAATGGATCACCATGCTGACGTCATGCTGGTGCCCGGTGCAGCTTATGGAGTACACGGATCTGCTCAACAGGGCGGCCGTTGAGAAGGACCCGTACGTGAAGCTCGCGCTGTCAGGTGAGCAGGCTCATTAGAATGAGAACTTCGGAAGCGAAACATTGACCCGAAACAAGAGGGGGACAGACGACCGGGGCTTTCCCGTCCTCTTGTATCCTCGTTCAAAGATTGGCCGCTAGTATTGCAGCTCTCCTTGAGTTCTGCCAGAGCTTGGTTGGTGCCAGTCACAGAATTAACTTTACAGTCAACCGAACAGTAAGGCATAAAACGGGTCCAGTTTTACCGACTGTTGAAGATCTGCTTTGGAGCATGCCGCCAGTTCGAGGATATTCTTGATAGAAATCTTTTCCACGGGATCCTTTTTCCCAAGACCTCTCCCCAGCTGTTTTGCGTGGTAACTCCTCTATCCAAATTCGGGAATCGTGCCCTTAATCGAGGATGTGTAACGGATGTTGGGCCAAACTGCACCCACTGCAGTCGAGAGAATCCTCCAAAGATCGGGTAAGAACCTTGCGTAGATGACCGACCCCAAAAGTTCAGCAGGTCAACTCGCTTAAAGTCACTCCGACTCTGTACAAAGCCCTTGATCTCCCGGTCATACGTCATGCTGACGTCATCCTGCGCGCTGTCTGCAGTTGGGTGGGCGCTCTCCCCGTACTACGCGTACCAGCGGACGTGGAAGCCGTTCAACCCGATCCTGGGCGAGACGTACGAGTTGACGGGCTACAACAACATTGACTACATCGCAGAGCAGGTAAGGGATCAGGTGCCTAGAGTCACAGGGCTATTTGATGTATGCAGGTTTATTTGACTTCTCTCTGTGTGTTTGACTTCTCTCTTTGAGTGGGTTGGCACACTTCTGTTTTCTGCTGATTTTGGCAGTGCGCATCGCGGATGAAGTATGAGGCCAGCTTCTTCCCCGCGCTCGTAACAAAGTTTTGGCGAAGCTTGTCCTCTATTTGGATTGCGAAACTAAATGCGAAACTGAACTTCGCTTGGATTTCTTTTGAACCGAAAAGTGTGCCAAGTAAAGGTTTGCGGAACAGATGAAGGGAAAAGATGGGCCTTGGTGACAAAGCCGCTGGGCTAGAAGCTTTTTTTCCAATTCAAAAGAGGTCTCAGGAGCGACTTGTAAGAAAACGAGATCAACGGCCACTTGAGCTCTAGAAGAACTGAAAGCAAAGTTTCATTCGTGCAACTGCTTGGATGATTGGAACCAGGCTGCCGGTCAGGTTGAGTGGCCTCCCAAGAACGAGAGTTGCAACTTGAAGATGGTGACTGATTTGAAAGTCTGAAAAGCTCGGACGTCCCTCCAAAACTCTCGGCAAATCGAACTGGTCGTACGAGCCGAATAGACACGCGTCCATCTCACATGTTTTGTCATAGAGTGCCTTCCACGCAGAATTTTGTAGGTCGACTCGGACGATGTTATTGTTTTTACCGTTTTCAAGGCCTCTTTGTGGGCTAGCTTGTGCCACTGTACCTGGACGCAAGTGCTTTAACTGTTTTCATTCCACAGCTTTCTGATCATAACAGCTTGCGGTCATGTCGAAGTCGGATTGCGCTGCGGTGCGCTAACATAAGGTGGAGAATACTTTGTCTTGCTCTGAGGTTGCGGTGTTCAAAACTCTGAAGGTTGTAGATGGCAATGACGACACAGCCAATAAGCCGAATGGCTCACTGGCTTTTTGTGCGCTTCGATATCAGACGCCATGTTTTCCACCAAGAAATCACTGAATTGTAGAGACAAACTCTAGAATGCTGAAAGTGGTATATGAAAAGCACGCACGGGAAGCCTGTCTAACGCCAAAGACGTTGATGGGTTGGTGCAGAATTCTTCTTGCGGTCCACCAAGCTGAGTACTTTTCAAGGATTATCTGATTTCACGAGTGTTGGCATCGTGGCGTTCGGGTTCGTTGCTCCCGTGTCGGTCTGCTTGGATGTGGTATGTTGGGCGTGCGTAAGCACTGGGCGCATTTGACGAACATCTGCCACGTGGCATCTGTTGAACGATCAACGGTCGTACGGGCCTTCTGGTGTCGTCAAAGATTGAAAGGATTAAGATAGGGTCATTCGGGAAACAGTCAGCGTGTGCAAACCGTCAGTCGGGACACTTTCAAATGGGTATCAATCAGCACCCTTTAACAGATGGTCGAACACAGTCTTTTTTTTCCCACTGTCCAAACGCATGCGCCTTGTACTTTCCAATCTTACTCTTGCTTCCTGACAACCACGAAGCCACTCTCTGGGCTCGATGAGTAGCACACGCAATTTGACATCTGTCCTTTCTCCCCCCCCCCCGCTTTCAGGTGACCCACCACCCCCCCATGGGCGTTGCGCACGCTGAGCACCCCCTGTGGACGTACGACTGCATTTCCAAGCTCAAGACCAAGTTCATGGGCAACTATTTGGATGTCACGCCAACCGGCCAGTAAGTTGTGTCAAGCAATTGGCCTTTCCGGTTGTATTGTCAAGTGGCCTAGCAGGCAATTGTCGTGGGTAGTTACGAGACAAGTTTTGTGTGCTTTTGTGTGCCGCCCTCTCTGTTCGTCTGGATCCTTATGAAGGGCTAATCTGCTCCTCAACAACGGGTAGGTTTGTAATAGTAAATGGTCTTTCTTTGCGGGCAGTTTAACATCGTTGATTGTATGGAGATTCAGTCCTTGGCTTCCGTGTAAGATTTGCAAGTCACCTTCCTGCAATTCTAGACTTTGCCATATAGAGGCCCTTGCCTGACGTCTGCCTCGTGCTGCCTTCCCTGCAGGACACGTGTTCGCTTCCGGGAGACTGGCGAAGTCCTCGACCTGGTTCCGCCTATGACGAAGGTCCACAATCTGATCGTCGGGCGCACGTGGGTCGACAGCTACGGAGATATGGTCCTTACCAACATGAAAACGAATGACGTCTGTGTTCTCAATTTCAAGGTGAGCGGATTTTTGGCCCGTGCCGGGACCCCTGTGTGCTTCGAGATTGACTATGGGCTCATTACAATCTCTGCGTCCAGATCTGAAGGTTGTGCAGTCTCGTTATTGTTTTGCAAAGTAGGAATACCCACACGAATAGTCATGACGGTCCAGAATCCGCAACACGAGCAAGGAGTTCTTCCAGGATGATAGCTGGGCAAGATGCCTTGATTTTACCTCAAAGTTCGATCACAGCTTGCCTCGCACTGTCAAACTTTGAACTCACGGCCCTTCGCTCTCAGGCGTGCGAGAGAGTCTGGTCTGGCCTAACAAGGTACCTAGAAAGTGCTAATTGGAAAGAAAAGACAAGTGAAAATTCGATTCTCTTGGCAATTCTGATCCGAACCCCGAATTTGACGATGCTGATACTTTCAGGCGTGCGGGTGGTTTGGGTCTGGCCGCCACGAGGTTTCCGGGTACGTCGAGAACGCGGCGGGCGAGAAAAAGCTGTACATTTGGGGCAAGTGGACCAAGGCCGTCTGGTACAAGGCATGCAAGCCCGACGGGGAGCCCATTGAGGGCGCTGAGGAGGTGGGTTAGTCCTGGGTCACTTCTGGTTATTGGAGGTCAAATGTGGGTTACTTGGGGGAAAGCGGGGCAAGTGGACCAAGGCCGTCTGGGACAAGACGTGCAGAGGCCAAGGGAGCTTATCAAGGGTGCGAAAGGGCTTCGAAGATGATTGTTTTAGGAGCGCTTGCGTTTGACCTACTTGTCTGCGACTTTAGAGAGTTGCGTCATGCATGCGGGTTGTAGAGTACATTGAAGCGGTCAAAGCGGGACGACCTTAAAGGGACGGATCGACCTTTCAGGGCGCCGAAACGGCTGGCAAGCTCGGAGTTCTGTGTCCTTAGACGTTTGCGACCTCAGAGCCTGACCCGAACAAGGTCAAGCCGTGATCTTTCAGGGACGGACGTCGCTTGAGACAAAAAGAACCATCGTCTGGAATGTTGTCGCAACTCCGTGGCATCGCTTGTATGTTGTACGAATCTTCTGACTTTTTGTTTGCTCTCCTGTTCTCCGCTGCAGGTGCTGATCTGGAAGCTGGCGGAGGTTCCGAAGAACGACAAGTACGACTACACCTACTTCGCGCACCTGTTGAACTCGTTCGACACGGCGCCGAAGCCGGTGCTCGCGTCGGACGGCAGGATACGGGGGGACAGGCTGGCGCTCGAGCGGGGGAACACCAAAAAGGCTGGCAGCGACAAAACCAAGTGAGTCTCTGCGTTTCGTCACTTTGATGTTGCCGGTCGTCACACTTTTGGACATGTGATGTAGTTCGTGTACCTCGGGTGCGCTCGAACGGGGGAAACACCAACAAGGGTGGCAGCGACAAGACCAAGTGAGGCTCTGTCTGTAGAGGTTCGCTTGCGGGCTTAATGCCTTTGAAGTTGATCGAGTAACCGCAAATTGCAGTTGCCGCATAATATTTTCGCCACCCTTTCCACCTGATGGGGGTCGGCGCTTACCACTCAACACCCTAGAAATGGCATACCCTGGCAGGCTGGAGTAACGACGATGATTCGAGCAGTGCGGATTCGTCAAACTTCCATAATCCAGAATTCTGAGCACTATTTCACCGGAAGTTCCTTCTCCGGACCTACCACCCTGAAAATCCCTACGACTTGGACTGCCAGAATCTTAGATCAGATCTGGCAGGCTAAATGAGAGGCAAGATTACTAGCAGTGCACATACATCTAGGTCCCAAAGCCTTCGCATCGCTTTTTGTACAATCCGTTCCTCCCCCGTTATTAGCTTGCTAAAACTTGACATCTCGAGTCTGCCAGGTTGGAGGAGCGGCACCATTACGACCAGGAAACTCGTTAGGTCCAATACACTTCTAGATTCCTATCTGCCTCCAACCCCTTTTTTAATTAAGAACATCCTGAAATCGAATCTCAGAATTCCTGCCAGGCTGGAGGAGCGGCAACGGACGAGCAGAGAACTTACTAGGTTCCCTAAACCCCTCAATCTATAAACGCCTCAAACCCTAAAAGGACTTAAAAGGATTTGTGTTGATACCCTGAACTCTGCAACTCAAAACCCTGCCAGGCTGGAGGAGCGGCAACGGTACGAGCGGCGCGAGCGCGAGGCGCGCGGTGAGGAGTGGACCCCGCGCTGGTTCCGGCCGACCGGAGAGACGGCGTGCGACGGCGAGCTGCCAATCTTCGAGTTCACGGGAACGTACACGGAGCGGGTCGCGGCGATCAAGAGCGGGCAGCTCAAGGACGGGCTCGTCCTCACGGAAGAAGGTGGGAAGCCTAAGGATATGCAGTCTGCGGTTTTCTGTCTAACTTTTTGTGGTTGCGGTTTGCGGTTTGCGGTATGCGATGTCTGATCTGCGGTTCGTGCTTGATGATCTACCTTTCCTTACGTTCTGGTTTCAAGGGTGGTTGCACTTGCTGTTATGCAAGGAATGACCGGATTGGGGAGATGGGGCCCCTCGTTTTGATCTGCCTTGGGTTTGGGGATGTTGGGTTTGTTTTGACGGTTGGGACTTGAGGACTGCAGTCTTGTCCTCGCTGTGTACATTCAGTATTCTGCTCCCTCGCGTCGTTGTTCAGAGCCAACGACGATAGCATAGCCTCTGTGAGCATGCGGGAAGACAACAGCTGAACCCTTTCTAAATGGTTTCCTTGCAACAGATAAACCGTACTCTTTCTTCTGATGGTCCGGAGCAGTTGTTTCCAATCATCGATGGTTTTATTCAAGGGTCTTTTAAGCTTTGACATTTGTGCAGCACCATTGCCAGGGCTACTTTCATCGACGGAATTCGTTACGGGTGTATCTAGTTCGATGCAAATATAACGGGAGCTTGGTGTAACTAGGCTGGCCACCTTTTCGTACAACCTGGCATATCGCCCCTCTGCTCCGTACAGAAACAGCCCCTTCAGACAGGGCCCCTCACCGGCACAAGCGCCATGTTTCCAATTTCCGCAAGACGAAGCACAGCCACGATTGGCCGGCTTTGTCGCACACGGGTAAGGGCGGCAAAAAGGGTGGTCACCGGTCGTTTAGGCTCGGAACATAGGTTTGCGGATCAGCGGGTCTGTCTCGCAAATATCACTCGTTTTCCCAGTACTATTCGGGACTGTTGTCTTCGGCTGGCGGCTGTCTTTCTCACTGGCTCCCCTTGCCAGCCTCCTCCTCACTTGCATGAATTGTCAATGGTCTTTAGAAATTTCCATCTCACAGCGGGTGCAAAAATCTTGCCGGCCAAGTGTGACGACTGCCTGATTGCCAATCTGCATGAGAGGCTTTCCGTCCAGATTCCGCCAATCACTTGTTTCCGTCTCAAAGTGCGCTGGCTTGGAACTCGACAGTGTGCATCGGGTAGTGTTTCCACAACTTGTGTCTTGGACTTGTCGTCGGTGAACGGAGGGTGAACGGAGGGTTAGTTTATATTCAAAGCGCTGTGTTCCAGCGTTCATCGGTTCTATCTGCGCAAGAGCACACGAAGTGTCTTCACTTTTAAGGTTTGCGTCGCAGTATCGAGGTAACTTTGGACCCAACGCGTCGACCAGTTTTGTTGATCCGTGCCTGATGTTCAGTAGAGGCATATACGTTTGCCCAACACCTTTTCTTTCGCTGCCTTCGTGCGCCGATGAAGAGACGCCTTTATGGCCACCTTCATGGTGCCCGCCAGAAGTGCGATATGGCATCTCTGACTGGCGCGCCTTAGACCGAACACTGGTTAACGTTCATGTGTCGCCTGGTCAGACCTGTCTGTGCTCGAGCGAAAAGCCGTGTCTCTCTTGCCCCTTTCTCCCCTATCATGCTGCTTCTGACAGCTATTTTTGTACGTTTTTCTGTAGCTCGCAGACTTGGAACGAGCTTTGCTTTCAGGTCTGGTTAGCAGGTCTTGGCAAGACCCGGAGTCGAGCGACTGTATAGATGCAGCTCCTTGGTTGCTTATCAGCTTCTCACGTGCCTTTTGCCATTTGCCTGTGGTGCACCTACTACGAGTGGTGGCGTCTGAATTTTCTTCTTTTGTGTCCTTTCTTTTGAACGCCCCCTCTCACATGTATCCACCCTCGTTCCGAGCTTGAGGGCTGTGATCTCGAAAAACCTTGTTTGTTGTTTGCATCAGATAGCTTACATCCTCCTCAGCATCACGTATTCATCTCCCGCCCTCTTATGCCCTGCAGAGGACCCGTCCGACAAGTACTCCCCGTGGCAGTACAAGGCCCCCGAGGAGGTTGAGCTGCTCGGGGCGTCAAATCCCGACCACAATCTGAGCAGCTCGTCGTTAACCGAGTCGCTTAAACCGGTCGATTCCCAGAAGTCGGATCCTGTCCTGTCTGGGGGTGGGGTTAGGCCGGTGGTCAAGCCTGGTTTGATCGATCCGGCCGCGATTGACGCGGTTGTCTCGAAGAAGGCTGTGGGGTAGGTGATTGTGTCGACTGTGTATCTACTGGGTGTATAAGGTGGTCGGTTGGGGAATGGGTATCTGGGACTACGTTTTAGGCAGCCCCGCTGATTGTAAAGCTTTTTTGCTAGCATGATGTTGTGCAGAATTCGATCCTCTCTGTTTATAGCTTGCGGTCTGTGTGGGAAACATGCATGATGCCATGGTGTCAATCAGCCCTGCACTCGACAGGCCTAGAACATGGTCTCTTCATGCCCGTCGGATGGTACTTTATGGATTCGAACGACGATCTGGACATGCAGTCCTGGGATTCAACTAAGAAGGGATTTCGGGGCATTTGAGGTTGTATGGAGCTCAGATTATGAAACGAAGCTGCAGATGTGCATATCCATGCAAGCACTGGCAAAAGTGACGGTCAAGTGACCATGCCTTGTTGTTTTATATGTATAGTTGTAATCATGAGTTTCCATGCAACTTACGTCATGCCATCGCGCCATGTGAGGATGCAATTCTGTCACTGTTGTGCAAGCTGAAAGTGTTTCAGTTGGTATCGTCCGCATGATATGAAGAACCTAACATGCCCTAGATTGAGCGTGACTAGTAATCCGACGTACATGTGCTCGTAGCTAGGCTAGTGACGAGGAGGCTTGCAAGGGAACCATGTAACAATAACCCGGAGGCCGAAAACTCAAAAAATGCACATAACACGTGGTTTCGTTTACCGTAGTGGAAAGGTATGATTCCGAATGGTCGAAAATGGCAATTATTTAATTGAATACGACTTGATTTGCGGATATATTTAACGAATCCAACCCTGAATCCGAATGTGACCGGGAACGGGTCCCGAGCACATTTTTGCCCCAGAAAAGCCGTTTTTAGTATGCCCGGTTGATTATTTTGCAATCCGATAGCACTCAAGCAATTATGTAATGAATGCGAATTACCACTTTCCGAACCAAAAAGTGGTAATGTAGCTTTCCGATAGGCAAATAATTATTTATTTATTTTTTCGGATTCATACCTTTCCACTGCGGTACCTACTAACCTTGGCAATTGTCTCAAACAGTTGGTGCCCTCAGCGATCATGGATTATTCGCGGCACCTGAACTTGAAGTAGCCTGGTGATTCGATCGACTCAGACGAACCGCGGGATGCCAAACTGACGGTTCATAAATAAGTAAAAAGCGCGCGCGCGGTAATTGAAACACCAGCCGGCCTCTGACATGATAGACGGTCATGCGGCTGACTGTACTGCACAAAGTCAAGTACAACAGTGTGTATGACACGGGCAACAAGCAAGCTCGACCAGTGTAGAGGATCCAATCAGTGGGCTCCTACATGCTGCAACTCATGATAGATAGCCTAAGATAGGTACGGTATACCTACTCTGATCTGGCGGGACACTTTATCAGCAGGCTCACGTCAGGCTGGAAATGATGACAATGGGCCGGGTGGTACTAAGATCCGGAGATTCGCTACCCGTGACGTTTTATTGCTTGCACAATCCTAGTAGCTAGGCGTGCAGCTGCACGTATCTAGCTTTTGCTGCTTCATGCTGTATCCCAAGAATTCTGCCTTCGTCGTCGAATTTGCCGCACTGCACGATTGGACTGCTTGACTGCACTAGTTTGGGCCCGTCCTGGGCCGAGTCCGGCAGTGTACCTATCCTGCCAGAGAGTGTATCAGTCTTAAGAGTCCAGCTGAGATTGCAACCATCTACGACTTGCAATATGGTACCATACTAGATGGACGATGGAGTTGAGCTGTGCAGAACTCCCACGTGACGACAATGAAGCGCCCTAGCTCCGCTGATGGCGTCACCTGTGCATGCGGGCAGGCTATAGCTAACCTGACTAGGTAAGCTGTCTTCAGATCCAAAAAGAATGGAAGGAATGTCCATTGGCCATTGCTAGGCTACGAGCAAAGAGTGCTGCATAACCTGGTCAAATCGAGCTCCTTGTGTGATTCTCAGGTCCCCAACAGGTGGAGCATCAAAATTTGTGGTTCAGTCACTGTTGAAACCAAGGCAGAGGAAGCATGCATCCTAGAATCCTGATCTGCTTCCACATGCCACATCTAAGCTGAGGTTTGAGCTCGCCAATGCTGACCCCAGTTGCGGAGAGCTCCATGGAGAGCGAAGTAGAGGAGGGCCTTTCCCCCAGAACCTCTGAACAGTCCGAAATTACAACTTCCGCCAGCTACGTCAGCGGCTTTCAGCGGGCCTCCCTTGATGGACAGCGGACCGCGCACCGACACCATAGCGTAGGAGAAGAGGCGGTGCGGGAATTTATCGAGATCAACCAGAAAGAAGCGTCCAAGATTGAGCATGAACAGGAGCCGGGATGCGGAATCATCGACTTCTATGGGTGAGGGTTTTGCAGATCTGAGGGTTTATTAGAGAGTTCAGAAGGAAAGGTTAAGGGGTTTGTGGGTGCCGGCAGGGAGATTGTTTGGTTACTCTGATCAGCGGAGCTGGATTTCTCCGCACATAGTTCTTTGGTTAATTTCTGGAGAAAGATCCCTCTTTTGAGCAATGGCTGGATCTGTTCAATCGATCCTGATAAACAGAAGAGATCTGTTGTGATGACCACCTTCGATCCAGAATTAAATGGTTTCTTAGTGTGAGCTCTGGCGTTGTTGAAAGGAGAAGTCTGTTGAAAAGCTACATGACAATGAAACGCTCAACCCGCTGGCAACAAAGCCATAGTCAAGGGCCTACATCAAGGTCCTCTGTGTTATTTTCAAGTCTTGTCATAGGGAACCCGCTTTGTTGCAACCGTAAGAAGTGTCAAAAATATCAGTGCGAAATTTGCAAAGAGAGGCTGTCTTTGGAATCGTATCTAGACCAGTAGCAGTGATAGGGGGACCCCTGATGTCCACTTTTAAGGGCACAGCTGGGGATGTGTATTAGTGTGGGCACCTTTGGTCTGCCCATCAGTACTGATAAGCTCAAACTTCGTGCCGCACGACGCACTTAACAGCCCACGAATCTAAGTTGGGGCACGACGGTTCGCAGACTGTTGAGCTCTGCACTGGGCGGAATCAGCCAGAGCCTTCAGAGATAAAAATCTCGCCCAAACTCCTTTACAGTATTGCAACCTGATGGGCACTGCTAGAAAAAGTGCCCAATTGAGGTCAAGTTAATAAAAACGTACTGTGAACCAGCAAAGGTGGTCTATGATCTATACTCAGATACTTCGGGTTGAAGATATGAATCTTTAGTGCAATATAAAGGTGGAGATACTCCGCACATACAGGTACGAGCCACGTGTCACTCGGCGAGTTTACCGGTCATGGACCGGATGTGTTGTCAGCCACTTCAGCCTCATCGCGTTTTTGCTGGTGGTGTGCTATGGTGAGTCGTGCTGATGCTCCTATTCATTTGTGTAAGGAAGCCATCGCCCTTATTGTCAGAATCAAATTTGTTCGGTGCAAGACTGATCCGGAATGACGACAGAAGTTGTGCCGTTGACATTGCGGTCAGATTATCGAAAAGCTATGGTCCAAGAATTGGCACTAAACAGGCAGTTAGTAGAGAATTCTTAGTCGGCCAGCTTCAAGGCAAGAAGCAATAGCACCTTGGCAGCGGAAGTATCCCTGTGCCGGAGTCCCCTATCAGGGTCTTTCTTTGCCTCATGATCGAAGAGTCTTGCACCATCTTCGCCGAGACGGTCAAGCCGTCTGGCCCTTCCAACCTTGTCTGAGCGTCGTTTACGGAGAGAGAACTCGCAAGATTTTGCGCAATCACGCCGCAATGAAGTAACACAGGGCTAAAAACAAGATAGAGGGAAAGATTGCCAGGCTTTTTGGACTGGATCAAATTGCAGGGCTGTAGGTACCGCTCACATCAGAAGCTTGTTCGGACGTTTGCAGCGTGTTGGCAGTATTGGGTGGTTCCGTTCCACGTCATTCTCGGCGAGACGGCGCTCAATCCAGACAATCAGATCACAGCAACAAGCGAGCCATCCTTGCCGAAAGTGAGTGCATGGGATTTCTTACACTCCGGAAAGTCATGCAAAAGTACAGCGTTTTCGTTGTTGTTAGAACTGGAGTTCCGTCAACCTTATCGGATCCCGGACCGGGCTTGCTCTTTGTCGCAAAAAGGAGATCGAACGGACTATCTATGAGAGACTTGCAGCAATTGGATAATATCAGGTGCAATGACGGTCCCAATGAAACAGCTTTGAAAGAGACTGCGATTAGAAAGACGTCTTCCACACGTGGCAGCACAAGCGGACGCGAGTGCGGTCTTGCTCCAACCTCGAATCAATGTGATTGCGCCAAAACCTGGCCGTCACGAAACAGGATTGTAGCCGTCCTCTTGGAAAGAAAATCCTCCAAGAGAGCCGCACAAGGGTTTTGAATATCCGAAGAGACGTCTCTCTCTGATACAGCTTGTGAGTTCTGCCCCGAAAGAGAAGGGTGACACATACAGCCGGCGAACCTACTTTCAAACGCTCAAGCAGAGTATACTCAAATAATCCGCATCGATTGAGCTTGATACAAAGGCTATCGTTCAGTGCTTATCGATCATGATTTCTTGACATCTACTCCGTTCTGACTTTGCCACGAGGTGCTAAACTGTCATCTTACTGTTAGTCCTTGCTTCTTCTTTCGTCTCCTGACCTGCCGCCCTCTCGTCTTGCCACGTGGCAGATCGGCCTGGATTTCCGGCTCGCCAACGGCTCCAGCTTCTTCGACCCCTCCTACCTGACGTACGCCTTTGCGTTGAAGACGATTTACTACCAGGACAAGCTACCGCGAGCTACCGTCAAACTTAACTACTCACGGTGCGCATTCACATCCGCGGACGGAGGCCCTGTCGTGGCGACGGCCATGTGTCCCGACGAGTCGATCGTCGTCCTCCAGGTGAGAGACAGGGCCTTCCATCGAACAGAACGGCTGTGCCGTACCAACCGTTGCGCGTTGGCGTTCAGCGCAAACAAATGGCGAACCAGAGCACTTGCGTGGTCATCAGCTCAGGACGTAATTTGTCCGACCCTCAATTACACAATGAAAGCTCATCAAGGGTTTGCTTCTGAAGGGAACCCCGTCAAGATAGACTACTTGCGACCCGCGTTCACACCTGGTGGCGTTCACACCTGGTGGCGTTCACACCTGGTGGCGTTCACACCTGGTGGCGTTCACACCTGGTGGCGTTCCGCCCTCTGAACATGTTCTCTCCTCTCATGCAGGGCATATTTAGTAGCCCAGTTTACAGCTACCTGCAGCTAGACATTACCCCGTGCATAAACTCCTCCTCTTCCCCAGTCGTCTGTCAGTCCTCGGCGGCAATCACCGCCCTCCTTGCGGGAGGAACGTCAGTAATCATGGGAGACGCAGCGAATCTCAACCTGAGGGACGTCACGGTGCCGGATAAGCTGACGGCCGTCACGACGTACACGTCGTTCCGGTACGACTTGACCCCGGCGTTCTACCAAAAGGTGAGGGTTACTGCAGGGTTACTTTTCGGTACTGTGGGGTTAGAGTGCGTAAAGGTTTTGGCGCGTCAGGGGTTTGAAGAAGCCACATTTTGCATGCATGGACTGTGCTAGACAGAGGGGCAGTGTTCTTGGGTTCTCATGTTCTTGAACGCATGCTAAAGGCTCGCAGCCGACCAGATTCCGTCTTAAAATCAGCTCTGGCTTGTGCGAACAAAGGGGCCTGATCCGCAATCCCTCTTTCTCAGCGTGTCCGCGCCCAGATCCTGCCTCCCGCTCCCGCTACAAAAAAGATTTTGAATTGGAGTTTGCGTCAAACTCGTCCACAATCAGCAATTCAAAAGTTCGGGCGCGGCACAAATCCCTGTTCGGTTTCGATGCACGAAATTGGCCGCTTGCCATTCCCGGGCTTTCCTTCTACGGGCTTTCTTTCTTAAGAGCCCCCGGCTTGTCCCGCCGGGGGGCGCTAAAGACAACCGGGCGTCAGACCTTTTCGAGATTGTGGGTGTCACGCCTATCTTTTGTTGTCCCAGCGCGGACAGATTCGGTGCAAACACTTGTGACCTTGGAAATCAGCTTTCGGGCTCCCTGATTCGCTCCAAATACGTCGACCTACCATAAATGATTCCAAACAGCAGTTACGGTCTCTCAAGGTCCGAGAACAACCACATCAAGGAGAGCTGGACTTATCGTGCAAACAACGTCGGGAGTTTCAGACTAAGAAGACGTGTATTTCAATCCCGTAGGACCCGCTGCGCTGCAGGTTGACGTGTTGCTGACGCCGCGTGACATCACCAAGAAGAGCGCCGTGGTCGACATTGACCAGTGGCGGGAGCACGCGACGGACGTTTTCTTTTCGGGGGTGGTGCCCACGTTCACGGACCGGTCTGCCGCCAACCCCCTGATCCGGTACTACGTCAGGCTGGACACCGTGGCGCAGGAGATCGAACTAGAGCCGTACAAAAACTTTATGGACCTCATGGAAATGCTGGTGAGGCGACCGGTTGAACCATTCCTTCAAATCGTTTGGCTTAGAGTGCACAGCGCGAAGTCTAGGGCCCTCGGATGCACACTCACTTGGTGCCATGTGCTTCGTGAAGCCGATAGTATCTGTTTGTACAAGGCCCAACGGGCGATGATGAAACCGTCTCCCACTCTGAGCAGTTCTTGCTTTTGCCTGGCTTCTGAACCCCTTACGCTCAAACCAGATTGCCCTCTTGATTGCTTGTCACACGCTGAACGCACGTCTTAGGAAAGCAAGAACTTGCGCATCAGTGGCCTTTCAAGAACTTGAGAGGAAAAATAATCCGCTGCTTTCCGTTGCATTGTTCCCCAAATGCGTTTCTTTGTCCAGGGGTCTTTCAAAGCGCTTCTCGACCTCCTCCTCGGCATCCCCCTCCGATACCTCAACAAATGGTTCTTCCTTCGCGAAGTCAAGAAAGAGGTGAGACACCCGTTCTGCAATAGCCGAAGCTTCTGACATCCCGCTTTTGTGAAGGGATTCGAAACGAAGCGTCCAGAGCCCATCGATTCGCCAAACAAAGATGAAAGGTTGGACGTGGCAACTATTCTTGGCTGACGTGAATGCTTCTTTGAAACCAGCAGTACGCTCGAGGTCCTTCCGATTTTCATCCTTTGCAAAATCCACTCGAATTCTGAACGGACTACCTTTCTGCGCAAGTCGACCGGCCTGCGCGCAGTACGAGCATTCCGTTCCGTCAGACAACTCCGTCCGTTTTCCTCAGGTCCGCCGCGGAGCGCTGCACACGGACATGCTCCTGCCCAACTCGAGCCAACCAAAGCCGCACCGCTTGCAATCGATAATGCGCCACATCCACACCGTGCGCCAGGGCGACTCCTTCCAGCGGCGTTCCGCCGGAACGCTGACGGCATTCCGCTCGAGCTTTAAGAAGGCCACGGGAGGCATCCGCCGGCTCTTCTCACCACCCCCGCCTGAGTCGCCGACGCGAATTCCGCTCCGCTCTCAGCGTGCGCGGAGCGCCTCGCCGGAATCTCCGCTTGTGGGATCGGCGGATCACTCTGTGTGGATCGATCCGCCGGAATCTGGGGAAACGACGCGAATTGGGCGGATCGAATCGGGCGGGCGACGGGCACGCATCCGATTCGATTTGCCTTCAAGGGAAAGGAATTCCGATGAGGTAGCTTCCGCTGATCCGCTCGTTTTGCATTTCGGCCTAGGAACGAGTTCCGGAACACCCTCTCCCTCGGTTGACGTATTGAGCAGAAGCGCTCTCAGAGAGCGGAATCCGGCGGAGGACGGAAACGGAAAAAGCTTGCCTCTCGGGAGGGGTTTCACCGGGTCCTTAGAGGCATCGCCAATAACAAACCCGCTCTTCAATGATGACGAGAGCGACGTCAGGCAGAGCAGAGAAACGAGAGGGTCTGACGACATGAGCATGTGGCAAGTGAGACGTTCCGCGTTGAGAAGTTCCGCTCCGGAGGCCCTGCTGACGCACGGAATGCCAGCTGACAGCGGAATCGAGTTGGAGAGTGAACGAGGGGCGGGGCGGGGCCTGACGTCAGGAATCGGTCAAGGGGGCAGTACGAAGATTGCTTATGTGCGGTCTAGCTTTTCTGGCGGATTTTAATCAAGTCCAGAAGATGGATGGAATCTGGTTATGTAGAATTAGTAAGCTAGAACAAAGACGTAATATCAAATCCTACAAATGCTGATCGTAAGTCAGCATACCACGTCATATAGCCCTCCAGTACTCAGACGAACGTACATCACAGTTGATAGATATACGTGTCGTGCTGAAATGGCATACACATAAAGTACTAGCCCTCTTAAGCTTACTACTGTTGAAGCCTGACGACATGCTCGTAACTTCGAAATCGTTAGGCCTAGAGGGTTCGCTCAAGTCACGTAGCAACTTTCTTTGTTGAGAAGAGACAAGGTGCGCGCGACGTGTTGACGATGCAAATTAGAGTGTCGCTTCTTGCCCGTTAAGGACGTAAGAGTGAGCGGGCTTCATTTCCCAGCTCGAAGCCAACCTTAAAGTGAGAGTCGGATTTTATAAGCACACTAGTGAGACTGAGTCCTGAGGAAGGCTGGAGGAAGGCTCGAAAAGGCCAACTCTGAGCCGTCCGATAAATCATTCAACTCGGTGGTTGAGACCGTCCAATGTCCAGGTGCACTCGCGAGTGCGGACGCCCACTTTAAGCTCGAAGCTTGTCTCTCGTGGGGAGAAAGCTCCTTCGGTGATTTTGCAACTCGCGAGGCAAGACGATCCAATAAAACTGAGCATGACATGACGACAACTTTGGACAACTCCTCGGAATCTCACCATCTGCATAATGTAAGGCAATTTCCTGGCGGTCACACTGGACGGTAGACGGTGACGTGGAAGGCACGTGTAACAGCCACCAGTTCTAATTACGCGGCACAGACATGGAATCATGAACCTGGATAACGCGAGACTCTAATAGTAAATGTGGCCCGTCGTTCTTATTGGACTTCTTTTTGCTCACCGTAGTAGCTAATACATCTGATTGCAGCTCTTCCACGCAGTCATTCCCGTGATCGAGTCCCGACCTAGATGCGGAAGGGCGTCGAGTATGCCGCATTGGATTGCTAGTTTCGATCCATAACCCACCAGAGGAGACGTCCATATTTCTGAGGGAAGTACTTAATTCTCGCTGCCGATCCGCTTGGTCCGATCGATGCACTGGAGGACAGGTTTGAGTCTTACTGGAGTATTAGTCGGAGCGACTTACCTTCTTCTCGGCCATGTTGAGCAGCTGTGGCTGAGATTTTTGCTAGCATTTGCTAGCATTAGTTGATTTAGCCACCTTCACAGTCTTTCTCTGTTAGCCCTGTGCCATCTAGGAGTTCAATCTACGGCCCGAATGTGTCAATCGAAGATCGGACGGGTAGAAAGCTTGCAAATAAAAATGTGAAGCAACTGGGGAAATACCGAGCGCTTATGTAACGCAGAGGAGTAAGCATTGCCGGTCATGCTGAGGAATGGAATTCAATGCTGCTGGCAAAGACCACCTTCGTATGTCGAAAAGTTACGAGATAATATAAATCTTAAAACAAGTACTAGAAGTGGCAAGCCTAAATTTAGCACAGGATCAGCTCTGGAAATTCTGGTCTGGACAATTCAGAGTCACTCCAGCTGAAGCCTGCATGAGCGTTTGCCATTGGAGTTCTGGACAAGAATGGCCGCCATGAATGACCTGGTGCCTCTCGGGCGCCCCAAGACGAAGCACAACGCTCTGGGGGGCTTTGGAGCGCAGAGAACAGGCACGGTCAAGCCTAAAGAGGAGAGCAAGCCGCCACCTCAGCTGCCACCTTTGCAGCAATTGGGGCCTGCATGTGAGCGGTGTGGTGTCAGCAAGGACCTGTACGGAAGCCAGTGTGGCCACTTGACACTGTGCCAGGCCTGCGGGAAGGCACTGAAGCTGGAGGGAGCTCCCTGCAAAAGCTGCGGAGAGAAACTGGACAAGCTGGTCAGAGTGAGGCAGCGGACTCGTTAAATCCAGAGAGCAATGATGGTCAGCTTGAGGCAGCATTGATCATTATCTCCTGTAGAAAAACTAAGTCCCCGAATCAGGATTCCTTTGCAACGTAGGCAAAGCTGCGGCCGCCTTGCGCCATGGCTGTCTCTTTCAGAAGGCATGCTCTATACTCAAAGAGTGGCTGTACTGCCTATGATTGGGTGTCATTTGTTCGTACAACTGCTACTGCAAGGCCCACAGCTTCTCTCCACTCGTGTTTGTCGATGACAAGGCAGCCAATTATGGTGAACGCAAAACCCGCCATTTTCACTGGTGTTCTTTCTGCATTGTTGCAGAACAATTGTTGGACAGCCCCTTGCTTGTAGAGTCACCGATGGTTTTGGCCTTCTGGACCCCATCTCCCCCCCGCTCACAAGACAGTCACTTCTGGTTGGTTTGAAGCTCGGGGTCTGTTCAGATGCTTGTAAACATCTAGAATGAATTGGAAAAACCGTTTAAGAAGGGACTGATTGCTTAGTGTATCTGCAGGAGTCCAATCTTTCCTCCACGTGTTGAACCCAGAGCCAGATCAGAAACGATCAGCTCCCTTGAATACACGCTTCTCTCTGTTCTCTGCCATCTCCTTGAGAAACTACTTCCCCTGTGCCTACAACCCTGCAGCTCCTTCAGATGGGCTTAACCAGATTTCCGGACGAGTAGAATCGACCAGAAAAAGTGGAGCAAGTTACGGAATTTCGTCGATACCTGCAGGAGTATGCCATTTCCTCTATCCACCACCCGCGCAGCCACTTCATCGCAAAGTACCCCGACGGATCAACGCCACCCCCCCTGAACAACCGCAAGCGCTGGTTCATGCAGCGGGACGCGCCGGACGGCCGTCCAACCGGGCCCGACGCACGTGAGAAGCTTAAAGGTCTCCGGTGGATAATGGGGGACATGACTGAGAAGAATATCTTTAAAGGTTCCCTGGAGGGCGGTCAGCAGGCCAGCTACATGGCACTCATCATGGCCGACAACAAGCTGACGACCTTCCCAATCTCGTCATGGTACGTGGGGCGATGAGGTTCTGGTTGTGTGCGAATGGATGGGATGTCTACGTGTTCATCTCGCTTGGCTACTGTGTTCATTGGGTTGGAACTGCATACCCTGTGAGTTACAGGTGATGCATGTCTTATGCCTTAACGAGCTCTTCCATGGAATCTTCAGTTGTCTCTTGAAATTTCTACCAGAATTGGGAAAGCGAAATTCGGAAAGCCTTTTATCCCGAGTTTGCAGCCGGGCCCCGACTTTCTCGTGAGTTTTCCTGAAATATTGCACGTGATATGTCCCTCACTTCTGGTTTTGAGGACCCGTTCAAGGTTGCCTGATTTAGGAGAGGCTGTGCATGTGATTCAAGAGCATATCCCGAAGAAGCATTGGAACTACGACTGCAATAGCTGCGCTGACAACGATAGGCGTCAGCTTCGAGTCATACATGTAGAACTTCTGCAGACTTGAGGATCAGTGTCGTTCAAATTTTGGTTTGTTGCATCAAAGGAGAGTCACAGGAGCAGCTATCCAGGTTTAATATTGCAGTTACAGTATTGGATGAACGCTTTCCTTGCCCCAGGTACAATTTCCGCCACCAGATCAGCCTCAAGACGCGCACGCTCGAGGAAGCCGAAGAGCACATGAAGCGGCGCGAGCAAAGCTCCACCACTTACCAGCAATGGATGCTCCGCACCGCCAATTCGGGCACCGGCGCGTTTCCCGTGCAAAACGGGGGGGGCGCCGGCAGGGGAACGGTGCCGAGGGAAGAGGGGGGGGCGGTGAGCGATGACGACGGACAGGAGGATGCGCGCAGGACACGGCCGGCGAGGCGGGACGAGGACGGGGATGAAGAGGCGGGGCGGGTGAGGGGCTTTTTGGTTTGGTTTTCTGGTGACTCAAGCCAGAGCAAGCTAGCTGGATTATTCTTGGAGGAGTGGGGCCAACCAAAGCGGGGAACCAAGTATCGGGCTGACACCTTAATCATTTGAAGAAGTTTTCTGTTTCCCTTTTTTTAATTCGGCTCTCGACTCGGATATCGTTTCTCCTTTGCTAGATTGCACCTATCAAAGCAGTCTTGATTGGGAAGTGCAGGCAACTTTTTGGCCAATAGAAGCTCTCGACGGACTTGTCTTCGATCTCAATCAATGAGAACCCGGTCGCAATCAAGGATCCCCGCTCGCAACCCCATGTCAGCGTCTTCTTTTCCGGCCGTGGTGTCTGAACGGGCCCCAAAGCTTAGCCTATCCATCCGGAACGTTGGAAGCGCAGCAAAATGAAGCGTTCCATGTTCCAGTCCCTTTAAAACAGGAATAAAAAGCATCTAGATCCGATTGATAGAGCGTGAGGGGCTCAAGCCTCTTGTCCGCTCTTATTCTCCTGAGAACTCCAGATTGCAAAGAGACCTACCGCATGGGTAGGTCCTGAATTTCGCTTTGCTCAAAGGGAGGGAGCGTTAATATGTGGTGAAGATGAAGGTATGAGAAGGTCTGGTCGAAACACGGACTCTGAAGAGGCCCTGTCAGACGGGTGAGTAACAGGTGGGAGCTTTGCTTTCGATCCGCAGGGCAAGGACTGGGAGCACGACAGGAGTTTCCCACGAGAACAGTCCCTCGAGCTGCTATTCTCGATACTTTCTGTCAGAGACAGGAGACCTTCACGCCCTAAGAACGATTTTTGATCTGCTACGTTCAAGACGGGGGCGGTTCTAAATAGTGGTATTTTGAAGAGGCCTCGTCAGACTGCCGCGAGACGGCGGATAAATTTTTGGTCCTGCGCAGGGTGAGGATTGGGAACACGATAAGGCCTTTTCAGGAAAGCTGTCTTTCGACCTGCTAGTCGTGATACTTTTTCGAAAGACGGCAAAAGTTTTATGCCATAAGGTCGACCTTCGATCTGCACAATAATTTCGTGCATATGCCTCGTCAGAGCCCAGAGAAACGGGGAACAATGATCGCGGTTCCTGTGCAGGGCAAGGACTGGGTGCACGTCGAAGCGTAACTTTAAAGGATGCCTTGACAGCAAACAGATTTCCGTAAGGCCTTGTTCGAAAGGGAAGTAACAGGTGGGAGTTTTGCTTTTCGTTTGCAGGGGGAGGACTGGGAGCACGACGAGGCCTTTTCGGACGACGACGAGGCGCCTGGGACCGGCGAGCCGGAAGAGCGGGAGGAGCAAGAGCAGGACAAGAAGGCACCGCCACCGAAAGAGATGCAGGTGGGGCACAGCTGCACACTTGCAACCAATGTCGTTTCTTTGTATCTATGTTCTCTTGTCATTCTTCTGCAGGACTAGATTGTTGTTTACCTAATCTGGAAGGTTAGATCAAAAAGGCGCCGCCACCGTAAGAGATGCAGGTCAGGGTCAATGTCAAGATTTGCAGCCTATGTATGTCCCACAACACGCAGCTGGAGTGGCAGCAGAGCGACGGCGAAGTTTATTGCAGATATTAGGGTTGCCGTAGGCAGTGTTCATTGAATGCCTGTTTCGTCGACCAGATTCAATTAGAAATATTTGACTTGGGCGCCGGAGGATCTGGGGGTAGCGCGGCTGCCGATCGTGAGCCTCTCACGTTCAAGCATTTTATCCAGGTGATTTCGCTGCAGAAGCCAGAAAGACATGTTCAAATCAGTCGCCATGTTGCTGTACAAATCGGAGGGAAGCGTAACAGTAGAACGGCTGTTAGTTGTCAGTGTCAAGAGCTTCTTAGGCATCGACTTTTCGTGAAGTTCGCCAAAGAAGTTACACAGGAGCGTTTGGCTCGGTCGCTGAAACGCAGGAGGAGTCGGAGGGCCATAGCAGCGGCTGTCACGTGTGAGTTTTCGTTTCTAGGCAATTATTTTATTGGATTCAAAAGATCCTGAACGCGGAAGTTCTGCAGATATGTTCAACTCGGTCGTCGAATTGCAGGAGGAGTTGGAGGGGCAGCGCAGCGACAGCGAGGGCGAGGGCAGCGGCGAGGGCAAGCAGCTGCAACGGCTGCTCAAAGAGACGGGAGAAGGGGACGACGACGAAGAAGAGGAAGAAGAGGAGGATGAAGACGAGGAGGTGGGGCAGCCTTTTCTATTGACATCATCTCCAATTCCTAACCTTGCCGCTCTGTAAAAAATCCAGGTATGGCTCTGATTCAAGCTTTTGTGAGCGCTCGAAATCCTGAATCTCTGCGTCTTCAGAAGCTTTGGGGCCAAAACACGAGGCGGGGCTTTTGTTATGAAAACTGGTGTCATCAACCGTTCTGCAGGAGAACGAGGACCTGCTAGAAAAGATCGGCGCGCTCGGCGCGGGAGCGGAATCGCGGCCGGCGCCGAAAGCGCGCGAGGCTTCCGTCGAGCCCGGGGCCGGAGCGGGCCCCAGCGGACGGCCGGGCACGGCGGGGGGCAAGCGGAAGGATATGGCGGGACCCCCCCAGGCCGCGCAGAAGAAGCAGAAAGTGGAGACGGCACCGGTGAGAAACTTTTAGGTGCTGGGCTGTGATGCTGACTGGTATGGCAAGAAGGGGAGGCGTTCGGGAATGGGTTCTGGTTCGTTCTGAATATGTGCCCGGGGGATGTTCTGTGTTTGGTTGCTTGCTTGTCACCTGCGGTTTGAGAGTTGGTCATGAGGAGTTCGCAAACTTAGAGCTTGGAAAGCAAATGTAAGATGAAATTGCATGATCTTGCAGACTGTCTCTTCGCAAGATTCCCCACTGAAATGAACTGTTTGGTACATGCGAAAACAGAATCTGGGGAGGTTGCTGTAGGGGACTGGGATTGTAGAATTGTCGCTTCAGGTAGTCCCTCATTAGGGGCCTTAGTCACTAAGTAAGATAACCTTTTGGGATGTTGCTGATGTATTACGCTGGGAACTCTGCTGCTGCCGCCTTGACTCCTGTCGAAACACCCTAAGCTCAACGCCCTCTCTAGCCGTCCCTTCAGCTTCTGATGCCCTGGACCTCCGGTCGCAATTTCCTCGCGAGAGCAAAGGCAAGCCCGCAGCTGGTCCAACGCGAAAGCAGTTCGTCCCTTAGAGGGACACCAGTCCAACCGCCCTTCCAATCATTCATACCTTTTCGCGTATACCAAAGCAGCGCCAACATACCTAGAAGGAACACATTCAGGGACTGTGTTGAGCTTACACCGCCCCCCGATGGCGGTTGGATCCCCTCTTCCAATCTTGAGAAGAACTGCTCAAATCACGTCTTCGTTGCCCCGCAGAAACCTCCGGTCGCCGCCCCAGCCGGCCCGAGCAAACCGCCGGCGGCCGCGCCGAAGGCCGCGGAGAAGCCGGCCAACCCGCGCATGCTGACGGTGGAGTTCCTGAAGGAGACGCTGCGGGAGACGGGGCCTATGACGCTGAAAGACTTGCTGGCGCTGCTCAAGAAGAGGAACTGCAACCCGCAAACCAAAGAGGTGGGCACGTGCTCGAGTTTTTGGTTTCTGGGGTTTTGGGTTTCCAGGGTTTGGTAGTAGGGTTCTAAATGGAGACGCTGCAAGTGACCGGGCCCACAACGCTGAAGGAGCTGCTGGCACGACTCAAAAAGAGGAAGTGCAACCCGCAGACCAGAGAGGTGGGCGAAGGGCTTTCATCCTTAATCCACTGTCTTCACTTCCATTTTATCCGAAAATGTCGACTCTGCGCTTTTATGTTGGTCGGGTGCTGGGGGACAGACGCTGCGGAAGTCCCCTGACGCTGAAGAAGAGGAATTACACCCCGCGGAACAAAGGGGGGGACACATGCTCGATTATCTGAGTTCTGACTTTTCGGATTTTGGACTTCGATCGGAAATTGGCGTTCTGGAAGGAAAACGCCGTGGGAGATTGGATTCAAGATACTGACGGACCTGCTGGCGCTGCTCAAGAAGAGGACGTGCAACCCGGAGATCAAGGAGGTGAGCGCGCACGCGACCTTTTGGAGGGTCCATGTTTCCGCGTCCATAACTCGGTTTGAGAACGAAAGGAGGCCTTGCGGATGATTGGACATTCGAAGCTAGATAACCTCCTGACGGCCTTAGTACGGAGCTGATGGTGGCAGACTGATGATTCGAGGGTCGTCTCTTCATGGCAAGCTGTTTTTCCTGTCTTAAGCCTTATTCAGAACAAGAGAAAAGGGTTTGAAGTCTGGACGGACTGGCTATCAGTCGTAGATTAGGCGGGGCTCATGTCAGCGGGGTTTTTGTTAGACTCTCGCCGCCAACCAAGGGGATGTGCGATTTGCAGGGCAAAGACTTGGGTCAAATGAGAAATATATGTTTCTCAAAGCCAAGCTTCAGCATCTCGTCATTTACATAGACCGTCATTATGGTCATACTGTGTGATTCCACACGGACTCGGCTTACCGTATCAGCTTTCTGGTCTACTTGAATCCCCTCATCATTGGAAAGCCGCGCTTAGGAGATTTCCAAACCCTCAAAAGCCCGGCAGTTGTGCACCTTCAGGAAAGATAAACTCAACTAGTCTGAATTCGTTTTCTTCCAGGAAAAGGACAACCTGCAAGCCGTCATCAAGAAGGCGGTCAGCGTGGAGAAGATCAACGGAGTCAGCATGCTTCGTGCGAAGAACTAATGCGGGTCCAGGTTCGGATGGTTGGTTTCAACCGTTCGCTAGCAACTTGACCGATTTGCTCCATGGTCGGTGAGAAGCCACCAGAGAAAAGTGCGCCAAAGCAGAATTCGCAAGGCAACAAAAGGTTGCCAGTGGGGCGGCAAGATGAGGTGGAGGTGCAGTGCGTCGTCTTTGGAAGGCAAGCGCCTCAAGTCGAGCAGGATCAAGCACGGAAGATCAATACTGCGTAGTTTGGTGGGGCATTCAAGCGACCAGTGCGGCGGTGACCTTTGTGAATGAGAGTACTGGTTTAAGTCCTTCAAGAGAAGGTAGCGCCAGGCTGGACATTGACAAACGAGTGCTTTACTTTCTGCTTGAGGGGAAGCTTTGGCTTTCAAACTGAGAGCGAGTAGTGGTACCTAACTTCTTGTGCGAAGTGCGAATTGGTGAAGTAAAGAAAATCTGGAGAGGGGATTCGTTGAATGGATGCAAGAGAACCTTTTACAACTGAGGAATGCAAGTGATCCTTTGTACTGAAAATTTCTCGTGCCGTGACCTGATCGTGCAGTCATGATTGATCATGGAAGTCTGCTACTAACCTGCGAAATCGTGAACACAACCGGAATGGCTGCCACATGTGTGCTGTGAGGTCGGGAATCGATCCATCGTATTCTATATGCTGACTCTTGTGCGCGCACTCTGCAGATCGCATAACTTGAAATCGTGACTGAGTGGACCAATCACATTTATGCACTAAAAAAGATTACCTACTAGATTATATATTTCTGAGATTCTAGCCCGTCTACGACAGATCTGTATCGCGATATCGATCAGTCAGTGCAGGGAAATATGAAAATATATGTGACCGGGCGCAGAAACTTGCATGCCGTTCCATGATGGGCCTGACTGCATGTCTATATTCACGGCGCGAGCTGTACCGCATGCACATGACCCGCATTCGCGTCATGGCCGCACGCAGATTTTTTTTTGGTTTGATTATATACTTATATAAGCAAAAATTGGTTCAGATCAATCTCCGGCCATTGGAAGCAACTTACTGAGTGCATGTGGCGAGTTACGTCAAGTTTGAAGTGCATCGCGCGTCCGCTTCATTTGAAACGTCTGTTATGCTCTCGGTCAATCGGGCCTAGCTGCCTCAGACCATGAATTCAGATCGATCCAAAAAAGCCGATAAGAGGAGCTGGAGCTGAGAGTACGCAGGCCCGCAACGATCCACATGATCTTTGGCGGCATGGTGCACTACCGGTTGGAAACGTCGAATCTCACATGCTGAGCCATATCGTGGTTCTTGATTGGATCATGTTGGATCAGGATGCTCAGTTTGCAACGAATCTGAGAGAGCTAGAGATTGTCCTTACCCTGCCCCAGTCTTAATGGAGAGCGTCTTTAACCAAGTAGCCTGATGTGTATTCGATATCTTGCATATTTGAGCTCGACTTTAACCGTCTCGTTTACGACCTATGTATCTTGATCTACCTACATGCATCTACATTGTCCAGCTCAACATGAGTCCGCCTGTTTGCTAACACTGGTCTATAGCTATAAAGTCACAACGTCGTTGAAGTTGCAGCAACTTCAATCTTTCGAGAACTTTCTAATATCCGAGTTAGCCATGAATTGTTCCCAGTTTTGGCCGTCAGCCTGATGAATGGTCACACTGCGTACTGTACCCGGATCCAAGCAATGCACGGTAACCGCATAGCCGTCTGGATTCGATCGCGGCACGTAAAAGGAGCAGATCCCGCACACTTTACAAAACAAATGCTGCAGAAAACGGGGAACACGTGGCTGCTGAACGGCTTGACTAACTTCAAATGCAGACTCCAACAGTTCATGAGAGTGGAGAGTTGAAGGAATGGGTCGTTTGAATACTGCACAGCAACAATTGGTCCAGAGTGAAATTCTTGTATGGTAGAATATAAGGAGGTAGGCTGCACCTCACCTTGGCAACTCCTGTGTTGAACTGGTAGTTAGAGAGATACTTTCCACTACCTTTCTGGAGATGAAATCTTGTGCTAGGCACAATGAAGTGTGTGTTTCTTTTCATCGCACATATTGAGCAGTTGCAGTCCCACACAACCAGGTCTGCTGGTGCATCCACCTGTAAGGAGCGAACATGCCAGTCACAGTTTGTAACTCAATTGTGGTTCAGTGTCCTTCTGCAACTAGATGCAACCCATAAAGCAATCTTCATCGCTGACAAGTTGATTGCTAAAGACATGGCCGCTGCTTGTGATGATGTCAGGAGAGAATCTGATCAAACCGTGGACACAGAGGCTCTCAAGTGATTAAACAGAGCTGCAGCAGTGCACCCTGCTAGCTGATTGCTGTCAACCGGCAAAATGAGGGTCAGCTCCGTGATACATTGCAGAAAGTTTTTGCCTGAAAATATCCAATTGTTGTATTGTGCCTGATCTGGTAGGTCTCTCCAGCTAGACAATGCTCGCTTGTCGCACACAGTTTGCTTGCTCAAGAACAAAGGCAGGAAGAAGCAATGCAAGCTGGCCAGGACTGGATTGCTCAAGGACGGCGCAGCAACTTTTCGGGCAGAAAGCCAATACAAGCTGGTCTAAAGATAGAGAATTATTTTCCAATGCTGTGCTAGATGCAACAGTGATTAGCAGGCCCTCTTTGTTGTTGGCCCCGTTATTGTGAAAGCTTGATATCTTGAACAGCAGAAATGTGTCAGAGTATTCGAGTTTGGTATAGCTTGCAGGAAGTTTAAGTGTCATAAGAGAAGCAAGTGAAGCCCCACTGCACTCACCTCAAAGCGAACGCTACGGCAGTGACAACCGCCAGCATGCCTGACAAGCTGGCCTTCTCCCGCCTGCTCACTCGCTGTCTTCAGCTCAACATGCATTCTCAATGCTGATCAAACAGAAGGCGTTTTCCCAGATTGCTCAACCAACTCAGGACCCAACTCAAAACCCGTGCTCAGAGTCGCTAGCTTTCGTGCAGCGCTAGGAATTCGAAACAGGGCCAAACTTTCTTTTGTATGATGGCTCTTTTGAGATCTTGCAAAGACAGCCAGGATTTGAAACCGTAAGTACTTATCGTGCCTCCATTTAAATTTGAAGGTTTTATAGCTGTAATATTAGTCAAGAAGCGAAGCTTGAGAAGCTTCAGTAATTCATGCGCAGCAGATTGCTTGTCTTGAGCTCACTATAGCCTCCAGTCTACCTACCTACTGTCCAGAGGTCCAGGTGCTGTCGCCAGAAATAGCTGCCGCGGGTCGCCCTAGCGGTGCCGTCGTTACAAAAGTTGAAGGTCCAATAGACCCCGTAGCTCAAGAAACGGCAGGTCCTCAAACCGGTCCTCACTTTCCGAGTGACCCGTTACGGCGACCAGTTATCCGACACATCCTAATAGTTCATCGAAAATGCAAGCTCACTGTCGCAAGTTCCTTGTATCCTCGTCCATTCATCGCCAGGCGCAGGCTGTTTTTGAAAGAAAATCATGGATTCTATCGGCGGCGGCTCAATTCAAGTATCAACATCGCAGGCCTCTCACAGCGCACGGGTCCAGTATAACCATATTCGATAAGATATTCTTGTCAGACAATCTGGCTTTCACCATCACAAGCCTGCTAGTATGCACACATATTTCAAGAGTTCAGCTTGATCCGTTTATACTCCACAGTGCTCTAGAACTCAAACGATTGTCGCCCTTGAAATCAACCACGCTGCCTGAATACTGTGCAGACTTGCTTGACTCTGTCGCATGCATGGCAGAGACAGTGTGTTTCTATGCTGGTCACGTTTGAAACGGCGGTCAAGTATACCGGCACTTCGAGCTGCTTTGAAGCGAAGTTCGAAGGGATTCTGACAGCGCTTGCAGATGCCACCGACTATAATTGAGCTGATATTCAAGGAATCTGCAGATGGGACTCGAGGTGCTAAGTGTTAAGATGGACTGAATCGACGAAGTGTGCACGCATCCCACGACACGAGGGACCTTACTTTTCCCTCTGAACGCAGTCTCGTTAACAGAATCACGTAGAAAACGGTGAAAAATGGGGAATGTTCGACTGAACGGTTGGTTCACTTGCAGAGGTATACTGATTGCATCTCTAGTTTCGTACGATTAACGGGCCTCCAGTTCGATTCTGAATCTCAACTTCTCGAGACTGAGTTCGCCTCACTTTACACCTTCCTCTCGCCTGTAGGTAATTTTACTTACGATACATCCGTCGGCCGCCTACTTATCTAGGAAGCTCCCTCTCAATCTCGAACCGTGTCCTCAAGCTGTGTTTTCCTTCCGTTAGCAGTCCGGTCTTTTCGCATCACACTCCGGCAGAAATGCTGGTCCTTTCATACTACTGTACGTATTTATCAGTAAGGTCAGTCGGATCTCAAGGGATTTTTCCTGATGGGCATCGACGATTTTGCTAACGGCCACTTGTGCCTGCTGACCCGCTGCTGGGCGCATTGAGACACGTGCCCCCGGTTCCCGGTTTGGTGAACGGGGGGCTTGCCCCGTGGCACCGTGCCTCGCACTCGTTGCCGTACAGGGCCCCGGTTGAAGAACAGACCGGGGAATAGACAGCGATACAGATGCACTGGCCTGCAAGCGACATGCTTAGTAGGTTCAGAAAAAAAGGTCGACGTCCTTCTGCACGGCCCGGGATTCTCAAGACTTGACTAAACCCGGAAAACGTCTTTTGAGGAGGAGTCGAGCGACAAAACGGGGACGCACGATGAACTGTCCGCCAATAGAGCAAGCTGAAAGGTAGATCCAAGTCATAATGCATGTTTGCCGACGAAGTGCGGTGGTTCAGCTGATTGCGGCCTTGGACCTTCGAAAGCAGAGCTATCGTGGAGTTCCTAAAGCTGTCAAAGTCGGAATCAACATCCGTTTCACGGTCCGTCAACTCCTTGACCGATATCCCTCTTCGTCCTCCATCATTCAGGACTGAAGAATTGATTGCGCCTTGTTGAACCTTGTTGAACAGGATTATCAGAAAACGTCGACGAGAGTCAAGAAGATAACCACCAAGAAACAGCTCCAGAAACGCTCGTCAAGTTTAAACCAATCGCGGTTCTGATCTTACCGCAAGCTCCTGGGAAGTAGGACTTCTTGGCGCATTTGGCGAGGCATGCGTTCTTGTACGTCTTGCCGTCGGACCCGCACACCGGGTTCTGGTCGTTGGAGCAGCCGCACGAGCTCGTCTGGGCGCCTGCAAACCATTCCGGATTCGTCACTTTACGGGAAACAGAAAGTGAGTTGAAACGGGCTTTCCGTAGCTCTGGCTTGCGTTTGTTCAAGACTTGCCGTTTGAACCCGCACACAGGGTTCTGTCGTTGGAGCAGCCGCACGAACTCGTCTGGGCGCCTGCAAACCATTCCGGATTGGTCACGACCTTGGAAAGAGAATTATTTACATACGGGCTTTCCGTATCTTTGGCGGAGCTTGCGATTCTTCATGACTTGCCGTTGGAATCGGCACACCGAATTTTGGCTCGTTGGAGCAGCCGCACGAGCTGGCCTGAGCGCCTGCAAACGACTCCATATTCGTCCCGAGAGTGAATCTACAATCTCGTCGTTCTGGGCTCTTTGTCTGTTTAAGAGTATTGCATCGCTGTTCGCTGTGAAACGGCCTTCTGTAGGACAGTCGCTCTCGACCTTCCTAAAAAGACGGCCACAGAGAGAGAGACACTCCTCCGCCTTTACTGGACGAGTGACCAGGTTTTCTTGAGGCAGAAGTGAACATATCGTGCCCCAGGAATTGAGACGGCTCTGAGTAGCTAGGCGCCGTTGAGTAAATTGTTTTCCGATGGCAGACCTCGATTCCGTTCACACGATGAGCTACGGCGCAGGAGCGGAACCGGAACAGCGAGTATGAGAGACACCCTTCACGATTTTGGTGAAGGGCGACAAGGAAAGACGCTGCAGCGAGTCTTATACGGATCACCATCCACGTTTCCCACTCAGTTCATAGTCAGCCATTGTTATCTTCCGCTGGCCACCTAGTCGCCACTTATTCGTGGCAAGAGGCAGTCCAGAAAAGCAAAGCGTCTATTTGCATTAGAAAAGGGTCTTCTGACCTGCCTCCCCTTGAACCACAGCACTTCGAACGATGACGTGCTTTTGACTATCCTAGAGTTTGACAGAGGTGTCAGAACGGAAGCAAACGAAGTGATGTCTGGAAAAGGGGAGTGCACGTGACGTCAGGCTCACCGCATTCCCCCTTCTTGTAAGGACCGCTGATGCCGTGGCATTGCGCGTCGCACGTGTTGATGTACGTCTTGTTGTCGGATCCGCACACTGGCACCCAGTCGGTTGGGCAGTTGCACGAACCTGGAGACACGTGGCAGAAAGTGACGTCAGAAGGGAACCAAACAATGTCTGTAAATCGCGGTAAATTTAGGGATGGAGTTTTATCAATGGAGCATAATCTACTTACAGCATCCACCACAGTCGCAGGAAGCCACGATACTCGCTGAAATGGCGGATTAAGAACCTCTTCTCCAGAAAACGCAATGACATACCCTGAGTCCCTTCAAAGAAATTCTCGGCACCGAAAAGCGTTGAATGAGACGCTCGCAAGGCCTCAGAAGAGATCTGTCCCGCTGGGGAATCGGTTGGAAATCGAACCACAAAGCATACGAATCCTAATGAAAGCGACCAACTAGATGTCTGTCTAAGGAGAAGAGTCTGTTTGCCCATAGCCGAAACGTCGAAAAAGTATACTGCTTTGCCTTTTTTTGTTCCCTCGGAAAGAGGAAATTGGATAAATCCTACGTGGAGAAACCTGCGAAGCGGCTTGTATCGGAGGTAAGTACGCTCGGCGAAGCGGAGCGACGCTGAAGGCAAGGCCCCAGCAATGAGCTTCTTCCCTGAAAGATGAACCGCAATCCTGCCGAGTCGCTTTCAAAGTTAAGCTTTTTGGCGCTTGCAAAATCGACGAAGCGGAGCGACGCTGACTGCTCGCTGCACGGCCCCGGGAATGAGCTCCTTCCCCTGTCCTAGAAGATGAACCGCAATTCTACTAGGTTGCTTTTTCCATTCAAGGCCTTTAGCCCCTACACATTCGGCGAAGAAGGAGAGACAACTAGTTGCTCACCGCAGGGCCCCGGGAAATAGCTCGCCCCCTTGCACTTGGCCATGCACGCGTTCTGGTACGTCACACCGTCCTGCCCGCACACCTGGTACGTCGAGTTATCGCACCCGCAGCCGGCGGGGGTGGCTGGCGCGGGGGCCGGAGCGGGCGCACGCGCGGGGCCTTGAGCTGCAGAATTCCGTACTTTTCTTTTTCACTCTTTGTCTTTTAGATTCGTTCCTGGTTGAAGGCACGGGTATTTCGGCCCTGATCTTGGCATACTGGCAGCCCGCGGGGTGGATCGGGGCGGGGGCTGGCGCAGGCGCGCGCGCGCGGCCTTGAACTGCAAAATTGACGTCTTTTTTCTATGTTGTTTCCAGACTTTTGTCTTCAATATCGTTCTGTCTGAAGGGTATGTTGGCATACTGGCAGCCGGCGGGGCCTTGACCTGCAGGAATATCGTTTGGATTTATTCATGTCCGATAGGTAGGGATCTTCTCGTAGACGGCGAGAGTGTTTTGCCCACATTTGGCTGTTCGGAGTGGCCGGCGGGCGGGGGCGGCCGCTTGACCTGCAAAAGTATCGCGCTTCCTGGTCTTTCTTTGCCTTTGTTATTTTCTCTTCGTTTTGAAAGCTCGAGTGTGTTTGTCCTCGTTTGGACCACTGGTAGCCGACGGGGGTGGCCGGGCGGGGCGCGAGGGCGGGCGCTTCACTCGCAGCAGGGTTGCCTTTCTTCTTGTTGATCGTTGTCTTCTCGGCGACGTCAACGATTGCATTGTGTCTTCGACGCGTTCTGAGCCCAAGGTCACGGTTCGAATAGCAGTTCGACAGCTTTCCGCTCAGAAGATGAGTTCTTGCTCCATCCCGTTTCCTGATGATAAGAGTGCAGTATCCAATTTTCCCAAAAGCCGGAAAAGCAAATTTCCTTACCGGTAGGCAAGCAGACACCTCGTCTCCCAGCGTCAGGATTTGAGAGGGGCGTCGTAACCGGGGTCAGGTGGCAGGTGTAACCCGCAGGGCAGTCGATTGGCTTGATGTTACCCCCCTGGCGGCAGGTCGGGGGAGTGGTCGGGGAAGAGGCGTTGCAGTCGACCTTGTGGCCCTTCACGAACCAGTCCGCGTTGCAACCGCCGCAATAGTTGGCTTGACACGTGGCGGCGGGGAAGGCAGGGCACTGTATTCAAGAAAAGGGACGGAATTTTGAATCTTGACTTGTTCTGTACCTCGTGCAAGGTCGGGTCAACGGACGAGCAAGGGAGAGGTTTGTAAGGTATTCGAGTATCTGCAAATTAGCCTTTGTTGGATCGCCCGAGATAACCAGAGTGCGTCGAAATCTTTATTGCTTCACTGCAAAAGACTGACAATATCGTCAAGATCGGACTCAATGAAGATGTATCATCCTCCCAGCATTGACAGCAGTCGGCCTTAAGAAGTGCCAGTGGTAGAAAAGCCGTCATGAGGCATCCCACGAAAAGCCCCAGATCTCATTCAAGCTGACCGTAGGTATCTTTGCTTTCCTGGCGCAATTGTCAGGTGTGGCGCACCTTATTGACCTGGCATGGGTCGGCAAAGCAGCGCACAAGAGGCGTTGTCGTGCAGACGAGGCTGGAAAACAAAAAGAAGGGGACGTCAACGACGTACCTTATGAACCTGGCATGGGTCCGCAAAGCAGTCCGCAACAGGTGTTTTTGTGCAGACAACGCTGAAAAACAACAGAGAGGGGCCGTCAACGGTCTTTCAACGTGACCATGCAGCGCTTCTGCGGAACCACCACAGTGAGCCCCTATAACGACGTTTCCTTTCAATTGCAGAGGTGCTTTGTGCGCTGCCTAACCCCCTCTCGTCTTACAAATTACAATTGCGTCTATTAATACGGGGCTCGTAAGCTCAACCTCACCCCCGGAGGTCCGGAGGTCTAGAGCTCTGAGTTTTCTGATAATCGTGAAAGGACACATGACATCGAATGTGAAGAAAGAAGGACACGAAAGCACTCTTCTCGTTATCGAAGTGCATTGTAGACGAGATTAAAGATTCAGTGTAGCGTCTACGTTTAGACTGGACACAGAAACTTTGCAAGCAAACCTTGCTGAGACGCTGTTGTTGCTATCAAAAACTAAGCAGATTGGCGATCGGAAAGACCAAGAAAGCCTTTCCTTTCTCAAGGTAATTCATGGCTTACATTGTGTTCCATACCTTGATACCAAACCACAGACTGGACACGTGAAAGGGAGTCATCATCAGATCTGTCAACGAAAAGCAGTTGTCAGGCCTCGGACTCACGTGGCGTTTGAGCCCTTCCTCTGGTTGCCCTGACACGTGCAAGTATTGCAGCCATCGCCTGAGGGGAAGCTCGCTCCGACTACGTAATAGGTGGCCGTCGGGAGATGGTTGCACATCAGGGATGGAGCAAACTTGTGGCATGTGCCGTTATGCGCAATGCCTTGGTCTGGGTCGCCGACGCTCTTGATGGCACAGCTAAGGGAAAGAAATGCACCAGGAAATAGAAGTGTCACACCTGGTGTGTTTACAGGAGCTCAGCATTCATTCTGCACAGCTTCTGCTTCGATATGCTACTCTGCTTAGAGATCACAACTGCAAATTCGGATACAGAAACTTGAGCAACTTTACCCTGAACAAAATGACCATTCACATACAGCACCTTGATAGCAATCCTCACAGAGGCTGTGTGGTCCTGGAAGGGCTTGAATGAGAGGAAGGGCAGGCGACAGATACTCACACAGTGCCAGGCTTTCTGCACGCAACTGCTTCTTCAGTTCCAACTGAACAGAAGCCCGGGGGCAGGCTGGCTGTGGCGGCAGATGCTGCACAAGAGAAGAGTTTGCTGCCATTCAGAGCCGTTCTTAACCACAGCTAGCTCGATTGAACACAATCAGATCGCCGCTGCTCTGACAGGCCAACTTGATTCGCTGTACAGACAGTGAGACGCTTCAATCAATCGCAAATGATTCTGTACTAGCGAAATGGCCTGCGAACCAGCCGCAGAATATGGAACGAGAATGGGGATGCTCACAGAGAGGACTTTACGAGAAAAGCGGTACTTTAATCAACCGGTCCCAAAATATTGATATTGCTGACCCAAAAGCCCTCCACCTAGCTTACTAGCAAAGGTCTAATAATCTGTTCGCCAAATCAACAAAGCATGATAATTGTTCATCACTATTGGCTTGATGGTAATCGTTTAGTCCCATCGCAAGCATCAACTGTATCACATTTACTTGAGAATGCATAGCCTCCTCTCCTCCATCGCTTTGTCTGTCCTGCCTTATGTCGTTGAAGGTAGCAACCAAGCAAGCATGCTGCCGATTGTCTAGAGCTGTCTACGTGAGGTCAATGCTGCCAAATGTGAATTACGCTCTGCTAAGCTGGCTCCACATTTTGGTGAAGGGAGCGCCGTGAACCTCCGTCTTGACAAGGGCAAGTGTTGAGTAGGAGGCCCATGAACGAATACTATTTAGCGAAGGAGATAAAGATGCAAACTTACCAAGAGCAAAGGTCCCACACAAGACCAAGAAAGCAGCAAGAGAAGCAAGGTGCCGCGCCATTGTCGTTGTATCGACTCAAGCACGGTTAGAACCCGCGACAGATTTCTGCCTCTAGTTGTGTAGCCTGGGAGCTGCTCTTTTCAACGCTTGCTTTGCACAGCTGATGAATGTGTCAGTCGTAGGATGCGCGGACAGCTCGCTTGGCTCGCAGACAGAGGCCTCTGTGGAGCACCAATCATGCAGAGATTTTGACGTCCTTCCTTTTATCCACTATCTGTGAGTATGAGGTGGATAATCACTACAGTAGTTCATGTATACCTAGTTGTGTTGATCAACTCTACGATCTCGTTCCTCTATCCTAGGTCTGGGGATCTCCGACCTCGAACTCACGTCACTTCGTATCCAACACCACCTAGGACCGGCTTGCATTTGTTGCTTATATGAACGGTGAGCGTCATTGGCATATGCTGGACCTAAACCAAACCTAAACCAAAGTTATACAACTTACAATTTGGGCCACGCGAACCCGTACCCACCGTAATTCCCCCAGCTAATCCCACCCGTCTCCATGGCTGCATACGTAGCAGCTAGCTGCATGGCTTAAAGTTTCATGAAATGAAGTACCTAGGTAGATGGTTTCGTACTTCCGCATCCACCAGAAAGCCTGTGCATTGTTTCACTGATGACACTGATGACAGTACAAACAGTTCGAGCTACCTATCTTGTATTACTACCTCAAGCCCAAGTCCAACAGAAATGCCTCCGCTGCGCGCGCGCGGTCGATGTGAGCCTGACTCGGAGACCGTCCATTGCGCGGATCGCGATTCGCGAGGGCCAAGCAGGTTTTATGCACGTGCGTTATCAGTCAATCATTGAATCATGCGCGTTTCGCGGGGCCGGTGGACTGGCCGGATTCCAGAAGCATGTACCGGGGAACCGAGTCTGTAGCGTATCTTGTACCGTACTGCGGCAGAGTGCTTTACGAAGGTACCGGTACTCACGACCAGTCGGGCCTGCAGTGGGCCCTGCAATGTGCATGCGCGATCGGACGCCACAAACGCGTACGTCGCGGCTGCGGCCAGCCTCTGACATCAGCAGCCACAAAGCGCAACGCTTAGATAGCAATCCGAGCAGTGTCTCAGGTTGACATCACTGCGGGATCACGAGGATTAGTATAGAGTAGCTCTATGAATGGAAGAGGCCCTTGCCAGGGTAGCTCCCTGCATGTTTCTCACAGTCCCTCGAGCTCAGATCAATGACTAGAGAATGACTAGTCCTTTTGAAATGCTGGACTATCGGTGTCAGCTCTAGTAGTTCTTCATTGCGGGGCAGCTCAGTTACTGACAACACTTTCCTCCTTTGAACGCTGGGCACCGATGATGAAGCTCGTGCGGCTGGCCGTTCGGACCAAGCCCGTCTTTCTTGTGCTAAGTTTGATAGCATTCGGGGGGCTGACAGTCTTCCAAGGTGGTTGTTGGCTCTTGATCAAGAACCTCATAGTGCAGTCAAGTCCACAAACAGCGGACGTCCCTTTCTCCGAAACTGACTTCTTGAACATGAAATACTTTCTCCAAGACAAGATAGGAGCAATAGACCTAGAGGACACAGTCAGAACAGATTCAGAGAGGAGGCGGATTGTGTGGGATAGATTCCACACAGACCTGTGGAGACTGGAGACTGAGTTCTTGAGGGCGCGCCTGAAGTCACTCAATGCTGACTTGGTAAGCATTCCTGAAGATGCGGAGGGGAGACAGGGACCCCCTGTGTGCACCAGAAACGACAGCAGCTGGTTGAGGGGCCACACAACCGCAGGGGAGGGCCGGCGAAAAGAGAGGCGCAAGATCTATGACGTGTTTCTGTGAGTAACTGCAGCTTTTGCTCTTGACACCATATTCATCCTTTTAAACGAACACTGATAACGAAGACATACACTGTATCAATGGTGAGCGATATTAGGGTGGTGTATACATGTGAGATGTGATAAGAGCTGATTGATGGCATGATCAATCGGTGCCACATTCTCAGCAGGTGGAGAGTTAATGCACAGCTGAGTTGGCAAAGTCAGGCGCAATATTGACAAACTTCTTTGCTCTCGTGGCTTAGCTCTGGGAGGCCCAGGTTGTTTGTCATTATTCAGTTGTTTGCGTGCTGTATGCGCCTTTGGTGGCATCAGAAAGCTGGATTGGAATCCTGATACGACAGATCTGGCCCCTGCTTGTCAGAAAGCAAATTTGTTTTGAACCCTACTTAGTGGAGCAAGATTGCACCGATTACTTCTTAGGTCAAAGACTGGGGTGCTGAGGGCTTGACGCGATTCTAGGAAAATATAAACAGTAAGTCCTATGCTTGGAAAGTCATTGAATGGTGGTGCCCGATGGAATCATTTTTCTCAGCACCACTGATCAGGGCATTATTTCAGTTTGGTGGTGTGCAAACATATAGCCTCTAGTTGTGGATGGATTTTGAACGATGCGAGAGAAGCCAACGGCGAAACAAGGCTTGGGTTGAACCGTGATTGGAAGTAGGTTCTGACGGGAAGCGAAGCTTTAGTGTGTCTGCTGACATTATTCCAACCACCACCGCGCCGTGACGCTAACCAAAGTTATGGGAAGCTCGTGTAAGAGTGTGCTTCAAAAAGCAAACGTACGAACGACCTTGTCAGATGCAAAGTGATTAAACGAAGAGGTCATCTTGAAGAGGTTGCACCAGTTTATGTCTGAGAGGAGGAACCATAGGACGCTGAGTGCCGTGATGGAACTAAAACATCAAAGACTTTGGATCTTGATGCTATTCGGTCTGCTTAATATGCACAACCCAAGGGCCTAGACATCGGGCTCTTGTTGTCTCCTTTGAAAGTTCTGTCAGTTGGACAACCATGCAAAGCCCTTCTGAACAAGGAACCACCCGGGCGAGAAGTACAACGCTATCCAGGTTTGGAAGTTGCAGTGGCTTGAAAGGGTTTGGAGGTTGCAGTGGCTGCAAACACATCTGTTCACTTCCCGAATGAGCTGTTGATGATTGACATCAACCAGACTGAGGTGGGACAATTGTAGCACCTCTCCGTGCTAATGTTCTGCACTGCGGAAATCTGGTGATTTGAGTTTTGATGACTTTCTTTCAAGCTCCAAATACATTACACTGAGCCAACCACCAGAGGTTTCGGTGACAGCCCTACTATCAACCTTGCCCAATTCAAGTTCCGGACACTTTTCTGGACTAAGATTTTCGACATGAGCTGTTCTGTATAAGCCTCTCCGAACCTCCATTCGGTTCATTTGGCTCAACGAACTAGCATAAGTTGTGCACAATGCTCACACCAACGACTGCTCTGTCGGAACCTCTTGATATCCTCAAGATATGGCATCCATTTTTGAAACCGGGGTTCTTTCCAGGTCCTTTGACGAGTTCAAGCTGGCATCAGCCTGGACAAGCTTGCATAAACCAACCTTCTTATGCTCCTCGCTTTCGGTTCATTGGAACATCTGCCTACAATCTCTGACTTTTCCGAATCTGCAGATTTTTGGACGAGCGCCCCCTGATTGACATCCGGCTAAACCTGCTAGCAGACGTGGTCGACACATTTGTCATCATGCAGTGTCCCATCACATTTATGAACCACAGCAAGCCGATGCCAGACCCGACCACGTTCGAGGAGCTCGCGCACGTCAAGCACAAGATCAAGCGGCTGTACTGCGACCTCGAAAACTATCCGTTCCAGGTAAGGGATGCGTTGTGGTTTTCATTTTACCGGACAGTAAAAGTCGTGACGCTGCAAACAAGGAAAAGGGTGTATCTGCACAAGCGCTCGAGTTCTGTGAATGGTGACTGACCGCCCTCTATCCCTTACCTGCCACTCATCTCTGCCGTTTCGCCCATAAAACTCAAGAAAGATAAGAGTAAGCCAAGATAATAGTAAGCTCCGACTAACACTAAAAACCCTAACCCAAAAAGACACCCGCTCCGCGCCCGTACCCACCCTAACCACCAAACAACCCTACCCTTCCCAGTGCGGTTACTTTATTATTATCTCGGCTTACTATTCTTTTTCTTGAGTTTGATGTTTCGCCCCCTCCCAGCCGCTAGAGACGATCTCTCCTTTGCCACTTACTTCTTCCTTTCCCCCCCCTCCCGTCTCCCCAGGAACCCAGCCCCTGGAAACGAGAAGAGCACATGCGGTACACTGCCATCAAGCTCGTAACCGAGTTCGTTAACCCGGAAGATATCGTCATGTTGGGCGACTTGGATGAACTGGTCGACGGAGGCGCCGTTGACCACTTGACCCACGAGCCCGACTCCGCCTTTCCGGTCACCCTCTACGTTCCGCTCTACCGCTCGAGCTTCGGGTGCATCGACCGGAACTTCAACGGGGAGCCAAAGCTGTGGCCGGGGACAGTCGGTAAGCACGTGGTTAGAATTTCGGTCTGCGAATCGATTCCAAAAACAGGGTCATGCTTTTCATCCGGAATGATCAGTCGTTGACATCACTTTCCCAACGCATGAGCCCCAAACTCTTCACCTCTCATCTCCTCTTCAAAATTGCAAGGATAATAATTGTCTCGTCAGCTGCCTTTGGGGCAGATTTGCGCAGGCACAGACGCGTTTGGGTTGTTTCTTCGACGAGGTCCAAATTGTTGGGGTGCTGAGCGCGAAGACTTTTTGATGTTCTTACAAGGGCAGAGAGAGAAGTTTCGCAATCGGTGCTGTTTGGGACATCAGGCCTGTCTGTGTCACGACAGAGGAGACTACGGACGCTGACATAGACACCCCCTGACAAATAACAAAAGCAACCGTATTGAAGGATTCAAGATTTGTGAGGTCTTCGAGATTGCCTGTCACGGCGCCAACTGGATCGACGAAGATGTTGGATGACTAGGTCAGTCAGTCCCAACAGCTATCTAGCCGTCAAGTTCCAATAATATTCTGATTATAATTATCGAGTCTCGTTTGATCCGGCATCATGACGACACGCAACCAAAATCTCCAACAGCCTTAGTCCGTCCGCCCCGCTCGTTGTCTGATCCCGTTCCGGAAACCTAGTTCCTCTCCTCTGCTTGCAGCCACGATCGGACGGCTGTTGAAGGAGAAGGCCCCGGGGCATCGGGACGGCAACGAGATGCGGGACGTGCTCCGCGACCAAAATGTGAATCGGCTCTGGTGCGCGGGGTGGCACTGTAGCTCGTGTATGCACGAACCCGAGATCAAGACAAAGCTGTCGGAGTATTCACACGCGGCGGAAGTGGACGATAACCACAAGATAGCGGCGGTGTTAAGGGACGTCCGGGACACGTGTCTCTTCGGGTTTTACGAGAGGAAGCGAACGCTCGAGGGGCTGCCAACATACGTGGTAGAGAATGCCGAGAAGTTTAGGTATTTGATGCCAAAGTAAAAGCGCACGCGCGCGGCGGCACTGCAAAAAGCGCCAGCGCGGCGGCACCGCGACCTAGTGTAGGATCATTGCGTTGGCGCGGCTAATAGCGACGGGTGCTGCGGTGCTGATTGCACTCAGTCAGGAGAGGGTTGAGTCGCATGTGAGTCAGGTCATAGGTGAGTCATATAAACGGCCATTATGCTTCCTCAAAAGCAGGGGATTATGTTGCCGTCTCCTATGAAATACATAGTAGATTAAGCGGCGCAATTGAAGCAGCTGACAATTTGGGTCCATCGTACAAGTCTTAGCATAAGCTACCAAGAATTGCGGAAAGCATTGGACGAGTGTGCAGCGCGGCCGGCCGGCTATGCTGCTAGCTCAGTGACTTGAATCACTGAGACAAAACAGAATTCACAGACTGAGTGGCAAAACGACGATATCGTGCGTAGCACTGCACTATAACTTCCATGCAAGGGGCGCGTTTTCCAGCCCTAGCATGCTTCATGTGGTAGCTTGATCGACGGTTATGCTACCATGGCTTTAATCGAGTAGCCCCAAACGCGCACAGTCTACGTGACGATTCTTTGCACCCGGATTGCAATTGCTATGGCTTTCTGCAAAATATATCAGCTATCGATCTTTGAGCCGGTTACCACTGATGCATGTATGTCATGCTTTGGAAGAATATATATGGCCCACGCCGAGAACGGAACTAGAACAAACCATTGAGCACATGACACGGCCAGCTTGCCGTGTTGCTTAGACGCGTATGAACTGCTCATTTAATGACGGTGGTCCTCGAGGTTCGAGATCGTCAAAACGTGGCAACCACGTGACCTTATCTGAATGCAAAGATTTACAACTACATTGATACATATGATGCTGATGCTATACAGTAACATTGCAACCCATGAAACCTCAACAACAATGGGCCTTTCAAATCCAGGCATGACAAACTTGAAATCGCCCGATCAGAAACTAGCTATTTGCAGCGGCCGGCAGCCTGGCGCTGCCGTTGCAGCCAGTTTGAAGCTTGTGCACCGACCATCATTCATGCACGCGTCTGCATTGAAGCTTGCTCGTCTGACTGACAACTTCGTCAACGAGACCTTCAGTGCATAATCCACAGACCACTAGTCGACACGCTTGTCGTACTTGATCGTGTCTTAGCTCTGCTTAGAGCACTGGAGAGAGCATGGTGGCTCCCCGGCTGGCTCGACCCACTCCATAAACTCCCTCTCCTCCTCTAGCGCGTGTGCATAAAAGAACTCAGGATCGACTTTCTGCGCATTCTTTTGTTTCTGAGGCACGAACGTCAACTTGGACGCATAAGCTTTAAGCATAAACAACATGTAGTCATAAATCCGAGACATGCCAATGTCTTCCCGCGTGAAGTCCAACGCTGCAACGCCGATTCCTTGGGCCTGTAATGAGAGAGGAGGAAATGTCACGCTCGCTACAACGCTCGCGACGTAGATGGACCAGACCAACGAATCATGCGCCGTAAAGCATCTCGACACAAAGCGCAGGTTTGCAAGCTCTCCGCAGTAAAAACGGTGAGCACTCGTAGATACGGCAAACCCGTTAAGCATGGGGTTCTTAAGGCTTTGCAGAAGAGCATGCCGCTGAGGGCTGCCTCTGAACAGTACCAAGGCTTACGCAATGCCGTGGTCCCCAAATATATCTCATCCGCCAAACCTCAGACCATGTGCAAACTGCACTGAACAAACTTAAACGAGACCGCGATGCTGCGGCATCCGAGATCAAGTTTCTCAGATATCTTCTAGCCTTTCATGCACGGGCGTCTCCTAAAACAGCACTAAAGGGCCATCAATCGGCCGCAAAGATACACGGGCCCGACAAGGGATGTCTACAAGTACGAGGTCAAACATTCCGGCGTGCGAAGTGCGAGGTAATGCTTGCGCAAGTGCCGTTCGTTGTTCCGCGAGATGGCCGTCGCATACAGAGAGCTTCGGTAAGCAAGGCTGGTTACCTAAAATCTGAGTGCTCTCCTACCGTCTGACTTTAAAGCTTCCGTGTATGCGATTAATGGCAACCGGTTAGGAAGGTGTTTGGAACTCGTTAAGCGAGCTCGCGCAAGGGTGAACGTTTCTAGAAGAATTGTCTAGATGCGCCTATCTATGCCGCTTCATACGAAGGGATCAAAAGGTGCTCCGAATTTTTAAGACGAGCTTGATTATGGCAAAAGATCGAAATAGTGACAGCGAGGAAGGCCCGTCTCACCTCTTCCGGATTTGCGCTCCCCCACGCGATCTGTTTCCGAATGTCGGCACACATGTCCTTTCCCCGATCCACCGGCAGGTAATGCGTCCCCGGTATAAGGCCCCGACTGCCACAAAAACGAGCTGCTTCAGGCATGTGGGCAGATTAAGGGAGCTATTTTGAGGCACTGTCAGACATTGTCGGAAGCTAATAAGGACCAGGACACGTCGAAAGGAAAAGCGTTTCGTGATTGAGGCGTTTGCAGCCCGTCGATACGTGGCAGATAGAAGCTCTACTTTTCAGGCCGGAAGTCAGAGAGATGCAGTCCGGGACCAGAAATGACAAAAGGTCAAGAGCTTGCCGTTGATACTTATATAAGGGTACTGACGCCATGAATGCTCCAAAACGGCGCGTTTTCTTTCTGAGTACTTAACCAATTGAGATGCAGGAGACCAAGCACACGTTCAGGATGCCGAGGTTCCAAAACGGGGCAGAAACGGTTCCGAGCACTCCAGAAAAGCTGCTATGTTGGCGAACGGACTTTCAGACAGTCGTGCACGTTGTCAGAGTGGCAACCTTGTCAGAGTGGCAACATTCCAACTCAGATATAAAAATCCAAAGCGCTATCGTAGAAAGGGACTTGTTTCGTACCTGTAAAAGTCCCAGTAGAGCGGCTCAATCACAATCGTTGGCGAGCCGCACGCTAGGATGTACTTGAGACTGCATGACCACGTGTTCCCCTCGACGTACATTCGGTACCTGGAGACCATGGGAGGTACCGCTGTTTGCTTCACAGGCGCCATCGTGAACTTCAATGCTTCATTTTGAGCCGTCGATGCCATCCATCGTCGATCATATGAGTCCGATGATAAGAATCATGATCCGAGTACTTCGAAAGCCGATGGCAACTTTGAAAAAATGTGCTGTGAAATCGGCGACCGGGTTGGGTAAGTCGTGACGTAACATCGTAAAGAACATTCTACTCAGATCCCCCTGGCGGGAGAAGCCAGAAGGTAAGATCAACCCGAATCGTGCGGTCATGCTCTTCGGACGTGCAGTAACGTCCAGCTTTCAGGACTATACGTATAGAACGAGTAGTGATGTCTGACAAAATTACTTATGTTCCAAAAGCGGAGGAAATCCTTGCCAGGCTCTCCAACGCTGCGCGTTGAGCCACCAAACAGCCCACAGCCGTCGTCCGACTTTTTTTTTTCCCGCTCCAGCATATCATCGTTTCGACGACAAGCACGATCTCGAGGTATCCCCACGCTCTTGCTTTCTCTCGTAAGCAATTTCACGCTGACCAAAACCAGTCCCTCAGCCTCACGCAACACTTCACTTGTGCGTACACAAATCACATCTGAAGTCAATCAAAGAACGACTAAGGAAACGTATACACTGCAGGGGAGCACGTTGGGTATTGCGGACCATAATCGGCATAGAGACTGCTTCGAGCCTCAGAAACTGTGAACCATCACAACTCACTTGTGCGTGCACTGATTCTCCGGCTTGGTCGAGCTGCTGTTCATCTCCTTGTCCCAGTCAATGCCCGCCACCTCGATCTCCTCCGGAAATTCCGCCCCGCACGCTAATACCTCTTTCCGGATCATCGCGTTGTCCCCTCGGCCGGTGTCTACGTTCCCCTTCCAGAAGGCGCGCGGCACGCGGTCTTCCCACGGAGTGCGGATGGACTCCCCCAAGTAGACGGCGGTGCTGACGTTCTCCCACCCAGGAATCCGTAGTTGGGGCCTGGAGCAAAAACAGAAACTACAAATCAGCGGCAAGAAAAGAGATGTAATGGACGGTCGTTTTTGCGGAGTCAACAAAGTGAATGGCAGGTCTTACGTTCACCAACCCGGGGAATCCGCGGTTGGGGCCTGGATTTATTTTGCAAATAGCTTCTGCAGTGAAAGAGAGATTCAAACTATATTTCGCAGAAAGGGAGTCACCCAAGTACCCGCCGGTGCTTCCGTTCCCCCCCCAGGATGCAACAGCTGGGGCTGAAAAAGACGGGGTTAACAATCTTGCAACCGCGATATAAAGCTCGGGCCCGCCAAGAAGAATAGGGAGTGAGCTAAATACCGACTTTCGGATACCCAGATACACACAGCACGGCAGTTCACGGCTACGCAGCGGGAGCAACAAGGGAAATGCGACGTAGAGATGTAATTGGGTTCACCACACATGTCTAGTCATGAAGAGCTCTCCTCCTAGTACAAAATCTTCATGCTCGAGGCGCTGAGTCTACAGAATGACAAAGATGGGAAAATCAGCAAGGTCTGAAAAGAGCACTTTGGCAAGACATTGCACTGACGGCTATTGTACGACACGTAAAATATAACGTCTTTTTGCTTCGTCAGGGCACGTTCGTCAGGTTGTGTAATGTACAGCCTCTGAGGATCTCAAGTACCGCATACACCCACACACCCTGTGCAATCACGGCCAGCGCTAGATGTCGAATACGAGTCACTTGACCGAACTCTGATCCGATTCGCAAATCGGGTCTGTTTGCCATTCAAAACGTACAAGAAAGCTCTTGGTGAGGAGGTGACATTCGCCCCACCGCCAGAATGGTCTGGCCAGGCAATCAGAGTACCAGATCTCCTCATGTCACAAATTTTGACATGCCACATCAGCAGAAGAGGGGTCGCATACTGAGAGATAATCAGCCACCTGCTCTTGTAAAAATGGATGCCCCGCGGGCAACAATCACTTGACAACGACGTCGTCCGAAGGCAACATTTCTAAAATGGGCGAGCCCAAGAATGCTCGTCATAGAAGTGTTGAGCTTCTTCTCCTCGTTGCTTGGAAGTTCCTCACAGCAATGTTTCGACCGAAGCTACCAACAAAAGCGATAGGGGCGCCTGTGTGCAAAATCCGTCGTTTGCACGACGAGGATCACACAACAGCTGAGTAAAGATCTTGCAATCTGTGAGCAGGTTACCCAAAAGTGCCGTCTAAGACGATGTGGGATCGCTATGTGCAACTTAGGAGCCTGCTTGAAAAAAATGATCGACCTTGGCACGGATGGTATGCACGAGGGGCAATTGAAACTGATCGTACGACTTCGGGATTCCTTATTCAGAAGACCAGGGGTCCCTTGAGAAGACTACGTTAACAGTCAGTGGAAGGCTCTGCTAGGCAAAGGCCTTGCACCGAAGTCCGAGATCGAGTTCAACAGTCGTGCACGAATCAAAAGATGGACAGAACAACTTCCAACCTGAGTTCAATGGCGGGAAAACGCAAGTTGACAATCCTTCGTATGGTCGACTGATCACCTCACGGAATCAGTTTTGTGGATGCGATTTGTCGGAGAAAGTTGCCTGGTTGGCGGCTATGGACGCGTCTAAGTTATCAGGTGCAAGCGCTAAGGAAGTAACGATTAACTCAGCGTCGAAACGAGTTCCTCCGCATTGGGTCGATGTCTCAAGGCTCACGTCCCGCTCCAAACCTGGGTGGGGAAGCCAGGATTTGCAGCATCACTGCCAAAGATGAGTGATAGTAGACATAGCCCCACGCTAAACTTCCCTTTTCGCATAGGTCCCTTCCCTCCAACGAATCATAGAACGGGCGAGCTGCGCATACATTCGTCAACGGGACATACCGAGCAAGTACCTGAGTTGAATCTCAGTAGGTTCGATCGTGCAATTTCAATTTCAAGACTGCTCTACCAGATGTTTCGCTGCAAACGATAGTGCAATCTGGGGCTCAATTGAAAATGACGCATCGAAGGGAGTCTTGAGTGTCATCAACGAGTGAGACAACATAAAAGAGCCAATTCACGGACGTGACAACGCGCAACTTCGAAGTTGGCGAAGCAGAGGCTCGTCGGAATCAGACATAGAAGATTTGAAGCAGGGGCGTTTACGAACAGGCGTTCGTGGCATTCAGTTTGAAGCTCGGAGAAACCTGTTGAGCTTATCAAGTCACCCATGTCTAAGCGTCTTCTTCGCCACAAACAGTCTGCAAGGCAATCCTAGTGAATGCAAGATTTATCAGCGTGCATAACTTCGATACAGTCAGGCAATGAAATCCAGATCATTATAACCTCTGCCATTTGAAACAACGTCACCCTTGTACTCTCTGCACCAGATACACTGCTAAACAGAAACAGGGCAGCCAATGATTGCCGAAAAGAAAGCACATGTGGGCCACGAACGCGCTGATTTGCAATCAGCACTTGTAAGACCTTTCTTCCCGACCCTTTCCCCAAACTCATAGTGGTGCCGAAAACAGCCCCCACGGATAATCGTCCCGGCCACGTTGTTCAGCTGATCGGCCGGGCTATTGAGCTAACAAGCATACGTAGAGCACGGAAGCATTGCATCAATCTGTTTAAAGTATTGCTACTAGCCAAGCAGGAGCTCTCACGAGTAGCGCTCGATAGCACCACAGACAAGGGCCCAAACCCAAGTCGTTGAGAAGGGCCCAAACCCAAGTCGTTGAGCTGTTCATCCATTCTGACGGACGGCCATACGAAAGCATGCTGGTTGAAGATAAAACAAGGAAGCGTTCGCACAGTAGAACAAAGGCAATTTCTCGAAAGTGAAAGTGTTATCCATTCAAAGTCCGGAAAATGATAGAAAATCGCAGGAAGAGACTTGTTTTTCAACCGGATGCTCTGTCTCTGACGAGACTGGACGACTGCGGAGGCAATGAGGGAGTTTGCAAAGGTGGAAAATTGTAAGGGGATTGTGCAGGCTATGCGCACCAAGAGTCTACTTCTAGGCGTGGCTTCACTCCATAGCCGGAAAAGCATGGGTTTTTCCCAAGAGGTTTTTGATCATAGCCACTATGATAACCAGAAACATAAACAAAAGGGACGACAAAGAAAGTGCGCAGGCCGAGAGCAAACGCCAGGTTTATTCGTTAACAAGCACTATCCCCAACAAACGACGTTTTGTTCACAGGGAACGTCGCCCTGAGCCAGATCTCGACTAGGTAGCGAAAAGGCCAGAGCCACTCTCAACAGATCTAAAAAGCGAGCGGGAATCGCAAGAGAGTCATACTTGTCGAGAGCTCAAAACAAAGTCGAATGTTGCTCGCTCGTTTTTTTGGACGACTCTTATTGGCGCAACGCCGCTGCTTTGAGCCGGGCATCCAAGCGCCCGAGGAGGTTGGCTTTCGAGAAGACTTATCGGACGAGTTGGTTTCGGTGCAAGGATCGTAGCATACGGAATTCTCGAAAAGCTTTGAAGGAGCAAACGAAGGACAGGGTACGGAGGGCAGAGAGATAACAAGCGACGCTAAAATATGATTACGGCAACGTTGCACCAGAACTGTAGGGCAAGGAGTCCCTGTGAGCTTCCCTCCACACGGTCCAGTCGGGTAAGTCGGAGCGCGGCATTGGGCAGTCGGAGGAGGCTCTGGTATCGGATTTCGAATTCGTTTAGTTAACACTTATGGAAAAGCTTGAGGTAACACTTCTGGAAAGCTTGAGGTCATCGGCAAGAAGATGGTCTCTGGCTCCATAACAAGCAAGCCTGATGTCCCCACGGACTAGAAGTGGGAAGGTCTCTGCTGCTAAAATCATGGCCACAGTGTCTAACGACTCAAATTATCCAAAAGGACGGTATAAACGATTTTAAAGATAAGTACCGTGCAGAGGAGCGGCGAAAATGACGCCGTCGACTTTGCCGTCGACTTTTGTGTTAACAGGATGCGCAGTCCCCGCCTTCAAAGCGTCTCGACACAGGTGACCGCACAAACACCTCAGATTGAACGTTGGAGAAGTTCAACAGGAACGGTTCGTTCCTGGATATTCTAGGCGGTGCCTAGCAGATTATGAAAGCTATCAAAATCACCAGGAATTGGAGTGGAACTGCCCCGTTCTACAACAGCATCGTATGGACAGAACAGGTCCCCATTTCGAAAAAATGAGGATCTCTTGTGTCCTGAATCATGGCTTATGAGATCGACAGCAGAAGACTCAAAGTCGCAGCCCCAAAACAGGTGGGTGGGGCAGTCCGTAAGCCCTGACCGGAAATGAAGAGGCAGATGCATGTGACTGGCATCACTTCTGAAAGACGGGAAACTGCGGCGGAGCTCAGGCGCCAGCCAATTGTTCCAGAAGAGCAGAAATGAAAACAAGAAGGTCCAAGCATTAAGCAAGAAAGAGGACGACACTTCGGTCTGATGTTTTGCGAAGAAGAGCCGCAAGAAAGCCATGGGGTAAGGCTTCAGCAAAAAAGGTTTTCAACTATCTGTTTCCCAAGAAAGGAAGATCAAGTCATCAAAATAAAAGACTGACGACGCGTTTGGGCTTCGGGCACGTGCTGCCTGCTGACGTTGCAGTTTGACCAGACTACTGGCAATAGGCACGTGTTAGTGCCAAGCAAGGTAATACTGTTATATTTTTCGAGACAAAAGGATTCTACTTGGCTCGTGTGTTGCAGAGGAGCAACTTTCTTTTCTTGGCTCACATATCTCATAGCAATACTCCTCTTAAATTTCAGCAAAAAGAGGTGGAGAATTAATCATGGCCGAGGGCGGGATGTGAGATTAGAAAGGCCGGTTTGCACAGCCTTGAAAGGATTTATCAAGTCGAGTGCAGAAATGAACCTCCTAGGAGTTTCTAGGATTTCGCAAGTAGTCTACAGATTGAGCTGCTAGACACCGACATGGACATAGAGGCCTCAGTTGCCTGTCCACAACCGGATACCAGATCTTTCCGGGGCCTAGAGAGTTGCAGTAACTCGAATCGAGAACAAACTCTCAGCGAGCAAGCCCGCTCTTTCTAGTAAGCACGGGGAGTAAGCCCTCTCTGACGCAAGAATTCAAACATCACGACTGACCATCCGCCATAAGGTTAGCCGCAGTTGGCAGTGAAAGGTGAAACACGAACGCACCCACAGGACCCCAGCAAAAGGGACAAGAAGCAAATTTGATCCTTGGTCAGGACAAAACGTCGTACTCAGAAGAAAGCTTTTACCAAGAAGCAAAGCAAAAGAACTTTCATTCTACAGAAGGGAGGGCGCTCACCAACCCCAGAACGACCAGTCGGGCCACACGAGGTCGTAGTGCCGGTCCGAACCAACGTAGTTGAACAGCGCCGGGGGTGACGTCACGTTGACGTTGTAGTCCGCGCGCACGATTTGGGGGTCGTCGCAGCAAAACACCATGGCGTCCACGTCAGGGACCTGTGGACGGAGGATGGACTTGCGGTGAGAAGAGCTAGATTCCATCTCAGATTGGAAAATGAGATTCAAAACCATGATTTCAGAACCTTGATATGGCTGAGGGGTGATGCCGCTAGGGCGTGAAGAACTCTGGTCTGGGGGGTGATTGTGGCAGCATCAAGTGGCCTGCTGCGTCAAGGGCCTGGGAAAGAGAGTTGGAGTGTGGTTGGGGGCGAAGAGAGACTCGGGTTCGGGGGATTTCGTTGCAGCGGAATGGAACGGCCTTTTGCGTCAAGGCCTCACTGGTGATCATGGATTGGGTGAGGAGTGGAGATGCGGGAGGGGTGTGGGAATCTCTTTTCAAACAGTGAGCGCAGAGCTCCCATCGCCACATCACTGGTCAATTGGTGCAGTCCCTATCTGGGGCAGCCACCATTGTCGCGGGGCCCGAGTTTCTGATGAGCCACCCGTTCGCAACAGGCGAAGCCAGGTACTTCACCTGAGATGCACAAGGTTCGTAAGGTCCGCAAATGCTAACTCATCTTTTCCATGTAGTGCAACTTTTGATTACGTCTATGGTGTGTAAAGAAGGGGTGGAATGGAGACCCCGAAGAAGGCTGCTCATGTTCTGGGTCACCCCTTGCAAGCATCAAAGCGGCTACAGGAGAAAGGTCGTGCAGCCGATTCTCCGATATCAGCGCATTCGTCTCCTGATTTCGACTGACGGTTCGAACAAACGACGAACAGTTCACTAGAGAAGCAGAATGAGAGATACGCGGCTCACATGATCCGGGTAGCGCCGCACAAGCATCATGAGCGACCACATGAAGAAGGTCATGCGCCGGTAGTAACACCCACGGAACCACTCAAACGAAAGTTCGCCCTTGATGATCTGCAGGGAGGCGTAGAACTTGAAGCACTGTCGATGCGAATCTGATCTCAAGTCGGTGGTAAGAGCTTGGTTGAACCAGAACGCAGTCCTGGTTTGCGCGGGATGAGTGATACCTTGTTCCTAGAAGTTCAGAGCATGCGAGGTGAGAAGCATGAGACAGATGTTTGAAGGGGTAGCTCTACATCTGTAGAGCATTCTTCAATGAGGTCTGGTGGCTTGGCCAACGTCAGTCGATTTGATTGCTTTCTGCTATGTTTTGTTTCACTCTTCACGACCAATGGCATCCACAACCATCGTTCAACATCTGCAATGCATGCTACACTGTTCCGCAGCTCTTCACTGATGAATTGCACAACCCAGAAGGTGAAAGAGCAGATTTATGGTTGATCTACTTTCAGTCGGCTGAGTCCCAAGAAGAAACAGCGCAAGAATTTTGTTTCTGCCCCTTTTAGAATCTCTTGGGACGCAATGAAGCTCTAATTCGAACTTACCTGGAACCGAAACGCCGCAAACTCCTTTGCATCTTCAATGTTCTGCAGCGAGATGCCCTCTGGCCAGAAGCGCAGGTCCGTCTCTGCGTTGCAGAACCAGGGGGGGCACTGCGACCTGCTCTTTGTCGCCCCCGGATAGATGTCGAAGTTTTTAAACGAGAGCTCAACGAACTGGGAGGCTGTTGATGCAACGCGTGAAGACGCTTCGGCGATGAAGGAACGGCGGCCGGCGATGAAGAGGAAGATCTCGAGGAGCAGGATTTGCTGCGAAAAAACAACTTGTTTTTCATGAATTTATTATCGCTCTGTCCTTCTTCGTGTCCCTGTACTATCTAGCCGACCCCAAAATAGGCCCTGCAGCTCTGAAGGGGAGCTTTCTAGTATGCCTGTTTGTTTATGGTTTCCTAGGATCTATCGGTTGGCAAAGACTGCATTTGGGTGTCCACGGGCAACAAGCTAAACTGCTTGTTACACAAACAGGAATTCGAGTTTCCATCGCAATTGGTACCAGGTATGACTGATCAAATCACTGGAAGCTGCTTGGCGACGCTTGCGCTTGACTCGCGCACCATTCAGTCAATCATACACAAGCAAAATCGAACGAAGTCACCACAGATCTCACGGGTGCGGTTCCAAAGGTTTTCTGGGGTGGTGTAGTAGGCAGGTAAATCCAAATTGCGCAATTTGTCACTGTACAAATCCAAGGACTTTGTAGTGCACACAATAGTAAAGTGCGCCGATTTGGATAAATTCTGAAGAAGCGACTCAGCACTTTGTTGTGCAGGTTTGGTACGAGTGGTTTGCATGACAAAACTGGAAGAATTTGCAAACTAAGCACGACAGTGGTCCCAAATGCACTGATGCGTGCACAATGAAGTGCAGCAATTGTGAAGCGTCCCATACGTCTTTCTTTCACCACCGGTCATCGAACTTCCGTGCATCCACCGGCTGAAAACTCTAAAGCCACTTTCGCTTCATGAGTAGACTTTTCATATCTTTCCAGAGAGAGTATTGGTTGGAAGAAAAGCAGAGGGAGTGTCGTGCTTGAGTCCGTTGTGCTCTAACTATCAAAACATAGTATTCCACGAGTAGCATACTTAACACAGGAGAGAAAATAAGTCAATGTGGGGCAGACTCTGTCACATCATTGTACGATACTGCCGAAGTGGCCAACAACTCACCACAACTCCCAGAACAATTATGTTTCTCCGGGAGCACAGGGAATGCGGTAGCTTCCTCCTGACACCAAGGCCAGAGGAAGGAAAAGTCTGCATAGCGCCCGCTCGGCTGCAAGAACTTTTCAAAGTTTCAAAGTTCTACTAGATTTTCTTGAAGCCCAGGGCTGCTTCTCACCCACAGACAACATAATGACGCGTTCCTGTTCTTTTGAGCAACAAGGAAACGTCGATTTTGGGAAAATCTGGATCAGATATGGAGCTCCTCGCTGCGCATGCTGCTATGCTTGCATTGCAATAGCCAAGCTACAGCCTTGGTACAGCCTTCCTGGGCCTAAATGCAGCCTCAGGGCGCCTATCTGGCAGTGGCGCAAAACTATCAAGGTAGACTCCTTTTGTTAGTGTCTCCGCCACTCTGATTGGTGTGAAGTACTCTCAACCCACCTGGAAGCACCTGAAGTGTGACAATTATTGCAAGTTGTCGGTGGTTACGGGAGTGGTTACAACGTTGACAATGAGACTGACATCGACATTGACATCGACATCGACATTGACATTGACCCCGGGGCACTAACTGTGACATTAGGGCTACGTTGCAAACCTGTGACGGTTCACGCCAACCGACGAGCGCTTTGTTAGGGTTACGCCAATTCCCAGTGACATTAGGGTTACTCACTAACTGTGACAGCCGGGCAGAGTTCTTTTAGTTTTAGTGTTGTAGGCCATTTATCCTGACCCGGTTCCATCCGTACTAGAATTTGTACCGCAATGTGTACGGTAAAACCTGACATTCTGACGCATTTTTGTTCGAAGGACCTGATCTGACAGTACGGTCCACGCGGATACCCTGTGAACCTATGATCCCGCGTGTAAGATGTTTTCACACGTTTTGGGAGCCTGAGACACTAACAAAAGGAGTCTACTTCGTTGTACTTGCGGCAGTGGCATGGTGGGCATGCTTGCTGGAACTGTGGCGATTGCCCGACCGTGCCCTGGGCCTCAGGCTTCATGAGCTCGGCCAGTCACAAGAACCGCCGAGCCTTATACAGGGGGATCGATTTCAGTCACGGAGGATGCCCCCTGAAATGATCGTTTCCGCCAGCCGTAAGAGCGAGGCGACGCCCAATTTATCTCGTCTTCAGGCCGTCCGATCGCCAGGCGTGCCCTAAAGATGTCATCTGCGGCAGCGAGCTTCCGGAAGCTAGCAGCGCGAGCAGGCTCAGCTGAGATCCAGAATCACCGCGTGCTTGAAGAAAGTTTACCCGTACATACAGGGGTGCGTACCGTCCTTGCTGCAGGTTACGTACTGTACGTACCACGTACGTACGACTCCGGAGCAGCTACGTACCTGGTTCAACGACGTACCTAGGCACGCGTACCTTCGTAGGTACTGAACTGTAGGGTCGATGTCGGCTTCGCGATTGGTCGAGCTGTACCTATCAGCGCCATGTACACTTCTTGAAGTTTCAGCTGGTTCGCTTTTGCTGGGCTTTTGCCCTGTGCTGCTTCCCAGCCTTCTCCTTGGCTGTTGATCGCCAAACTAAAGTGTTGACTTCACGTCTTCAAAGCCTGCTTGATTATCTTGTTTAGTCTGGCAAAGTGCAATCAGCCCACTAGTGGTACCATGCGTCATCACCACTACAAAAGTTCCTAGAAGCAAGAAAGTTTCTACTCAAGTTCCAACCAACGCAGAACCGTTTTCCTGTGATTTCTTCCAGGAATGTCGACTCAGTCATTTGCTCGGGCCGCAAAGGCCGGGCTTCCGCCAGCAACATTGAACCTCGCCACCGCTCAACACCAACTAGTACAATCAACCACAGGTGGCGCCAAACCAGCTAGTTCTTTCTACAGAGCCAAGAACGGATGCCGATTAATCTTTTGTGGGGCGGACAGCCACAAGCGAAGAGCGTCTAGGAGGGGTTTACTGGCACCGGGAGCTTCGAGAACTGGATCTCATTGCTCAGATTATAGAGCCTGCAGTTCTCGTGCGCATTTGACACCGGCGCTTGGCAGGAGCTCCAGGTTCGTTCCTAACGTGGCAAACCAGTGGCAATCGCGCAATGCTGAGAGGCGGAGAGCTAGTGTGAGGGCGCAGGCCAATGCCGCAACTGTAGTGTCAAATGAGGGTGGTGATGATCCAGACTTATATGAGATGACACCACTTGAGCCAGCTCAGCCCAAGCAGTCTGCACCCACGGCAGAAGAGCTGGCATTGGCGAGGGAGACAGTTCGCAGGCGGCGGGCCGCAGAGAAAATGGTTGAAACGGTACGACTTTCACTCTGAATTGATTGCCAAAAGAGTATCTGTCTAAGACTATTCAATGACAGGGCAGCCAGCAGAGCTTCACGATTAGTCCTCGCACAGTTCTTATGAAAGTAACCCCGGAAGCATTGCAGACTGTCTTGTGCAAGAGAGATGTCTTGTGCAAGAGAAATATGTAAGTCAGGGTAGCTTTCCACATGGTGGTAGGGGCTTGATTGTGAGTTTTGTTCTATTGACAACCTGGGCTCTGAAGAATTTCAAACGGTAGCCCTTCAACCAGACCTGTGTTGAGACTGCCCTCTTTGAATGTTCTTGACAAATCTAGGTTTTGATACCGTCTGCAAGTACTTGAATTCTGAGATCCAGCACGACGGGGGACAAGTGGTTCTCTGATATCATGTACGATGATGCTCTCATGGTTGTTGAGTACCTTGGCATGGAGTCGCGGCAAAATCTTCTTTGTACCGCAGTCTTGTGAATGACTTTCACCGTCCCAAGTGCTTCGGCAGCTAAGAACAATGTGCAGTGCAGGTTTCTACCTTACAACATCTTTCTCAGAAAGAGCGATGCTCGTACAAGGACGAGCATGTGCTGTCCCATCTTGGAAAACTAACAATTGTGACGATTGGGCTTGCAGATGATCGTCAATTGCCGCTTCTTCACGCTTGCTGGCGTTGTTGGGTCGCTCACTGGATCCCTCCTCTGCTTTCTCAAGGTAAGCCAAGGACCGCACTTTAATGATGGGGCGTCATGGCCAAACTTGGAAAATTTGATATAGAATTCCAGATTCTGTTTGTTCCTGGCTGCCCTTTATCTTTCTTGCTTGTGTTGGAAAAAGCGGCTTTGCTGGCAGAGGATTGGATGCTGCTCGTAAAGTCAGGAGTAATTTTCAGGTCGACAGTGTACGATCAGCAAGCCATGATTCTTATCCAAAACTTGATGAGCTGTGGCCTGTGCATCCAGTCTCTTCAGCGGACTGAGGCGCTTTGCTGCTCATCAGAGATTTGGTCATTTCCATTGGCTCTTGATTTCAACTTCATCTACGAATGAAACCTTCGGTTAAGAGGCCACGTGACCAGCGGCTAACCGGGGGCTAACCGGGGATGATTAAAGCGTTCTTTCGTGTTGTTCCTACAGGGAAGTTACTACGTCAGCGCGGCTGTCGTTGGCTACGTCATGATGCTGCTTGAGATGCCGAACCGGTGTAAAGTGGTTTTGAAGCTGATTGAGGCGCTGGGTAAGATCATCAATCCTCCTTCCTAGAGAGTTTGCGTTTGACTGACGCTCTCAAGATCTTGATATTCATTGTCAATCCGAGATTGCTGTTAATGCTTTCGAAGAGATTGAGTGCTCTTCCCTGCTGTACGACGAGGGAATTTGGTGGCACTGTTCTTCAAAACCTTTGTGTAGACGAGCTTTAGACGCATCAGGTGGAACTCAGCAGAATACAAGTGTTTCAGCCCTCCCTGCCGCAAACTTCTATATTCGGGAATCGGACGATCGCTGGTGCTTCTATCCGCGTTTCGCTAGGTCTCAAGCAGGTTCAACAAAAGGAGTCTGCCGGAGGATGCCTGCAAATCAGCCCACGAAAGTTTTTGAAGCTTTTATAAGAAACCCATCGTTACCTCGCGATGAATGTGTACTAACAGCTTCTAGCCCGTTCCTTTTTGCAGATACCTACCTGGTCGGAACCGTGATGCTCATCTTTGGCATGGGGTAAGGCGTCAGCGCTTGAATCAGTGTTCTTTGTACAGCAGTTAAAACCGTCGCCCCGAAAGGCTAAGGCCACTGAGTCTCTCTGTAGGGCCCTCACCTCACTATAATCTGAGATGGTCTAAGATGCGCGCACAATGTTTTCTTGTAAGTCACAAGCAAACAAAAAATGTCTTGCCAGCTCTTCGACAGGGGCTAAGGAGTGCCATTATGTGAACCGGGGCCGACGCTAATTTCCGGTGGCTCACTCTCTGAAATGCTGTTTCGACTTGGCCGGATACTATCGAGGCTTCGTCTCGAATTGTCACCTTGCGAACAGACTGCGACTGGTGTCTGCATGCCCCAAACTCAATCCGAGATGCGTTGCACCAGAGATGGCCCCTTTGGAAGAGCCTGTAAAATTTTCACAAAATCTCGGATAACTGACGAATAAGCAACGAAACTAAGGATTAGCGAGATATCCCCTTTTGACCACAAGCTTTGTACCGTTCTAGACGGGCAAGCAATGCTTTTCAAAAAGAAACGACGAGCACAACCTGGTGATTGATTGGTTCTACATCTCCGCTTCAGGTTGTACGAGCTGTTCGTGATGAAGCTGGACGGGGCGGTAGGGCCAGAGTCCGGGTCGACCCTCTTCGGGCTATTCCCGCTTGAAGTAAGTCACTCTGTTTTGTCTTTCTCCTTCTAATCAGCGTTTTATTATGTATACTTCCTTGCGTGGACTCGCCCACGTTCAGAATCACCTTTCTGAGGCCGGGTTTTGTGGTTTCTTGACGTTCTGTTCTGAACGACGTTTCCGCTCAAGGGGACCTTCTAACCCACACTTCGGGTTCGCCCACGACGAGCAAGCTTTTGAAATGCTTCACGAACAGCAATCTCATTCTCTGAAAAGCCTTGTGTACATGACGTCACGGCCTGCGAAGCGCCTGGTTGACAGGCACGAGCAAACTAGTCAACGAGATCTGAGGACCTTCTAAACCTCAACAATGTCCTAAACACAGTATATGAGCGCCTCGATCCGATATCACTCTCTTTCACTCGGAGATTCAGAGACATTGCTGTTCAATCAGGCGAATCCAGCCATGTGCTCCGGTACATCGCCCCCTTAAGCCCTCATTACAGAGCTAACCTTGGGTTATTCCGGGTTTCTTTTTCTGCAGAAACGCCCCGCGTGGCTGGCGATCAAGGGCCTGGACGACCTGAAAACCAAGCTCGGCCACGTCATTGTGATGATCCTGCTAGTGGGCATGTTCGAAAAGTCCAAGATTGTACAGCCCACGTGCTCTTTGGACCTGTTCCTAACCGCGGGATCGGTTCTGCTATGCGCCGGGAGCTTGTTCCTGCTCAGCCGCCTTAAACCCGACGCTAAACCCGGCGCCGAAACCGCTGGTTTGCATTGAGTCTAGGCGGTTCGAGAGTTCACTTCCTCGGAGGACATGCCAAACTTCCTCAGTTGCGCTGAGTGGTATTTCTAGGTTCTGCTCAACAGGCCCGGCGATGGTATTCTTGTGCAGTGAGGGTTTAGCTCTCCGAAAATTGTAGATACGGGGTGCAAAAGACCTCCAAAGTTCTAGGTGTGTTCGACTGAGATCGAAAGGACCTGCGCTGCCTAACCCAAGTGTACATTTGCTTTGAGTTGACCCTTTCTAGCAGAGTGAGAGGACTGACTAGTGAGAAACATTGAGGTTACAACCAGCTGATGTAGTAGAGGTACTCCAAAATTGAGCGTTGTGCATACTAGTGCTCGTTTGGCGTAGCATACGAAGCAGGATAGAAGCGGAGCTTATTTGTACAGACGCACTTACACCAGATCAATGGTCAAACTGACAATACAATAAACGGAGACGTGATCAGTGTTGATTCTATCTCAATGACAGCGCTTCGATTGAGAACGACATGTGCAGGCGCACCCAGCTGTACAATTACGTGCATCATCGATCTGACTGCATGTCGTCCTCATACACTTAACCAACGACGCTTAAACCTTCGATGCGTCGCAAAGATGAACGATTAGTCGATCAACCAGCTAGACCCTTTCCTCCTCTTTGACCTGGTCTGACTCTGTTGATCAAGTGTCCGCCTATTACGCTGATTGACCGTCGGTCGAATCCTCAACAATCATTGCTACCTACAACGTGGCATGAGATCCTGAGTGCATACAGCGAGTTTTCTCGTCTGGGTAACCTGATTTATCTACTGTCGAATGTGGTGCGGCACAATCTGATCAAAGCTAGCTACGTAACTCATGACCGTACCGTACGTCAACCTTTTCCATCATGTGATTTTACTTCCGAGCTGCGTGTGAGTTCACTCAGCATGGCTCATCACAAGTGCCGGTGAAAGCAGATTACTGTTGTCAAAGACAGTGATCGACGGACAACATGGTGTGGCAATATGACATCATTTGTTCAACCAAACGGAAACTAGCGGTCATGTGATCCATGGTGAAGTGGACAGGGTACACTCTATGTCGCTATCCTGCAGTGCAAATGCGTCAGCATGCGCATCAGCCTACTCCATTGGAAATGTACAGACTACACAAAAAGATCGTTCGATCTGCTGATTTCTATCCAGAGTCACAGCTGTCGTCGAGACCTTTCCAGCTCCGTGTGGACCGACTGCTCTGAAGCGCGTCCACGGCTATCCATCGCACTTCTCGATGGTGTAACCTTTGCACTTCATATGATGCTTCCAATGAGCCATCCGCACAGATTCAAGTAGAATAATAGACTATCGGAGCCGGAGCGACTCCATCCTAGTTGTGGGCTCCTCCGCTACCAGCACGACCCGTCGGGACAGCGTCTCAATGTCCTTCTCGATCTGGGCCAGCTCCGCTTCATACCTGGGGACATTTGAAACGATGTCAGATCAACACGAGTCAGCACGTGGCCTGAAAGATGTCCGAGTGAAGTCTTAACCGCTTCTCTATTCGACTCAGTACGGCCTGATTTAAGATTACCCTTCATACCGGTGTAACGGGCTGATTATCCGGAGTCGAAAAGCAGGCCGATCCTGGTTCAAGCTAAATGCAGTCCCTACAAACCGTCGACTTCGAAGCTGGAAGAGTGGGCTAATTCTATTACCGCCAGATGTCTTGTTTTGTGAAGGGACGCTAGCGCTAAAAGAATCTTCTCTGCATCGACGGGTCTAAGTCCTTGGCGCACATATTCCAGAACGCCAGAATCCCAAGTTTGTAAAAAGCGCAGGAAGTGTAATAAGCAGAATCTTAAAATAAGAACTGTTCCGGCCACTCACTGCTCCTTCTTGGCTTTCTTGGTCCCCGTGTCGAGCGTAAAGGACATCTTTTGGTACGCCTCGTTGATGCGCTGCCACTTCTGCTTAAGCCCCACGATCAGCTCCTGCCGCTCCTCCTCCGACATGTGCCGGATGCCATCGGACGCGCCGTCCTGCAAGGACGTCAAGGTGAGGTCAGCACTCGCAGAATGATGACGTTATCAAGCTGAGTCTCTGTGATCCTTCTTTAGTGAGATCCTCCCGCTCCTCTCCCGACATGTGCCGGAAGCCGTCGGACGCGCCGTCCTGGAAAACAGACGTCCAAGTGACGTAAGCAAACGGGGCTTGACAAACAATTGATGACGTCACCATGGTTGAAGTATGTATCTGGGGTCAGCTACTGCCGCTCCTCTTGAGACAAGTCGTCGGATGCCGTCAGCTGCACCGTCCCGCAAAGTTGACGCCCGAGTGCCGTAAGCATAAGGGCTTGACAAAATATTATGCTCACGTCGTCATAGTCAATACTTGTTCGTGATTAGCTCCTGCCGGCTCATCCGTCGATTACGTGCGGGAGGCGGTCGGACGTTTGCTCGGTCCTGCAATTGGACGTCGAGCCAAGACGACTACGGACGTTCGTGCTGACCTCATCATAACGAAGCTCACTTTTTGCGACGAGATCCTGACGCTCCTTCTCAAAGTTGCATCGGATGTCTTCAACTGCCTGGGCCGTGCAATCTAGACGTACAGAATGACATCAGCTGCACGGCCGTACAGAGGTTTTCCGGAAGCTTTTAATGGATTACACACGCATTCACGCTAAGTGACCCACTAGCAATCCTCGATTCCGTCTGTCACTCGAACGCCAGCGAGAAAAACGAGCCCGTCCGTTCGACGACTTTCTCATTGACGACAAGGAGGCCTTTCGACTCTGCTCTCCGGCGATTGGGGAGAAATGATTGAGCCTTACGTGCATCATCTTTTGGGTTAAGTGCTCGATGTGCTCCTTCTCCCGCTTAACCTGGTCCTTGACCTTGGTCAAGTATCCGGGCACCTTTCCGTAGTCCTTTTTCTGCACGTACAAACAGAACTTAGAAACTGTTCGAGACGCGGTACCAGATTAGCATCCGCTTCGCAAGGTGCTTCCAAGCAGACTGCATGCATTTCACGTTGTTGGGCTCTTCTCAGATTGCTCGGAACATGCTCAGCTTAATACTGTTCTTCTCCAGCCGGAATGGTACTGAGCATAGTACGCGAGACTCCGACTCCTGACGCCAAACATTTGGTTAATAAGTCACTTCGACAATCTGCCGTAGTCCTTTGCAGAGATGAGAACAATATCAACGTTCTCCCAAAGACTAGCAGGGGATCCCTTTCGCTATAAATTCGCACAAAGGGATTGTAAGGCGACATTATAGTGGGCATCTCCGTACCTGGGTGGCCAGTGGCGGCGCGTCCTTGAGCTTCTTCGGAGAAGCAAGGATGTTTTCGATGGCGTTTGCAGTAACGAAATTTTTGGCGCTGCAAAAAGGTAACGACGGCGTCAGCACTACTTGACGTGTTCGTTGAGAAGTGGCAGGCCGTCCCAGCTCCCAAAAGGTGTCGCCTTAAATCCGCGTCCCTCTTATAAGGTAAAACAATAACGAGCTCGATCCAAGCGCCGCACCAACTCTACCCAAGCAGAACCTTCCATGGAAGGTGCTCTTTGGGCTTATTCCCGTTTCATAACGTCCGACTACCGGACACATGAGCTATCCCAACTGTACGCTGTACGCTACCCGACCCACCTCATTCCGTCAACCCCAAATACCGTGGGCGACCGTCAGACCCCTGAGGTCCCGTTTACATCTCGAGCGCCCTATTTCCCTGTTCTTGTCAACCGCAACCCACCTGACGAGGCCCATAATCGGCCGGTCTTTGGGCAGATCCGGCTTGAGCTTCGCCTTGGTCTGACTGAGAGGGCCCGGGTCGGGAAGCGCCGGCTCCTTGCTGTGCTTGCGCAAGTACGTGTTGGTGCTCGGTTTGAGCGTCCCCCGGGGGGGCCCGAAGGTGGCGGCCTTCTTTACGGTGCCGCAGCCCATCTCAAACTGGCTGGGATCGACCTGGAGTAAGGAGGAATCGGATAAGAGCTTGTTTTCAGAGGGGGTGGGAAGACGCGTGAAAGGTCAAGCGGGTGACACGCCCTTTCAGCTCTTTTTCTGGAGATCGTCATTGCAGAAGCTACCTTAATCGGTCTTTGAAGGTCAGTTGGTACATTAAGTGCTGTAAAGGTGCAAGCCTATGGCAGTACGGTGGAATCAAAAAGCTGAAGGAAGACAAGAGAGCCGGAGCTCGTGAAGAAGCCGTCTCCTTTGCTTCTTGCTAGTCACAACGATTAGGGCGCACTGAGATGCCCAACTTCAAAGTGACCGTTTAACCTTGTACCTTGTCAAAGGCTGTCACAGTGACAAAAGGGTTCTGCAACAGAACGTTTCTGTCCCGCCAGCATTGACACAGCATTCGGCGAACTCAAAGAAGAAGACCTGACAAGGCCAGGCTCATCAGCACTATTCTCGAAGTAACGTCCTTTTCATGCACGTTCCAGCTTGTATTACAAAGCTGCGGCGCCAGCATAACTGGTGCATAAGCTGTCTAAATCGAAATTTGAAAATGTTCAATCTAACCGAGCTTTCTGCGCCCGTGTGTCCTTCCACCAAAACAATAACCACCAGCTCAAGTGCCACGTTAGGAGGTTTTAGGGAACAACGTCATGTAGAAGCGCCTGTGCTTCTTTCCCTTTCTGACAAAGCTGCCTTGAACTTATTCAGGCCCCTGACGGAAGCAGGACCGATCTAGTCAAAGTTCCGCTGCATGACGTCAAGTCATATCTCTTGCCAAAGGATCCATGTGGACCCCATCTCTGTGCGCCTTTCATTTCTCAGCACCGCTTAACGGAAACGAAAATACAGAGGCCTCAATCCGGCCCCGGTCCAAGATTCGCGCAGTGAGCCCTTCTTCAGCACATTTTTGATAACTCGAAACGACAGTCCAGAGGACACGTGCCCACCTCGCCGGGCTGGAGAGACCGGTAAATGGGCGGCCTTTGCTTCGTTTCCACGGCCGGGGGAATGAGCGCATACACGCTCTCCCCAGACTCCATCATTGTTGCCTAATATCACAACTCAAAGTATTGTGTTCCTTTTGGCTCTCCGAATCAAAGTACCGTCCTTGAAAGGCCACTCTGAGTCCTCGCTCAAGTCTTTCAAGTTTTTCTGACCAGACAAGCTGGTTCTTCTACTTGTTCTCCTCTGCTTTCTGACGTTGCTGCTCCTAGACTCCCCTCACGAAACAATTCATAGAATGCAATCCTACACTTTGATACTCCGCTATCCTCTGTCAGAGACCAACGTATGGCTTAAGCAATTCCTTTAGGACTCGCTCGTGTTAGCCGGCCCCGGGAAGTCGAATCTTTAATGTTCTTCTCCAAGAGCCTTCGAGGTCGCTTCTCAGCCAAGGGATTAAGGTCAAGTCCGGTGAGCCCTCCGTGTACTTTTATTCAAGTTTTCTCGCTGTGGCGCAGATTACATGCCAAACTCCCAATTGCTTGAATCATGTGGCTACGCCAATTCAAATCTGTCCGCTGTGCTGCTATGGTAAAAACTGGTAAAAGGTGCTTCCTGCGATCCCTGTCACGCTGTCGATCAGGGGGGAGTGTCCATTGATATTAGAAACGATATTCCCTTTTGTGACTGATCAGACCGAAACGATCCTACCACCTAGCTCAGATCCCACTCTCTGGAGTCATGGGGCACCAGCAGGTTTTGAATCTGAGTGTGTGAGGCGGACCCCCAGCTTGACTCTGTTTTCCGAGTGTTCAGGAGCGTGCAGGTCGCCAAATTGTCTGATGAGGAGCCCAAATTTGCCTGCACGTATGTTGACGCTGGTTTCGTCCAAACTCGGTTGACACTCTAGACAGAACCGGAACATCGGAACGCCGGAAAGCCGGAAGCCAGACACAAACCCTAATTCAGGACAACCTCAGAACTGCTCGATCAGAACCTTGAAAGCCACAGAACGCGCAAACGTGCTGACGTGACGAAAATATCTCCTCCGAACGTTGCGAAACTTCGACATGCATCTTCGAAAATCTTCGATTCCGAGGACTTGGAATCAACATCTCTTTCGTCCACCAATTTCGAAATCGAAGACAATGAATGTTCGGGAAAGCTCCGAATCGACTCCTTCCTGAAGCATCTTTCCAGCATGTTTCGGAATGCAACCTGAAAATTGCCTGAACGATCCTAGGCTGTGGCTCTCTGAGTCTTAAAACCCAAATCTGCCGTTCGCGAGCAGGTTGAGCTTCAAAAGCCTTCGAGACAAGAACGCAAGGTGCAGGCGCCATTGAGAGATTGCATTTTGTTGAAGCTTCTGCTCTTGTAAAGATACCTAAAGTCAGACATTATGGCCCAGTGTGCAACGGTTGCCTCAGTCTCTGCGAGGGCCCTGGTGGCCCCGGCCGTTGTCTCAAGGCCGTCGACCAGCTTGAGGTCCAGCAATGCTTGCATTGTGAGCAGGAAGGTCAGCCTGCCGGACAGGAGGCACATGCGGAGCGTTGTTGCACAGGGAGTGCGGGCGTCCACCCCTTCTGATATTTCTCAGGTATGCTATCAGCTCCAAGAAGAAGGTTCCTCGAGTGAGGTAGTTGGTCTATTGGAGTTCACCTGTGAACGCATGTGGTAATGCTGGTTGTAGCACAGCATTGTTATTTTGGTCTAAGACGCCAAAATGCTTGGCAAGAATGTGGCTCGAGATATTATTGTGTAGGATTGGGACCGGACCTTGTGCATGTTGCCTTGTGAAGGTCAACTGTGTGAACACCACAGAGTGAGGCATTGAAGCACCTTTCGGATAGCCCTGGCTGCACAGCTAGCTTAAGGGTTTCTTGTGGGCATGGAGAAAGAGCTTTGGAACGACCGTGCTGTACCTGGTCACATGCGTACGCTTGTAGAGTCTTGGTCTCGGGCTTTCATTCGGTAGCTTTGTTATTTTTATTTTCTGCTGAATCACACCCTGTTACACAAACAATCTTTGAAACTCATAGGAATCCACCATTTTGCTACCATATGTTATGTGGGATCTCTGTTGCTTCAACCAGACTCCTGTCCTGTCTCTTGTCTACTGATTGCTTTGCTCCAGGACACTCAGATCTGCTATCGAGCATTATTGTTCCCAGGAACACATTTTGTGATCTGTAATTTTGGTTGTTCGGAGGACCTTGATGCAGCTTCGCTTGCACCTTTCCATCAATCTTTGGTTTCTCGAGCGGTTTTTTGTTTTCCCGGTGCTGAGTAGGCTTGATGATTTGGAGGCTTCCTCGTACGTTCCCTTCACATGCGATCTACTCAAAAGCTGGATGGGTCATTGCTATGAGATCATCATGAACATTTTACATTGCCGCAAGATTTGGTCACGGTTTGTGAAAGGGTGGCTTTAGGTATTCACAAGCCTAGCACAAGTTTCTCCACAGGGTTAAGATATCAACCTTACAAAAGCTGGGTGTGGAGCATATAGGTTGTCTTAATGTGGATCTAGGCACTTTCTTGGTCATTTTTGACCCTTGACGGTGGAAGTCAAAAACCAAAGCACACCACAAGTGGCCCTGTAATCAGTTCTCTTTGCCTTCCTCTTGAATTTTGAGGTTCTTTTGCAGATTAGGGTTCTGAATTTGTCAAGTTTTCTTAAGTACTCTTCTTTGAGGTACAGCAATGGCAATTCAATTAACATTTGGTTCTTATGGTACACGTTCTGCTTAAACTGTACGCTGGAAGACTGATAGATCCACTGATTTTGTCGGGTGTGGTCGATTGATATGCTGACTCTGTCCTTTTCATTTGTCTTATGAAGTTGATCAAGGAAGCGCAGGAGACCTGCAAAGAGAACCCCGACAAGGAGTGCGCAGCGGCGTGGGATGAGGTGAGCACTGAGAATTGATTTCCGCATTTTGTTTAAGCATTCAGGCCGAGTATCATCGTAGCCAGGTTAATAACAAGTTGCGGGTTCAACCTGCACCGTTTATGATGCCATAAGGATTGTTCAACAGCTTTTGATAGTTTTGCTCATGATAGTTTGCTCGGGATACAGCAGCCTTTGTTCTGATCAGAGTTTGCAAAGATTGCTTGCACCTTACTGGGTTCAGTCTGATTGGAGGCCACAGAGGATTGAGTGCACCTTATACGGTCAGTCAAGGACTAGCATCATCCACTGTTTGTCTATAATGTACTGTCAGGAACCTGTGTTAGGAACCTCGTCTCATTGCCCTCTTTCTTATTTTTCTTTGAATGTTTACTATGTTGTGAGCATACTGATCTGACATGGTTCTGTCCTGTGTGAACGAATGCACTTCAGTTGTTTGGGTTTAAGCACGTGTGGTTCTGAAAAGGTGCATGAATGGGTTTGCAGGTTGAAGAGCTTTCAGCTGAGGCCGCCCATCAGAAGGCCCGCGCCAAGGCCAACCCCGCCTCGACTGACCCCTTGGAGAAGTTCTGCGAAGACAACCCGGAGACGGACGAGTGCCGGGTGTACGAGGACTAGATAATTGTTTGATAAGGCCTTTGTCCTACTCGATGTATGAGTACTAGCCAGGTCGCGCGTCCACGAGTTGTTGGAGTCGTTGGGTCACAGATTGAATGAGAACAGTTCTCTACTCTTTCTCAGCGATTGTCAGTCGAGCAACAATAACCTTGCGTCTCATCTATTGTTTGTAAGTTGCTGTTTCCACATGTAACACTTGACTAGGAGATAGAATCGTAAATGTTCTGCGCTACTTGCAGTAGGTCTACAATCATCTCGTGTACCTGATGTGTGAGGATTACCATGTCAGTTCTGACGTTTCATATCTGAGAAATCTTGCTCGGTCAGATCTAATGCATGACCATTCCAAAATGATGCGACCTACTTTGACCTTGATTAGATCAAATTGAAAAAGATACAGCAGAAACATTGACTCGGTTTGCAAGTCTGGCAATGAGTGTGATGGTAGAGGTTGCATGTGCCCCCCAACCTAACACTACTGTGTACATGTGGTACTGGCAAGCGTTCGACCCGTGCGCCAGATGGGCAGGGATCCACTGCACACATGCATGCTCTTATAACACTTTGTCATTCGGGTCAGCGATGCAGGGCACTGAAAGTCCTTTGCATGCACAACCATGATGGATGAATTATAGTAACAATGTCGCATAAAAATGTGCGCAATGCCGGATCGTTTTGCCATCACACGTGATATATGGCCGGGCTGATTCAGCTAGGCAAGTTGCCGTCGGCTTCAAATATCAATGCTGATGTATCGGCCTCTCCTGTAGTGCATGATGGCCGAGGGCCAAACGGCCATGATAGCATCATTGGTAGACCCGACATACGTTGCGTTGAGCAGCTCCGCAATCGTTGCTTTGCATATCAAGGAGACATGAAGTGCGGTGACCTTAACACTGCATACTAAGATTCAATCTTTCTGCGTCCATCAAGTGAAATGCTTTGTTTGTTATGTGTCTTTGGATCTGACCATCTATTGCGACTTGGGCCCCCAGCCGAAACGTGGACCCACGGCGGCATTCGGAAGTCCAAGGATGACCATATTAGGCAGCAGGGGCAGATGATTGAGCAGTTATGTCTGCAAAGAAGGTCCGCAGAAGCTCCTTTTTGTTGACCTGCGCAGAGGAAGCCCGAGCTCCATTACGAAGGGCCGTAGGGCACGCGTCTCGACGCAGAGAGCGGCAAAAGGCCTAAAGTAGCAAGCATTAAGTCGCCAACAAAGACGTCAGCCGATGACGAGTTTCGCTTGTTCTGGCGACTCGCAAGCAGCGCAATCGGTTTTGTGGTCGCCTCCGCTTTGCCGCCATGCCGCTCCGTGAGCGGCTCTTACTGAGAGCACCAGCCTGAAACGTTCTGCAATGACGACGTTCTGAGACGCATTTGGCGACTGGGCAGGGCGAAACGAGGTCACCAGGATTGCCGTGTTGAAGACAATCTGTTCCTGGGAAAAACTGCAGCCACAACTATACCTATCCCCAGACCGACAGGTGAACAAGTAGAGGATACTAAGGCGTTGGGGCAAGGGTATCTCTTTGGCTAGAGGGTAGTCAAATGCAAGGTGATATAAAACCTTGGGTTATGTGCTTTCCCTTTGTACTGGAAAAACACTCCCACGCACAAATTTTCGCTTTAAGCAAAAGGCGATGTCCACTAGGAGAAAACTACGTAGACCTCACTTCCCGTTTGGCTCCTCAATCAGAATGGAAAGGCAAACGGAACGAGTCCTTTAGGTGCAACTTGCCCTTCTTTTACCAAGAGAAGAGACTGCAGCAGGCTGATTTCAACAAAACAAACAGTTCTCTGCGCTGGCTCTTCAACAGAAAGCTGTACGAGCAAGTGTACGACCTACCTTCCCCATCGCGTTTCTTGGCATGGTTTCTACCATCTCGATGCGTCTCGGAATCTGCGTGATAAATACGAGCCGTCAGATGAACGGGTATCGACATTGACATGTCTGACAACACCCCCTCGATTCAGGGACCGTCAGCCGCTTCTTAATCCACAGGACCCTTGCTGTGCGCTATATGGTCGTACCGGCCCCACTCTCTCCCGGACGATAAGGACGCATTGTCAAGTGATTAGGGTGAATGAGCCGTAGGACTAAGAAAAGACCAGCTTGGGACAGGTAAGGTTTGATTGGTGTTTCGAGTGGGTTATAAAGGTCGGGAGCAGGGAGTGAGTTTTTGGTGTCGTGTTCTTCCCGAAGCTTATCACGCCTTTACTCTCGGACGTCAAGGATGTGACCCACTAAAGAACGCCGCCCCAACCAGTAGAGAACTGCCGATCGTTACACTCACCTTGTAGTGCGCCAGACGAACTTCACCACTCCCTTATCCTTCGAAGATTATTGAACTCAAGAAAAGTATTAATAAGCCGAGATGATAAGAAGGTAACCGCACTGGGACGGGTAGGGGTAATTTGGTGGTTAGGATGGGTATGGGTGCGGAGTAGGGGTCTTTTTGGGTTAGGATTTTTAGTGTTAGTCGGAGAATACTACTATCTTGGCTTTTCTTTATCTTTTGACACCTTATTATAGAGTCAAGTACGCCCCGGTAATGACACCGTTTATTCGTCCCCGGATTGGTCGAAACCTTTATCGCTGACCACCGCATACCACTGGTAGTCACCCCTGTCTAGATTGGTCCTGTAAGCCGGTTTCCACCTTTCGATTGTAATATCTACGGCGAGCATTCTAGCCGAGCAAACCCCCTGCAAACTCGTCTCTTTCAGCGTTCAAACCCTCTTTAAAAACGGTAGAGTTGAAATCACTTGGCATCCAGTGCCAAAGAAAGAGACCTGCTTCGGCCCTTCCAACCTCCGCAGACATTGACACACACACGACACAGAAATAGGAGACCTAATTGTACCCCAGCTTAAACCACAGTACAAACCTAGCACGTAACCCTAGTAAGGTGGCCATTCTCTTTCTTGAGGTTTATTCGAAGACTGCGGACGCCCACTGTTGAAACGTACACCACGTCCAGCTTTCGGGCATCGGCTTTACGACACGCTGCCACGTGTCAAACCCACCTTGTAGTGCGCCAGATGATCCTTGGCCCACTCCCGGACGTCTTTGGACGTCACGGACGCTCCCTCTGGACCGCTCCGGACGACAATCACCGCTGCGACCGTCTCGCCGTACGTTGCGTCCGGAAGGCCGAGCACCGCACACTCCGCAACGGCCGAGTGCTGCACTTTGGAGGTGGAAGGGATTCGTAAAATGTCCTTGTTTGACCTCTCAATCTTCTCACCTTCTATCCTCGCTGCGACGCTGAGGATCAAGCAGCACTCGCATTGATCAGCAGAAATAGAGGACGACTTTCGTATGTACCCACTTTCAGAACGGCAGCGCATGGAGAACGAGCGGTGTGGCGTTCAAAAAAGAGTTCTTAACCGAGGAAGCAACGGGGGGACAGATCGATGGTCCAGCAAACGGTCACCTTTGCTAAGTTATTGCGGGTGAAGGCCTGATAAAAAGATCTGGGCATGATCGCTAAAATCACGTAATCCAGAAAGCCCCGACTTTCCAGTACTGAGCTGTTCGGAGAGACCGAAAGTCCTTTCAGAAATGAAAAGGAATAAGTTCCAAACTACAGAGAGGTTCCCTCTCGGCGTCGAACTCCGCCCGCCCCCACCTTGAGTAACTCCGTTTCGATTTCGAGCGCCGACAGCTTATACCCCCCGCTCTTGATGATATCCACACTCAAGCGGCCCAGAATTCGGAACGCCCCATCTTCTTTCCGGACCTTATCCCCCGTTCGAAAGAAGCCGTCCGCATCGAACGCTTCTAAAGTGGCATCCGGACGGTTCCAGTACTGTGTGAACAGGCCCCCGCTGCGGACGAGGAGCTCGCCTTCGGATGCGTCCGAAGCGTCGGCGTCTGGAACAACTTTCACCTGTATCAGAAAAGGGATGTGTTTGTAAGCTTTAACAACGAACGATTGGAAGTACGATAGGCGGACGAACCACCGAAAGAGAAGGGTTGCGCCCCCATGGAACCCTGGCAACGCTCAATTTGAGGGGTATTAAAATTTCTAAAAGTTCACTTTGTTCAATTATGTAGCTCTGAGTTGCTTATCCCCTGCGAATGATCTCATACTCCGTGCCATATTCTAGTGAGGTCGAACACAGAAACGCGTGGCCCGAATGAGTTGCTGTCATTTTACGAATGGTAAAGAAAGGTATCATTCAGCGAATGCCTTCAGAAGGACTTAGCAAAGTCACAGCGCTGAATGAGACGTACAACTACGCAGGTTTTCTGTTACAACGCTCGAGAACTTTGGAACGACTTCGAAAAGGTCGAACCAGTGGTTTCCTTCTAGAACTCAGAGCGCAGAACCACAAAGCGCAGACTGCCACACGCTTATCTCAACCCCAGGTCGAGATACGTTCACAAGTTTCGGTCGCCGTTTTCCATTCAGTGGGTTTGAGAGCGCCATCCCACACTCGATCCCCTCTACCCCGAGAACCTTTAAACCAAGAACGTGAAGACCCTAAAACCCTAAAATCCGCGCATGTCAGCACATGCTGACGTCAACCCCAGGTAAAGGTACGCCCACAAAGCGCCAAACCCAAAAAAGTCTGATAACTCAAAGTCACAACTGATAACATCAAACCCTGAAAGGTGCGCATCGCTTACGTCAACCGCGGGTTAAGGTACGCCCACAAAAATCCCGGTCGCCGTTCTCCGTGCAGTGGGTTTGAAAACTTCAACCCAAATCAATCCCCTAAACCCCTAAAGCCCTCAAACCAAAAACCTCGAAAACCCTAGAACCTTGAAAGCCGCGCAATGTCAGCACATGCTTACGTCAACCCCAGGTAAAGGTACGCCAACGAGCCCCGGCTGCCGTTCTCCGTGCAATGAATTCGAGAGCGCCATCCCAAACTCGGTCATTCCGTAGCGCTCTAGTAACCGGTGCCCTGAAACCCGCTCCCATTCTTCCATCAAGGAAGTCGGACAGGCCGCGGATCCGGACACCTGTCAGAACCAGACGTCCGAATTTGTGCTTTTGAGTAGTCACGTCACCCATGCTTTGCGCGAATCCTTCATTTTCTTGAGGCTTAGCTTTTGATGACTCCGTTAAAGCAGTAGTGACCAACTCCAGAAGCGCCTTTCGTGCAACGCGTGGAAATTCAGCTTAGACGGTAGCATTACAAAGTTGAGATTTTGTGCCCTTGTGAAAGATTTGAGCAGGTAGGTGCCGCAACATCAGCACACGGAGTGATTAAACCAGGGGAGTTTGATCTACTTTGATTTGGCAAGCTTTCGTCTAGTCGTACAGAAGACGCGCAACCCCTCTTGTAGAGCAATCCGCATCACCAGACTATGGAGCCTAACCATAGCGCCTCGATACACTGAGAAACAAGACTAAAAGTGTTCGAGCTCTTGAGAATTGCAATCGGTTCTTCTCACCATGAGCCGCAACCTATTGACGGACGCGATTGCGGACGCCTGCTCGTCTAGCGACATCGTTCGAAATAAAATCTCAGATACTTTTAAACAAAGTCTTTACTTTTCTATGGAGATTGCAGTCGGTCCTCTTCTCACCATGAGCCGCAACCTTTTGACGGACGCGGTTGCGGACGCCTGCTCGTCCGGCGGCATCGTCCGAAACGCCTCCAGCAGACGAACGTACATAGTGGGCACCTGGTCAACACAAGAGCGGAGGCGTCATAAGCGATGGGCGCAACGTATAAGCCATTGGCGCGCCGCATAAACGATGGTCGCAGGGGACGTGCGTCAACCATAAGGGGTGTGTAACCCAAGCTGTGTTGCACTCCTGTCGTACGAGCCACGTCTCCAGGTTTAGAGACACAAGAAGATGCATTAGGCCTCTGACGTTAGAGTTACGGTCCCTGTGAATTGTTTCAAGAGCAGAGCCTGGGTGAAAGACAGAAGGCGGTGCACTCTTGTCTGGGGTACGCACCTTCGCATCCAATTCGAAGAAATTAAGACACTCAGTGAGACACCCACAAGCTCGGCGGAGACCGCTGTTAGAGTGTTATGCTTGCATGTTAGATCTCCTCAAGCAGACCAGCAACGAAGAGCTTAAACCTATTAACCAGTGAACGGGCTCGAATAGGAAGAGAACAGGAAGAACAGTCGGGAAGGTGTTGCATTGCTGAGATTTGGATAACTTGACCGTAAATTAGAGTTGTATCAAACAGTGAGAAGGTGAGGAAAGGAAAAAGGAAAGAGAAGCTTGCAGATAAGGATGAAAGGATGTACCCACCCCCATGAAGAGCGTGAGCGGATGGTCACCGGACGCCTCTCGTCGGAAACGCTCCCACACCTCGTTTGCCTTGAACTTGGGGAGGAAGTGAATCTGTCATCAAGGAAGAAGCAGATTTCCTTCGATGAGCTTGAAGAAAGGGTTGTCGTCAAAGATCCGATTGCCTCTTGGCAATCTGAAAACAACAACGAAGACAACGACTTTCGGGGCTCTCCCTTCAAGCGAAAGAGTGCGCTTCTGTGGGTTGACGACAGTGCAGCTACCTGCATAAACCTGAGCAAAGCAAGGATCAAAGCTGTGGTATCTACAAGTTCAGTGAAAGCATCGTTGAGCATGGATAATTTTGTGGAACCAAACACTTCCTTTGGTTTATAGTGGGCAGGAGACAAAGGCAGGGGAATCGAACGAACATAACCTCAGAGGTGTGTTTTGGAAACGGCTGCATTCAGCTTCTACATCCTAAAAACCTGCCCTGATTTCAACGTAGGGCTGTCTCGCGTCAGCATGATTCCCGCGGAAACGACCATCGTCGCAAATGGAGGCGCAGAAAGCACACGGTCTCGACAAGTCGTGGTAAGAATCGCACAACTAAAGCCGAGAGTCAGCAAGCTCCAAGATCTGACGGCTTCGATATTTTCCTTCCACAGTGTTTAGAAGGTCCACGATATTCGAAACCAAGCTTTACATGAAGTCGAGGTCTTCAGGGAATCTCCGTCCGCTTTTCAGATACCAGGCATTGACGTTCATTCCACTTTCAGGTTTACGAAAACCATTTTCCCGATCATCAGGACTTGGAGTAGTTACAGTCCCGTCATACCGCAGATTGGAGGTCGCACGGCTCACCGAAGCGCCGCTGTAGAGCGGGCAGAGGAGCGCATTCACAAGGCCGTGGACGTGGTGGAGAGGCAGGGTGTGAAGAATCGCGTCGCTGGAGGCCCATTCCCAGGCGTCGACGAGCATGCGGGTCTGAAGAAAGGAATTTGACGACTGGGTTATACAAGAATTTACCGTTCAAGGTTGATTGAAGAAATGGGGCAAAGAACGGATGACGAGAGTGCCGATGAGCAGTGGTTAGATGACGGTGGATTGTCAACGCAAGTCGTAAATGACCAACTTATAAGGTATATTGGGTCCTTGTTCGTGAAGCCATCTTAACTAATTTTTCATTCGACTTTGGTTCGAAGTGGCGAGAACACATCAAGCGGCGCTTGCTAGAAGGTCGCCCCATCGTCTGAGGCGGAAGGCTATCAGGTTGGGGGCCTGAAATGAGCGAAGCCCAGAGAACGAAGAAGAGGATTTAACGTCGACGAGAGAAAGCGGCATCAAGGCTTCAAAGGAGCGCCGCACTGACACCAGACACTCAACCTGGTTCTGGCTCAGGGAATGTTTCGAACGGGCCGGTCGCAGTCGTGTCATAAAAGAGGGCAGATGAAGAAACACGGAGATCTTCAAGGAAATTAGACTATACGACAGTTGGAGAAAAAAAGGTGACGAAAGAATCGAAAGAAAAACCTCGGAACAGCCGGTTTCCACATGACGTCACTCTCAACCCTACTCTTTGTCTGTTGCTTTCTCCGTTTTCTCCCTACCCCAAAAATCCCATCCACCCGTTATCCTACCTGCGCCTCCAAGCTCCCATGCGTATGCACCACTCCCTTTGGCTTCCCCGTCGTCCCACTCGTGTATATAATCATCGCCGGCTCGTCCTTAACCCCCTCCGTAACCCGCTCGTTAACCCTCCCCTCCAGGAACTTGACGAGGGGCCCTTGGGGGTTAGCCGCCAACAACGAAACCCCATCCGGCGTTTTGAACACGTCTAGAAAGGCTGCCTTCCGGTCGAGCGCGGTTTTCAAGGGGTTTGGGGCGTGGACTGAGGGAATGGGGAGCAAGGGGATCGACGCTTTTTGGACGAGGTTTTGGAGGGTGGGGTGAAATTCGTCAGAGGCGAGGACGGCGGATATCCCCTGTGAAGGAAAGAGTTTCGGTTTGTTGTCAGATTTGTCCCACTGACTTCGATATGATGATACTGAGAGTAACAGGGGATCTTCACGTTGGAATCAGATGTTGTCATGTGTTGCTGAGGGCCTTAACGAAGGCAGAGGAAACAAGTGTAAGTGAATCTTCGATTTGACTGCAGATGCTTGTTTTCGAACCCCCGAAAAGCAAAGTGATTGGAGGGAGTCTCAGGAGGCTGGACGAATTATAGCGTCAAACGGCACCAGGAAGCATAGGCAAGAAAGCAACATCTCTCTATGAATTTTCAAACATTTTAACATTATAGGTACGAAATTAGCTACAAAGGGGCGCCAGCTGCCTTTTCTACGACGAAGAGCTGTGTGCAAAGCTTTAGAGATCGAGGGATCCCTTGTTTGATGCAGGGTTCACCGAATGACCAACGTTGAGGGGATTGCAGCCATCAGTAATCAGGAATGTTTTCTTTGAAACACAACATAATGCGGGTGTGGAAACGCATCAACGCTGCTCTTCACATCAGGGTTCCCTTGTCCCCTTTAGGGTACACATCTTCACAGAATGAGAGTATATGTGAAACCATCCACCAACTAGTCTTATTTTCCTAGATTGCCAGAACTACACTCACCGCATCGCGCATCACGTACTCTAGCTCAGCTGGAGGGTGCGAGAGCGCCATTGGAACTGCCACCCCCCCCGTCAGCCACGTCCCCCAGAGGGCGCCCACGAACGCCGCCGAGGGGGGGGCCATAATCCCCACCCGCTTCCTCTCCAGCCCAGCCCCCTGGAAAGGAACATTCCGCAGCAATGTGCGGAAGGCGTCTACGTAAGCCTGGCCTTCGAGTGGGGAGAAGTTTTCTGGGGGGGGAGGAATGTCAGCGGCATTGGAGCTAACCAGGAGATTGGTAGCTAGGAAGCTGGAGAAGTTGAGGAGATCTCGGTATGTCGTTGGGGGGGAGGAAGGGGAGGGGCGGGCGACAGCTGTCCGCCCCCCGTGCAGTAGTGCCCGGCGAATGACCTCCATAGCTTGTGCCCCTTGGGTGGTGCTTAGGGTGGGGGAATTGTGCGAAGCTAGCTCGATTGGTTTTGATTGCAGACAGTCAAATCCCAAGAGAGTTTTATTGCATCAGGCGCAAATCAGCAAAGGGCTTTCAAGAGCTTTCTAGTGGGCTGATTTGGGGCTTGTTCCCCAATTGCCTGCAAATGCTGTGGCCTGACTGCGCTGAACTTGGTTGTCCTGTTTGTAGAGTGTCTACTAAACTACTGCTGAAGGTGAAAAGATGCAGCTATGCCACCCGCTTGTGGGTCAGTGCAGATCAACATTCTGGCAGCTGTTAGTAAGCTGGGAGCGTCTTTTATTATCCACTGCTGTTCCTGGGCTTCGAGGAGCACCAACAAAAGTTGCAAAGGATCTCTACAGCAGCATCGGATCACTTCTCTCGAGAGGAGAAGCTCTGATGCAATGCCATGCAGAGACACTGAGTGTGTCCGAAGTTTGAGATTCAGAATGCAAGCTGGGCGGTCGTTGAAGTCTAAGAGCTCTCCAAACTGAAAACTAAGGAACTGTATCGACTAAGCTTCCGTAGAAGCATTCTGCCTGTGGCACAGCTGCTTGATGGTCGATCATAAAATTTTGGGTCGAACCCTCCGCGCGGGCTTGTGTCCAGTGCATGGGCTAGGAGGAATTAAAGGCTCCAAGCCGACGCAGTGTGTCGCGAATTTGTGTAGATTCGCGGCGGTGACGTACGCCCGATCGGAGGATCAGAGACTGCGCGCGCATTCGCGAGCAGACAGGGTTTGACCATCGAGCCGCGGCGCAACAGCGCGTGGCATTCATGGGGCGAGGACGCGAATGTCTCAGAAGGCGTCTTAGGGTGTCGTGCAACGAGCACACGGTGAGTATGAAGAAGAGCTAGATGGATATTTCAAGGGTGGGTGGGTGGGATCGCGCAAATTCCATGGCTTCTGCGCCTCAAAAAGCTCCTACGACACTTCTTCCTTCCAACTTGAAATGCTGATAAACGCATTCTCTCTTCGTTCTCTTGAGCTCAAAGTCAAGACTCTGTTCCGTCGAGCTGTACCTTCGATGATCACGTGTCCAATTTCAATGGCTGCAAAAGTATTCCTCAAACTGAAAACTAAGGAACTGTATCGACTAAGCTTCCGTAGAAGCATTCTGCCTGTGGCACAGCTGCTTGATGGTCGATCATAAAATTTTGGGTCGAACCCAATCAAGAATTGCCCAAAAGGATGGCGGGCAAAAATCTGTTTCCTTTTGTCCGTGCAGGGTTCAGAACGAATTTAGCCGAACGTTATGGAAACGTGCTCGTGGTGTCACTTGCTGACACGTCAGTATCCGACTCTGGTGTGAGGGAAAGCACGGGTCAGGACTTCTACGCTCACGCCTTGCACGGTGCAGCTGCTGTTGCAAACCGAAGTGTTTGCAGCTCATTCGAAGAAAGTCGAAAAAAGACTTGGAGCGAGTTCCTTGAGTTTTGCGGTTTCATCGGGAAGGCGGTTTCTGACATCATAGATTTGGACGTCTTGGCTTTCGTTCACGGTTTCTGGCTGCCGCGTCATCGGGATGCTTGTCGTACAGTGCTGAGCGTAGATGGGAGCAAAACAGCGTCAGCGTCTGCGATCAAGGGCATCATCTGTCATCTGAACAAAAGTTTTCTCATGCTCGGTATCGAAGGGCATCGGAACCCGACGCAGTCAGAGGCGGTGCGGAACTACAGGGAAGGTTACCGGAATTTGTTGCACGAGTCAGGCGTTCGAGAAAAAAGAGCACTTGTTTTCAAGGAGGCAAAGGTTCAGGACTTCGTCGAGTGGTTAGAATCCAGGGTAGCCGCTGCCTCGGGTGTCCAGCTGTGCAGTCTTTTGAGCGATTTGGCAATCGTCCACTATCTTTGGGAATCGTGGAGTCGGGGCAAGGAATGCGGATCTTTAGAATTTCGGCAGATCTCTTTCGAGGATCAATTAGTTCGGGCCGGCTGGAGCAAGACGGTTCGAGAGGAACCCAGTGCCGAGATCCCCGTGCAGTCCAAGTTCTTGCGGGCTGCTGCTCGCCTCGTCAGCGCCTGCGAACAAGCAGGGGATCCGATCGGTTCCGGGTTCCTGTTCCGTCCACTAAATGAGCGGAAGAACGGATTCAAGCCGAAAGCCATGAGCAGCGGAACCATGAGGCGAAGAATGCAGCAGCGTCTGAAAGAAGCTGGCTTATTCGAAGGCGAGACTTTACACAGCTTCCGCCGTTCTGCAGTCCAACACGCTGCTTCCATAGAAGGTTACGACGTGGCAAAGTTGATGCAACGAGGAAGGTGGTCTAGCTACGCAGCTTTCCGATTATATGTGGAGGAGATAGAATCAGAGTTCCCTCGACGACTTGGACCAAGGTAGTACAGGTTGTAGTAGTTCAAAATAACATTCGTAAATGATTAGACAATGGTAGTCTAACACATGCTGCGTCTCACATGCTAATTCTCAATGCACCTTATAGACATTTCATTGTATACCAAGCGATACTTCATTCCCAATTCTCTATGATATTTCATATCCGCTGCATGCCAAGATTTCCAACACATCCTTTAACATTTTGCCTTTCCAACTTACGACTGCAATGAAAAGAATTATTCATTTTCATCATATCGAGATCTGTCTCCTATCTGTTCTGGTTCTTCTTATCCCATTCTATGCAATATACTTCCAATCCTAAGAACGCAGGACTGATCGTTCTGCTTGGTACTCTTAGACTAGCTCTGCAGCTATCAGCTGCTCTCGGGATCTTGTAGCTGGCTCTTACGTTAGCGCCTTGAAACCCTCGGATTTGGGTTTCCGCTAGAGACCCTTTCGGCGCAGAAATGCAGACGAGAGCGTTGACTCGGAAGTTGCTCAGGCGCTCCAGGACCTGCGTCGTCAGGCCGACCGGCGAAAAGATCCAGGCGCTCTCTCCCGCCTGAACTAGTTCCCTCCAATCGAGCGCCATCGCGTGCACCGCCGTGCACCCCGGGGTATAGTACTTCGCGACGAAGCGTTCCGCCACGTGGAAAGTTGCTGAGGCAAATAGATCTATCGACGGGTTAACCCCAAAGTGCTCCGTCAGCTTCCGGAACACGCTGGCCGAGACTCCCCAGTCGGACGCATCCGGTTCTCTCGACAACGCATCCGCTTCCGCCAGGTCCTCTCGCGGAACCCACCTCGTTACCAGATCGCAACGGAATTCCGCGCACAGTTCGAGGACCTGCTTCAGAGCGGAACGGATCAGCGGAACCGAACTGCGAAACTTCCCGATGGCTGCGAGCCCCGCTTGACTGTCCCCGGTCAGCATCACCGCCCGCTCCGTTATCAGTTCCGGTACCTTCTCCGTCACAACTTTTATCGCCGCCGCGTATCCGATTACTTCTCTCTCTGTGCTGGACCCTCCTGCCTGTACTTCCGAGAATGTTCCTTCTATTTCAAGTCTCCGCCCATCCGGAAGTTCCGCCCAGCCGCCAAAGCGGATCTCTGATGCGTCCACGTGCGCGCTCACCGCCACTGGCCTAGGCCACCATCTTCTTACGTTCCACCTCTCCAGGTTCTTCAACCAGAAGGTCGCCGTTTCCGCTACCTCCGCCGGTGTCGGGAAAAGTTCGTCCCAGGTCTCCTTTCCGCTGAGCGCCCCGTAAAAAGACCTACTGTAGAGCGCCACCGGGAGGATCGCAGGCGCCGTCGACGCTAGCAAGCCGGCCATCTTCGCGAGCTTCCTGGGTGACGTCGTAGGGCTTTCCGCCATTTCCGCTAGTGCACTCCTCAGCCTCTCCATCCTGCCTTCTCCCAGTCTGAACTCCGCTTGCTCCGAATCGACCAGGAATCCGAGCCACTTCAGAAGGAGCACTGGCTCGAGTTGACACTTCGGCAGTCCGAAGTGCGCGCCCAGCGCAACACCCATAAGCCTCACAATGAACAGAATTTGACGTAGCGCTCTCCCAAAAGTCGGAGCTGCCGTGAAAGAGTCATCTATGTAGCCAGACAGCGGAACACCCCTAGCCCGGAGTTCAAGGATTGGCCCTCTCATGACCTTGGTGAAGACGTAACAGGCTTGAGCAAATCCAAAGCACAGGACCTTGTAGAAGAAGACAGTCTTTCCGACTTTAAACGCGAAATACTTCCAGTATGCCGGATGAATTGGCACATGGAAGTAACCTGACCTCAAGTCTGCAGTTGCCATGAAGAAACCTCTTAGCGTGAACGCCAGGATGTCTCTCAGCTTCTCGTATTCGAACGGAATCTGCTCGAGGAAGGCATTGACGTATCTATCATTACAAATCAGGCGCTCTTTCCCCGCAGACTCTACCACGCCCATCGGGCTTATCACTTCCGGAGGCTCTGCGTCCGGGGGCCAAATTCCGACCGCTCCGGACTTGAGGTTTTTCCTAATCTCTGCTTCAGAGAACTCCCATCGCGTATAGAAGGAGCGATGGTTGCCGAATTCAACTCTGTGCGGTCGCTTACCCGACAGGTATTCGCCTACGTTTCGTTCTCCTATCGTCTTTGCTAGCATCGCCTTGACGATTCTAATCTTGTCCTGCTTCGCGTTTTGGGTCCCTTCAAACCTCGGTCTAAACCCGTTTTTAAACCAGCTTAAGACCGACCTAGCAGACTTACGGTTCGAGCGTCTGAGTAGAACTTTCCTTCCAAGCAGGAAGGTGAGACTTGAAACTGGCAGCTACAAAGTTTTCATGGTCCGGGATTAGCGTCCGCAAATCCCGGAGTTGATTCAGAGATTCTGACACCAATTGCGTGTCAGGTGCTTTGGGTTCAGACTCCATCTCTTATAACAGCTCGCTGACTCTAGCCACTTGTGCTTCCGGCGTCGGCGCCCTATCCTCTCTCGCTAGAATCTGCTTCATTTCATCCTCCCACTCTTGCGACGGTCCTTCCGCAGAACCGGAACTGAACGGATCGGATTCCGGATTTATTTGATCCGCTTCTGGATCTCCTAACGCCTCATCCGCTGCGTCTGGAACTGCCGTTAAGCACGTTGCCTCCAGCTCTTCTAACTCAAGCTGACTTAAAAGGGGCTCACTCTCGTTCATTTCTCTCGACTCGAGTTCTCCTTCTTCTTGCATAACGTCAGTCGAGCTGGCTCCTGGTTCCTCCACCTTGCCTTCAGTCGCGCCTTGTTTTGTCCACTCTCGTGGATCAGGGCTTCCGGAAGGGCACGCAGGTTCCGCTGGGGAAAGCTGGAACTCCTGCCGGGGCTTCTTTGGAACCGGCTCAGCGATTTCACTGTCAGCCCATTCACTGTTACAGATCAGTGAACATATTTCAGCCAAGAATCCGCAATCAAATTCTAGGAACTCAGAAAAAGGTTCAGAGGAATCGCACACAGGCCAAAACGCCAGAAACAACAAGCAAACTCCACGTTCCGCTCATTCAGAGTTTAACCGAGAAATTTTTGCAAAGGCACTTTAACCGTTTAACTTAGCACACTGGCCGTGCTTATTTACACTTGTTACGAGTACAGACTTCCCTCTATCTTTATTCTGCATAGAATTGCCTACCTCGACAAGTTTAACCCACAGGATCAGAACCTAGTTCTGTCTTGCGCTCAAGAACCATCTCAGCGTGTTCACACTTTTGCATCTTAGATCTTCTCCTATCTTGAGCACACCTTTCTAACCAGATTTGTGCAGTGCTTAAAATTTCGCGCTTCTGACTTCTCAGCCTTTCCTTTATCTACAAGGTTCTATCCTTACTCTCTGTTACGCCGGAACTGAGCATCCTGCCCGCCTAGAGGCGGCCTTGGTCCTTGATTCTGGTGTTGTCCGCCCCCTGCTCCCCTGCCATACGGTGGACGCCCCGCTCCCTGCTGCCCAGGACCGATGTTCTGGTAGTAGTTGGTCGCCGGATTGTAGAATTGCCCCCTGCATTATGCATAACGAGTTTAGACCGGTTCCTCCTTTCAAGATTATCTCCGATCATAATTCCATTCTCGCTTTCTAAGTTGACTTCGAGTGTCCTCGACAGCAACCGAAAGGTTCAGGTTGCTCACTGTCCAAGGCGGACGACAAAAGAATGCTTGGATCGATCGATCAGAACGAACTTCTTATAATCCCTTCCCTTTGCTCGTCCAAGTTGGACGAAACAAGTACCCGATTGGTCGATCGGGATCAATTCAGAGCTCTTCCTCTCGGCATACTTTGTTGTCCTCACCTTCCCCTACCAGACTTGACTAGGTCTTCAGTTTTACGGTTGACCAAGATCGATCACAAAGCTTTACAACCGAGGTTAATTTTAGTCAGGAAATCACCTGTTCTTTTCTCTCAGCCATTCCGGATGCTTCGCCAGGACTTCTTCTGCTTTGACCTTCTTCTCTTGGAAGCAGCGCAGGACTTCTCTTTCCACGGCCGCCACTTGAGTTGCCGTTGGGTTTTCGCCCAGCTCTCTAACTTTCTGCTGAGCGAAGGTGTTGAGATCCTCCGCTAGGTAGTTGAGCCTGATGCAGCGATTCTTTAGGAAGACACTCATGTCACCGGCTAGTGCTAGCGTTCCTTTGTGCGCCGTTGGAGCAGCGTATATAGCTGAGTACATCTCATGCTGCGCAAAGAGTCCTCGCTTTCTGAACAGATCGATCGCAGTCGCGTGACGTCGTAACTCTGACTCCATTGCAGCCTTGTCTGTGTTAGATCTCACAAGTTGCTCTTCTAGCGAGGCGATTCGAGACTGCACGTCTGAAGGAGTCGCCTGCCTAACCATTGGAAGAGGCTGCGCTGCCACTTTGACACTTCCCAGAAAGGGGTTTTGTGCAAACTGCTGCTCTTGCTGGCTAGGGAAGTTTTGGCGGCTGGGTCTCACGAAAGCCGGTGGTGTGACGGTTGGACGGGTTTCAACGCTGCCCGTCTGCTAGACATGTGCGGAATCCATGCCCAGC